GTTTCAAAGACTTGATCAACTGGCTGCAAGCTCACTTCGTCTATTTGCATTGAAGCTCAAGTGGTGTCCTATGCCGGCGTGCGGCGTAGTCATCCATTAGGCCGACATTTCCTCGCTCAATCGCCAGAAATACGTACTGATGAGCCATGTTTGTCTGTTGGGCGGCATGCCCGGCCTAACATTGCGAGAAGGATCGTCGAGGTAGGGATTGAGACACCACCTCCGTCGTGTGCCCAACACATGGCACCGTATCCGTACTTGCATTTGACATCTCCACGCCTCAGTGTTGGGAAAAGAAACGGGAGATCGTTTCCTTGACGAAAAAGCCAGGCTTGTTCATTCTGCCAGATCGTTGGGTGATCCACTCTACCGCATGAGCAAGGGGCAGATTCGCAAAAATGACCAAGTCAAGAAAGGATTACCGGTCGTGAGGGTTCCATTCAAATGGATCCCCATTGTCAAGAACAGGGGATGACAAGGAGGGACAGACAGCCTATTGATGAGACGGCAGAGCCCGCCAACCAGGGTCTTTACAGGGATTCCTTGCCGCTGTACCTATACTACGGAACCCAATTGTGTCTTTCTTACTCCACGTTCCAATTCGACTCGGAGCCGGCTTCATCATTTACTACCTCGAGTGAAATGACAGACGTTTGAACATCAGCTCATTTGTCAACTGGATCGGCGGGATAACGAGGCCCCTCATACGAAGCTGTGCACCATGTTACACACATGACCCAAGCGTGGGGCGGGGCAAAATGACTTCAGCGGGACAAATTCTGCCGTTCTGGGGATTCCATCATCTGAAGACCCAACGCCGTATCCAGTACATTACCGTGGGGAGACGAACCTCCGCTTCAACTCCTACCCCAATCTCCCGACGAGCTGAACCGGACCAGTCAACCGCAGCCAGATCGAGAATCTTGCAGCAGCGATCCCCCATCACCTGTCATAATTTGGAATGAGCCGCATGCCCCAGGGCTCGTCGCCTCGTGTTATAGTCTTGGCGGCCCGCCCGTCCAGCTTTGAGTTAGTTGCCTGGGTTTTGTTGGTTGACTTGAGCGAGTATTGTCTGACAACAGTCATGCGGTGATATGTCCTGTGGTTCTCGAGGGGAGACTACTCGGACTTCTAGTTGACGGAGATATGATTGCCAAAAGGCATCTGATCAACGCGCTGCCTTCCACCAGAACCGACTCGATGGTTCTTTACGACACGAGTTACTCAGATGGTCGGACAGGATGTAAAGCCAGAGAGTGTGCAGCAGCATACCGCAAGCATGCCGGCGTGACACCGAGACTCGTGTTATGGCATATTGACTGGCAGCAGTTCACCTACGTTGCACCGAGTCCGTGCTACCCTCATTCTACGAAAGGATTAAGTTTGCATTACGGATACTTTATACGCAATATAGCGGAATGGTCGACCCGTGGCGGACTTATACATGCATATTCGTTTGCGTTTTGAGGCACCCCTCACCCCTCGGGTCGAACACGCAATGCCAGTGGCCGGTGAACTCTCACTACTTGGGTTGTGCTGTGATGCGGCGTTCCGCGTATTCAGTCCACAAAACCGGGTTCCAAATCGCTGAGTTTGGCTGACAGCTCAATAGTTGCGGGTGCTCATTATTCTGTCATGTCACAGACATTGCTCTCCTCGTGGCACATCTGGACTTGTTTTCAGCTACCCCGAGGAGTTGGCGCACGAGACCGAGTAGTTACTTTTGCAAGCGTTCTCCGAGGATTATGTCGCAGGACGTTACAAACTCTGACGCCATCTCGACCAACATAGACAAGGTTGCTTTGTGCTTGGCTGTGGAACTTGCTCGACATCCCGTGACTCATGTATGGGAGACTTCGAGGCATACAAGTCCGTGACGATAGGAAGTCGAGTCGCCATAGCCAGACACATTATCCCGATGCTCCTTCCCTATGCGCGACCCAGCGCTTTTGTGGTCAAGGGCTCCGGATACCCGTAGGCGAGTTTTGCTCTTTGATGAATCCCGCTTTTCACATTGCAGCTCACTCGGTGCCGGTGTACTCGATTGACGGACGAGTTTGACTACTAAGCTCAAAAGCCCACGTTGTGTGGTAGCAACAATATTGCAGAATACCAGGAATATTCTTGCCAATTATTTGAGTTTTCACACTGGATACAGCGGCAGCGTCAAAGCACGGCACGACCGGGAGTCACAGTACCTACGCCAGGTTTACCCATTTACCGTACGAACTGCAAGCTTTCAAATGAGCCTTGGCCCGCTTTGGGTCACCTAAAGTACATGCAATCGAGACAAACCATGCTGTCCAACCTTCCCATAGGTCTGGGAATCCAGTGGATACTTTACGACGGCTGTCATTGCTTGTGCGCCGTGAGCGAAGGCCGTAACAGTACTTTGTCCTCTGCGCGCCCAGATCGGGTCTTCGGGAGGCGATGACCCTGGTCACGGCCCCGTGTATCGTGTCGCGCAAGCTGCTCCTTATTGAGTAACACAGCCGCCCAAGGCGGTCGTGCCGGAAACAACCCTGTGCCGGCCTTTTGCTGGGAGCAAAGACAGACATATCAGATAGAGATGCTGAGGCCCACCTGCCGTGCGTGCACTCGCTCGTTTATTCGTAGTCGACTTCAATAGTGTCGCGCGGTTGGCAATGTCAGTTGATGCAGCCGCATTTTGCTCCGCACGTCAAGCACAAACTATCGGGGTGACAGCAACGGTCGGCGTTAGCGTCACAGTGAAACAGGGCAGCGTCATGGACAGCCTACAACGCCAATCTCTTGACCACCTACTACCGCGATTCGCGACTCTGTCAGGGTAACAGCATGGCGAGCTCTCCTTTCGTTTCCCCTCCCGCAAAGATTTCGAACTCGGCTCCATCTTTTCACAAGGCTGCCGAGCCCGCACACACAGCACCACGCCCAGACGGATAGGCGAATTGCAAAGACGAAAAGTATCGGCAGATGTTGGGAACCACGCCGAGAGCATCTATAAGGACATGCTGATGAGATATCTGGCCTCATTATGAAGTCATTGGTCTGCAACGCCGTCTATTTCGCGGGAAACCCCAGGCGAAGGCTCCAGTACCACCCCCCCCCTCGAGAGGTGCTTACGGTACTTAGGGGATCTGTCAAGTTTGACAGCCGCCAGGAGGGCCACCAGATGCAACGCTGATGGATCGGACTAGGACGATTCGAGTGGAGTAGTGGCAAAGTGGTCAGGGGGGTTCGACGTCCAAAGATGCCCTCTGCCGACACCCTGTCCCCCGTCGGGTCCAAGGATCAGCCAGGCGGAGGGAGCAACCTTCATAACGCTGGATGCAAAACTTGCGTGACCGGCAGGGATGGCGGAAGGTTGGCCTCACGGCCCCTGAGGCCGAGGCATGGGGCTTGTCAGCATCTCATACACTCGCAACTTGTCTGCATTGTTTGCTTACTTGCTTACTTGTCACAACTTGTCAAGCGCCCTGCGGACGAAGCCCACGGGCAACTCTGGGCTTCACGGCAGACCTCATTCCGGAAGCCGTGCGCATTTGGCAGTCTTCTGGCATTGCTTCCGAACATCTGAAACTGAACAGGTAGGTCCGACCAGTGCCCGAAGGGCGACGTCTATTCTCCACTCGTTTGCATGGGTCTGACCCCGACCAGTTGACGATGATGGCTTGGCTACTGCCAATCTGGCCCCAGGGGAGCCCTTGGAACTTTGGAAGAATAAGAAGGGAGGGGGGAGGGGGGGTGGACTGGGGATATGGGATATGGGAAGAGCGAGCCCCAACAACAGGGCCCAAGGTTCACTCATCTTGCACCCCTGCCAAAGACTCCTGGTTCCCATCCATCGTCATATCCTTTCACCCTCCCACCCCTTGTCGCCTGAGCCCAGCCTTAACATGGTCCAAGCGCCCTGTCAAATCGCAAAGCAACCTCCATTTGGATCAAGAGCTACCCCCCCCGGCATGACAGGGGAGGTTCCAGCACCTGTCACGACTCCTGGGGGAACGAATCGCATTTCCTTCGCAAGCTCAGACTTAAGGTCTCGAGCTCCGACGACAGCGGAACATGACGCCGTCGTAACCTTCGACGACAGCTTGTGGAAGGATGTCAGAAGACAAATCCTGGAGAGATTGGATCAATCGAAGAGCATGTCGCGCACAGCAGAGTTCTACAGCAGAAGCCTCAAGCCGGCCATGTTTCTCAACCCTAGGTCGGGTCACTGGTCTTCTGATTCGTCGCCTCTTTCCTTCGAGTTCTCGCCGTAATGTTGTGTCGTGCAAATCCACAACCTGCTGTCAAGCCACTCTCTGCCCATAATCGAGTTATCGTCCATCGCTGAACCAAATCCCCCTGCCCCCCTCCCCCTTTCCTCCTCCTCGTCAGCAGAGATCAACAAAGATAAGTCCTTTTGTTTCTTTTTCTTCTTCTTTTTTTCCCCACTTCCTTTTACCTCCTTTTAACCGGGATTGTCCGGCAATGCACATATATACCTAGTACACGATCTCGCCTACTCCACCCCACCATCCGATTCAGAATTTGGATTTGTCAGGGGGGGGGGTTCGGGTCGAGGGCCCCGACATGTCACATCTGCCAGCCAGTCGCATCTTGCCGATTCGACTTTGACAGCAGCCGTTGGACGACACGGACTGCGCCACCCTGTGAACCTGCCGCCAAAGAAGAAACATCAGCCCGCGCCCGCAAAGAAACGGCACGGGTCTGTTTGCTGTTCTGGACGACACTTGCGAGTCTTGAAGTGAAGTTTGTTACAGGATAAGCCAATCTTACTTAGCCTTCCCGTTTCGTCGGCTCTCAGTTGCCTCACTCTGTACAACCTACCTGTCAGCTATAGACGTTTCTTGACATTAAACCGGGGATTTTGTTTTCGTCTTCCATCGGAATTTGTCATCCTTCGTTCCCAGGGCTGTCTTCGTCGGCGTACGCACGTGCGCACCAGATTGGCTAGTCGAGGCTTTCTGATAGCTCTGCAAGAACCTACTAGGGGGAACAGAGATACACGCATGTCTGCTCTCGGCTATCTTCTGCGTTCGCGTGCCTGCAAGCCAGAGGTGCCGGGCGTCCGTCCCTGCCACGCGTTGATACCAACAAAAGGGGCTGGGAATGTCCGCACCATGGTCAGGCACACACTAACACATGCTGGCAACATCAGGCCAGGCGCCAGCCGATCAACTCGGGCGGCCATTATTCGTACTGGGACGATGTTGAGGCTGAAGTGCCGTGTGCCGTCGTGTCGACTCACATCTTCGGATCACAGATCCAGGACCGAGGGCACTCGGGCGGCCCGTAACGACCAACCCATCGACCTGGCGTTGCTCGCCACCTGTTCATGATCGACCGCTGTCGCTGCCGTAACCTGGTAAAGTCTCTCTACCAATTACGGTTTAGGATTTGCGATCTACCGTCTCCCGTCCATTGACAAGACAGTGACGGTGTGGGCGTGCTAGGGTCCAGTCATAAGAGGGATATGCCCTGTCTGCATGGCTTCCTTGAGTCTGTCCGTGTCTATTGTGCCTGTTGTCTATGGTAATATGCCTCAAGAGCAAAGCAAAAACCTTGTTCCGAGTGGGTTACGCGACACCCGGGCTTCCGGATTCAAGGGCGAGGAGACTTGTCAAGCGCGGAAGTGGAAAAGGAGGGGCAAGTGGGGGAGAGCGGGGGCGAGGCCATGCTGAAATCCAAATCATCAAGAGCGGTATTTGTATTCAACATGCTTCGTTCGAGACGAACGGGCACCAAACGCCCCGTGTCGTTGTCCAGAGTGTCCCTGCCTCATGGCTTTGATGGATCTGCTTGACAAACGGCCCTCCCTCGCAGGGACGGAAACATCTGAAAAAGGGGCGGCGGGGTAAAGTGGGAGGGAACAACCCTCAACCCTTTTCCCCCTCCGCTGCGAGTCCGCCCCGACGCTCACGGAGGTGCGCTTACCACATGGGGGCCCAGTTCATGAGTTCCTCTCGCGGAAGGGCAGGCAAGAACGCCGATTGCATGTCCACATCCCCAAGCAAGTATGCAACCCCTCTAACGTGGCAAGCCTAGCAAATAGAGAGAGGGGGTAAGGGGGGGGGTATAGACTAACAAAACGAGGCATAGGACGCAGCTGGGCGAGGGTTCGAAACGGGCAGCGAGAGAGAAACCAAAGTAGAGACCACACCACGTCCGCCGTATCCAGTTACTCTTTCTTTAGTAGCCCGATAAAGCCTGTGATGCCGCAGTATACATGCCATGACACAGATTGCTTCCTTTCCCCGGACATCGCCATCCCCTTTCTACCCCCTTCTTGCAAACCATTTTTTAGAGTGTGGTTTTGAATCATTGTGCCGTTCCAAGCCTGACGAGGACGGTCGAACCCTACAAGCGACCCGGACGGATCGAACCGAAGTATCCCAATGTGCTATTGTTGCTACCCCTGGTCTCAAAACATCAATCGAAGAAGAGTCAGGCGACGTGAGAGGGGACGAATGACCATCATGGTTGCCCCTTGCTCTCCGCCAGGTGCCTGACCAGACCTCCCAGTCCGGAAAGGGATGGAAAGACGAAGGACAAGACAAAAAAAAAGTTCACACGAAGAAACGCCATTTGAGACGAATGGGCGACGGGCCACAACCGTCGCATCATCCCCAAACAAGGCATTGGGTCCAGGCATAACGACGTCCTCTCTTCTCGACAAAGTTATGCTCGCCGCAGAACCTTGTTGAAGAAACCACCCCCGCCTTTCCTGGGTGTTTCATCTCTCAACGGGCCACCGACGGCAGCGGCGTCTCTCGTCCCGTCTTCCCCCCCGAATCCGGCGTGGCGATCCTGGCGGTGGTGATGACCCGGGTCTGGAGAGGCGGACGGGTGGCCGTCCACCTGCTGTCCCTCACCCTTGGCGACCTTGACGTATGAATCGTCCGAAGCCGTCGAGAGTGTCGCGGCCGAGTCAAAATATCCGTGGAGATCCTCGGCCGTAAGCTTCGAGAGTCCCATGCGGGGAGCGTTGGTGGTGGGTTTTGTGACATGGTCAAGAGATGTGGCAGTAGAGGCCTCGAGGACAGTCGCGTTGGCTAGTCTCCCCTGCCGAATGTAAGAGAGACCTCGATCGAGATACTCGACTAGCGGTGCCTTCATGTCGGGTTCAAAGGTTGCGGTGGTGCTGTCTCTGTCGCCACCCCGGTCCTTGTCTTCGTCGCCTCCAGCCCCAACAGGATGGCCCGTAGAGGAGCAGTGCCATCCCGCTGCTTTTGTTTGCCCTGACCATGCACCCTCTGATGCTACTATTGCTGTCTCGGTACCAGCGCCATGGGCGGCGAGTGATGGCTCGGCAGCCATTCCGCCGCTATTGCCGTGGACATCCAGGATTTTGCGGTAGAGATCTGGGACGCGTCGGCGGAACTCGGATTCGAGATCTAGTTCATGCTGGCTCTTGGCATGCGCGCGGTCCGGGCTGGTTGACTGGTTGAGGCTCGACGACGAGCTCACTCTGCCCTCATCGTCTATCTGGGCCAGGAGCTTCTCGTATTGGGATCTCCTCGCTACGTCCTCCTCCCTTGATGACGTTAACGCTTGGTTGCTGGCCCGTATGAGGGCTTCCGCATGTGCCCTGGCCTCGTCCGTCATGTTGGACCCGGCGATGGATTTGCTGTAGGAAACGCTGAATTCTCTGTAATGACCCTTGAGAATGAAGCATCGGCCGGACCAGCCCCAACTCTTAAACTTCTCGTAGAGCACGTCGGCCAAGGGACACTCCCACGGAGAGTCCACGGCGCGGGCGTAGAATACCATGCAAACTATCGACTGCCACTCTCCGAACATTTGCCTGCTTTCGCGGTCCAAGAAGGCGCGCTCAATCACGTCGAACGATGCATCCTGGACAAACCTTAGGGGAGCACGAAGGTTGATGGCGCCCCTGATGTGAGATTTTTCATGGTCTGCTGGCGGTCTGAGGTCAATCAGTAATGTCCTGCCGGGAGGCAGAATCTCAATGATCTTGTTAAGATGATGGGGCAGTATCATCCAAGCTCCTTGGGTTGCCGGGGGAACTAAACCATCCATCTTGAGCTTCTGGAATTGCTGAGAGACGATATCTCTCTCTCGCCGATGATGCAACCAGGCCCGTGACAGTCAGTGATGAGCTCTCCCGTCGTGAGTGTTGGATTTACCTACTTCGACATGCCATAGTTCGGTACCCAGATTGGAGGCGACGAAGTTCTTCTGCTCGTCGTTGGGCAAAGGTTCCTGCCGGTAGTATTGCTGGAGTAGCGTCTCGACGTGCTGCGAGAACTTGGGCGGCTCAGGTATGTTGGGGAAGGCAGTCCTGCGGGCACTTCTCTGCTGATTAGGTATCATCGCCCTCGAAAACGCCACCTTGGATGATGCCCGAGAGAAGGCGGTGGTTTGACGCTGTAGAGTGCTGAGGGAGGTTGCGTAATTGGCAGACGGCAGCGGCGTCGAGTGACCGCTAGTGGGAGACGAGGACGGCGATATTCCTGACGATCCTAGACCTGCGTGCTGTAACTTTACGTCCATTCCTGAAGCCAACTCGCTGCTGAAAGGAAAGGGTCTTATATGAGCTGCTTGCTGGCCAAGAATTCTGCCTGTATCCGTCGGAGCATATGTGTATGTGCTGTCGGAAAAGAACGTAGTAGTTGACGCAGAGTCAGCTTGTGTCCTGTCAAGCACTGCGCGAGAGCCTCTGCTAGCTGGCACTTGGATTTCGGCTTCTTCTTTGAATGTCTTCTGGGCCACCAGGTTGTTCGACCGGATGAAGGCCACAAAAGAGGTGGCATGATCCTCAGGCAGGAGATCCCATATCATAACCAGCATGGACACCAGGAGGAGTGTAGAGTGGCTTTTGAAAACACCTTGGACCTTGACGTATTTGGCCATGGCCGGGAAGTTTGACAGCCACTGTTTCCATGCGTTGAGGTCCAGCTGCTGATCATCCTCTAGCGCGAGCGAGATCATGACATGAGGCGTTTCCTCGTTCGGCTCGCCAGATATGGGGCTACTTGGACCTCGCCCGCCAGTTACCCCCTCGGGTAACTCGTTCGCCGGGATCTCCCGAGGAGGCGAGGGCGGCCGTTTTCCGGTAGGCACGATTCGGGACAACTCGATGCTGGGTGCCTTGTGGTTAGACGTCATCATGAAATGGACCGGGGTCGACCTGGCCTCGAGTAGCTTGCCGTTGATGGTGACAGGGCGTGGGTGCTTCAAGCGGGCGAGCACTTCGGCGTGTAGCATCGCTGCAGAGAAGGCGCGGAGGCGCCATTCCTGCATCACTTCGATCAGGGCGTTCGTGAAGGAGTAGCGACCTGGATCTGGGACGATAGCATCCCAGCTTGAGGGAGAGATGGTCTCGGTGATGCTGTTGCCATTGGAAAATGTTGCGCTTGCAGCGCCAGCGCAGCAGTCGAGGAGGATGAGAACGTCAGATGCCGAACGTTCCAACAATGTCTGGATCGCGGACCATTGAAGCCAAGGCGAGTCGGGATGCCATGTTCTAATGACATGTGAGGACAAATATCCCAATCTACGAGAAATTTGCAACCACTTACGCGCACCAGGTACTCTGCCTGGACTCGTCTATCCTGGCATGTCCACCGTAGTAGATTAAAAAGAGCGTGTCCTGGGCCTCATGGTCTTTGATCAACTTTCCCACTTGCATCATGAGCTCCAGATGTGAGTTCTCAGACGGTATAGGGAAGATTTCAGTCTCATAGGCATAGTCCTCCCGGAGGCACCTTTCCAAGTCCTCCAGCTCGGGCAGCACAAAGAGATCATCGCAGCCCCAGTGGAGCAGCAGGGCCTGAACCTTCGTATATCGCTGTGAGGACCTCCCACGATTGGGAAATGCTCTATTGGCAGACTGTAATCGTGTTAGAAAGCGGCCGAGGCAGGCTTGGCCGCTGGTCTGCGGCGACTCACATGTTCCAAAGTCTGCGCGAAGCTGCCGAGATGCTTCACATGGTGGCTCACGCGGCTGACATCGTGGGTGGCGGTACGGGGCGCACCGTCGGAGTTGGATCCGTACTGGACAATGCCAGCTTGTGAGTTTACTTATATTTATACTCTGCGCGATTTCCGTGTCGAAACTCTTGAACTTACAGTCGAGTCGGCACTGCTCACGCTGCTGTCTCCGTCGGCGGGTCGTCGCGACCGAATGGTTACGTACGGCTGGTGGTCGCCCATGTATGCAAATAACCCACGCTTCTCGGATCATTTATTCACCTGCCGCGGATTTCCCCGCAAGGTATGTCTACCTGAGCGGTCAAGATGTCGCACAGTTCCAGCGGAATCTGTGGCGTGGGATGTGGTTCGCTAGAAAGTGTTGTTGAGATGCATATCGCGACAAGAGGGGAAACTAGGAGGGACGTAAGAGCCAAAAAGACTGCAATCTCGGGAACGACGTCTGATGCATCACTAAGCAAGAACAGCGAGAAGTCTTCTGGTCTGGAAGAGAGGAATTCGAGGGAAGACGTCGGCGGTGTTTTCTGACATTGGCGCCATTCGTATCGGTGGACAGAGGCTGGAGGCATCCATCCCACTTTGGTGCGAACGAGCGTTGATAGCCAAAGCGGTTTAGCGTCATCCAGACCGGTGACTTAATGGGGTCGAGCGCTTTGATAACTTGCTGGCTTAGCGTCATATCTGATGTGGCTGATGCTTTTCTAATACAGCGTGTGTGGCTTATGCTCCGATGATGACACGGACGGGAGGGAATACATGGGCTATCTACGGAGTACAGTGCCTACACCTAGGCTAGCTGGCTAGGTAGGCCCCCCTCTAGGTAGGTACTAAAGCCTACCTAGTGTACGGAGTACTGGAGCCGCAGCATCATGGCCACCGATCGGAGCTGCAGGCTTTCTGTGCTCCGCACTGAGCGAGGTGTCCTCAGCAACGTAACGGGTCCCCGACGACGCCGTCGTCGATGCTAATAGACCCATCGTGCCGTCCAAGCACATGCTGTTCGGTTCGCTCACAAATCACCCCTACACCATTCTCGTCACCGAGGAGCCCACTTTCGTCGACAATAGTATTGTGGTTGCAGTCTTTTCATCGCAAACCATCACTCGAGTTTCCACATCGACCGGAAACCTGTTGCCGAGACCCTCGTCGAGCTGCACCTGACATTAGCAAGATGCGTCAGCGAATCACCTTCATCCACAAGCCAGGTGACGGCGTCCCACCCGAGTCTCTCGAGATCAGCGATGCCGGTGTCAAAGGCCCCGACATCTTGTCCGTCCGTGAAGAGAGAGTCACACTGGCTCTGGAGGAGCTCCCATCTGAGCTCTCCCAGCTTCTCAGTGAGAGTCACGAGCTGCACATCAGATGGGCCAGTCCTTGGGCCTATGACACCGTCGGACCCTTGGCTTCGAGGGTATCGCCGGGCCTTCACCTCTTTTATACCCCGAAGAGGGATGGGGAATGGGACGGGTAAGTTGTCGTGAAATGCAGTGGGGATAGCGAGTGTTGACATGAGTGCAGAACGAAACTATGCCAAGAACTGAAGAAGGCCTTTGGCGGCAGCGGCTGCTCATCGTCCGAGGTACAACTCATCATCTCACATCTGGCCGTACAATCCGTCGTCTAACAGCCCATGCAGTCCTTCACAAGTCTTCCCCGTGACCGGTTCTCTCACTCGGCTGCTCTTCAATACTACCAACCGCTAGAGGACCTCGCCGCATTCACACAGTACACAGCCGAACAGCTCTGCCCGGCATCAGACATGGCCTGCAAATCCCGCGCCGAGGAGCTCAAGACAGCGGCCTCTCTCGATATATCCTACGACACAATCTCGCACGCTCTTAAAGTCACGGCCCAGTGGCCTCACGGCAAGCATAGCATCTCCGTCGCCTCGACGCCCAATCACCGAACCGAAGTCGGTATCCTCACCATCGACGCCACCGCAAACCCTGAGCCCCATGAGATCGGTATGGGCGGCGGCCTCATCGTCATCGGCGAGCACAAGAAGCCGTCGTCCGTCCTCTTCAACGTGCCTGCCCGCCACCGGCTGCACGCGGACGCCTCCTCTCGCCCAAGCTCCTTCTACGCAAAGCTCCTTGAGCCGGCGGGCCTACACCCAACGCTGCAGCTCACGCTTACTTCTGCCAAACCGCCAATCGATGACGCATACTGCGCCGTCCATGCGCACCTGACGCTCCCAAAGACGGTATTCGCCGACCGCTACCAGCTTGCCGATGACCTCTTCCTGCAATCCAAGAACCTCACAGCACTGCGCTACTCCACCTCGCCCGTCGACCTCGAGGCGCCTGCATATGCCACGAAGCCGTGGGGTTCCGGCGTCCTGCTCGAGCTCAGGCCGCCGGCGGCAGAGAAGGACGAGGATTGGACGGCCGAGGTGCCGCTCCACCTGCGCTACCTCGAGCCGGCCGCCGGCGGGTACACGGACGTCGAGGTGCCCTATCCAGCTGTGTTCTGGGCGTGCTCCTCCGAGGAGGGCACCAAGTTCCCGAGCAGCCCCTTCGAGAGGGTGAACTTGGGCTACGACGCATTGTTCGGGCCGCGGACGGTGTTTTGGCACGTCGATCCGCGGCCTGCTGCGGGATCGGTGGCTGAGGGCGGCGACCGGCTCCTAAGCACCGTACGGGTGCCAGTCCTCGAGGCCGGGCAGGCTGAGTGGGTTCGGGGCGGAACGGCGGCCGCAGTGATGGTGGGATTTGCGTGGGTTATGTGGAGAATCATTGCGACTATTTCGAAGTCGGGGTACCGCAAGGGTGGGGGGGCAGTCGACGAGAAGAAGAATCAGTAGTCGTTGGGACACTCTTGTGGGATTTACATGGGTCAGAAACAAGCCATTCTCGTTTCATTTAGGTAAAATGAGGATCATCTTGCCCTTTCCAAGTTTGCCAGCCCCACGCACAGTGTGCTGCGGCTTTGCACGGCGCGGATGTGGCGGAGATATGTAACACCCACCAATACGCTAGCGGGTAACATGTTTAAGTGAACGTCGTTTGATTACAGCATCGCAAACCGTTCTTTGCCACCTAGTGAACTTGCTCCCTCTTTACTGAAGCTCGGTCCGTGTCCTTTGTGTGCGCGCGCACTCTCATAAACGCCGGCCCTTTGCCCCATGAATACCTCCAAACCCCGACCATGATCTCCTACGTCATAGGTCTCGTGGCGGTCCTTGTTTTCTTCGCTGACCCCATCGCCCAGCTCTTCTCTCCATCCGGGGCCGGCGGCCGAGGCCGGATCGTCCGTACGCCCCGGCCGCAGATGAACGAGTCTCTCCTCGCGATCGAGTATCCCAACGCCACGGCATTGTCGTGCCCGCCTGACACGTACTCGGTGCGCATTTTCTCCAAAGAGCCGCTGGTGTTGTATATCGAGGGGTTCCTCAGCCCCGAGGAGAGGGCGCATTTGCTCGACATCAGGTAAGTCGGCTTACTCGGGCTTTTCCTTCTTTTTTTTCTTCTTTTTTTCTTTTTTTAACTCTCCCGTTATTCTTTCTCCGACTTGCCATCGTGCTCCATCGCCTTTCGCCCTCGTCTCTTTCCGCATCCGCACCCAGAGTGAAGCCGTCAAATGCTCACATACCCCGTCCAGCCAACCCTTGTTTGAGCCGTCAACGATAACTCATGACGGCGCCGGTGTCCAGCGCGACACCTCGATCCGCGAGTCCGAGGTTGCCATGGTCCCGCGCACCGACACGGTCCGCTGCGTCGAGGCCCGCGTCCGCGCGCTGCAGGGCTGGCGCGAGGAGCTCTGGGTCGAGAGGCTGCGGACCCAGCGCTATGTCGAGGGCGGGCACTACTCATATCACTTTGACTGGAGCGCTAACCGTGGCGGGTGGGGGAGAGTGAGCAGCATGATGGCCTGGGTCGACGCGCGCGACGAGGACGGGACGCCTGGGGCGGGCGGAGGCGAGGGCCTGGTCGGCGGTGGGACGGAGTTCCCGTTTCTGAGCGTCCCGGGAGTCAAGGAGAGATGGTGTCGGTTCGTCGAATGTGGGGGTGTGAGAGAAGGGAATGATGGCGGTCAGAAGATGGGCGAGGGCGATGGAGAGGAGAAGGGGGTCGTGTTCAAGGCGGTTCCCGGAAACGCCGTCTTTTGGGAAAACTTTCGCGCCGATGGGAGCGGTGCTGGATACGACGAAACGTGGCACGCTGGTTTACCCGTAAAGAAAGGCGTCAAGGTCGGGTTGAACATTTGGAGTACGGGACGGATAGGTTAGGCGGCCCCATGTCTTTTGATTCCGTTTCAGCTTGACCACAGTTGAGATGCGACATATGCTGTATTGTAGGTAGATGCTACAACACCGATAAGTCCTGTGAGCGTCGCGGACTCGGAACCTCCCTCTTCTTGCTGGCCATCGTGTAAGCGTGGTGCACGATAACTCGGGCCGCCTCGCTTGGCTTCATATCCGTGATGTCGAGCTCCAGCTCCAGCTCACCCCCGCATCGGAAAACCTCCTCGTTCTCCCGGACCCTGCGCAGAATCTTCCCGTCGATCAATTTCGTGCTCCGTCCGCTCTCGTTGCCTCTATTTCTGCCCTCAAGTCTCCGCAAGTTCTCGTCAAGCTTGCAATGCAGGATGATGGATATGAACGGCACGCCCCTCACCTCGGCCGCTCTCTGATAATCTTTCACGCCCGTACTTCCCTGAGCGCTAGACTCGCGCGAGTCTGTAAAGATGAAGGCCGTGTCTTCCAACTCGGGGCGCGTGGCGATGACATGTAGAGCATGTCTGCGGAACTCTGCTCTTAACTCGTCGTACCCTTCAGACCCTCGGTCGAGCATAGCGGCTACAGGGTCTATCACCAAGTGGTTGTGGAACACCCTACTCCCCTGAATGAGCTTGCATACATCTTTAGCTACGGTAAGCTTGCCGACACCAGGGAATCCGTTGATGTAAATGAAGAAGGGCATTGCGTGACGTCGAAGCGTTTCTAGAAGGATCGATAAATTAGTTAGGAATTTTCCGGTTTGGATTTGCCCAAATCAACCACCATGCCACATTTACTGTGTGGGGGAGGCTTTCTCCTTTCTCTTGTGCCGAGTTTCCTTGTCCAAACAACCTTGAGCCATACTATGGATCATTCATCATTGAGTCATATCAAAGAGTGACTCACAGTTCCTTGGGCAGGGCCAACCTACCTGTTTCGGTAGTTGATCTTTGCACCTTCTTATCACTGGACTGAACCAAATAGCATTCATTAATTGGCCCTACTACAACCATGTATTCTTAATTTGAATAATGTTTAAAGCAACCATGTATTTTGTAATGGGTCTGCATAGGCATGTCTCTCTTGCTGTTGCAACGCAAATGCTGTCAAGCATACAGTTGCTGCAGTTTATTCGCAAAGGATGATTGTGACACTGATGCAGATAACGCGTTCGTTCAGTAATTATTTGTTCCAACGCCTTTTGCCTTCTTTCCATGATTAATCGTTTCGGCATAACATACGTGTACAATAATAACAAAACCTACACTTACTTGGACAAGTCATACAATCTTTACACTGCATGGATGTTATGTCTCGGTGTGATTCCTTCTCCTTCGGCCTTCGGAGCCGCCTGAGATACCAAACGAATACAAACACGTCATCATAGTTAGCAAGGCCGCCACGTACATAAATCTTCTCACCGTCACACCGAAACATCCGCCGCAGCCCCCCACGGCAATGCGCCGTCTCTTCCCGCGCAGGCTCCGAGACAAAAACTAAATCAAAATACGATCTAGCGGCAGCGCCACTCGTAGGCAACGCTCGCTCAACCATTCGTCCCACCAGTCTCCCTCTCTCAACCCAAACCCCCGATCCTGGCAGGACTTCAATGGTTATAGGCGATCAACGTACCCATCCCACCTGCGCGCCCTGGATTTCCAAGAGGGCGTCCGCCGCCGCGTGGGGTGTCACTAGGCGGCTGCAGACCCACACCTCATTTAGGTACTCCCCCCAAACCTCCGGTCCGTCTCCACCCCGGGTCCGGACACGACTCCGCGTGGCACTAGACATCGCCTTACCGTTGGTCATTCTGCCCCCCCCCCCCCCTTTTAGCGACTTCACCCCTAGCATCCGTGATACGAGTGTGCTTGCTGCTTGTTGGACAGTTGTACTTGTGACCATGTGGTGCAGATTCTTTTGAAATCACGATCCTGGATCAGGAGGGATACTTTTTCTTTGTTTTTTAGTCAACAAGGCTGTTGTCCAATGGAAATTCAATTCTTTGGCACAATTCCGAAAAGGGGCCACTCAGAGAAGCTGATTGCATCAGCAAGGTGACGCTGGCTTCGTTTTGTGCTGCAGTTCTACATATAGCCCGAGCCCTTACATGTTCGTGAGCTATTTAGGCGCCAAAAAACACTTTGCTGCTTATTGGCCCTGGAAGAAAAAGAAAAACCACATGCCTACTTCTGTATACTTAGCTCCTACTATATATCAAACTCAAAAATTGCGACCCCCGGCCCTACCATGCAGACAAGTGACCGCAAAAACAAAACTTTAATGCATGAATGCAGCGAAGAACCACACACGGCATGCAGTTCGTTTCCGGAAAGGGGAGGCACTATAAGCTCCCTGATCAGGTTGTCACACCACACATCAGTTTCCCCCTCCCGAGGATCCACCTGTTTTTCATACACCAGAAACTAATGTTGAGGAAGATGTTGCAGCAGCGGCGGTGGCGGCGGCGGAGGCGGCATGATATTCCCATCGTGGTCGACATCGATCTCGAACATGGGAATATCTTCCGCCTTGTAGTACATGCCCAGATCGTCACCTCCCGCCGCCGATATGGCGTACATGTCCTTGCCCAGCGCCACGCGCCTTACTTTGGCGCACAGCCCCCACAACCGTCCTGGAGTCATCTCCTGCGCGACCACGTTCTCGAAAGTCTGCCACTGAGACCGCACGTGGGCGAGCGCCGCCCGCTGCAGCGCTCGGTGGCTCGGCGCGCAGTTCTCAATGATCCTCTTCTCGCCGTGGCCGCGCCACTTGACAACCAGGCGGACGGGCTTGGATGGCGCTGTTGGAACGCTCGGAACGACGGGCGCGGCGACGCCTTGATGATGTTGTTGAGGCGGGCGCATACCGGGTGGGAAGGTAGGGGCCGGGGGCGGCATTCCAGCAGCGGGAGCGCGTGGGTGCACACGGGTCGGGGGACCTCTCCAACCTGGAGGGGGAAGGGGAGGATATTGCGAGCCCGGGATGTGCGTTGCGGGGATGTAGGATGGGCGTGTGACGGAAACTAAAGCAGTGGGACGTCTCCGCATAGCGATTTCAGGCCCGGAGTCGCTGTCTTCCTCTTCCTCCTCCCCAGACGATGAAGAGGATTTGTGATGCCTGGAGTCCTTCTTCGACTTGCGCTTGCTCTTGCGGCGGGAACAAGATTTCTTCTTCTTACCCTTTCTGACGTTGTCGTCTTCGCCGTCGGACGAGGCCGCGGACAGGGACAGTACGTCAGAGGTGCTGACGGTCGATGCCTCGCTGCTGGAGGTTTCGGAGCCTTCGTCATCGTGCTGGCCTGAAATGGATTTGACTCCGCGGGGGAAGGCAAAGCCGTTGGCGTCGATGAACTGGTACACTTCCTGGGATGACTTTGTGTGGAGGTTCTCGAAGGCGTCTTCGAGGTCGCGGCCCATCGCGGAGAGAACCTCCTGACGCTTGCCGCGGTGGACCTTGACGGCGTAGATGGTGAACGACTTGTTGGGGTGACGTGATGTGTAGATGTCAAAGACGGCGCTGCGGCCCGAGATCAGACGAAGGTTATCTAGATTTTCCGTGTAAGTCGTCGAGTCGGCACGCCACACAGCAGAAAACGGAGAGTGATCTTACCGATGATCTGGTCACGCCACGCGAGACACAGCGGATTGGGTGCCATTTTCACAAGTTTGGAGCGTTTTGACGACGTTGCGGATCCAGGTATGTTAGTCAATAAGACGAGCATGGGCAGAAAACAAGACGCTCAAAAGCTTGAAAGATTGACTAGGGCAAGAGGCTAGAGCCGCGAGACCAAGGACACTTCTTATATACTCGCAGCTTCAGCCCCCCAGATCGTCGTCGTCCTATAGGGACCGTCGAAAGCGTGGCATGCAAGAGGGCCCTGCAGCGTGGTTGGCGGATTTCGGCCATACCGTTGCGGTTGGATAATCCTAGGATTTGGTGCTTTGGAGTAGCGGCAAAGAGAATCGGGAAAGTGAGGCGAAACCAAAGGCGGCCATGCATGCCGAACGGGACTAAAGTATGCTGGTCTTAGATTGGATGCATCGAATCGTCCGGGAAGCAGGGAGGAGAGACCAGGCAAGGGAAGGCAGACGCTCGCAGATTCAAGCCCGAGCAAGGCAGGGGAGGCTCAGCCTTTCACGCCCCATGTGGAATCAGGTAATATCTGATCTCCGGGGTGAAATACTAATGCGTGAAGTGCCCTATCAACGGAGAGCAAGCGGCAATTAAGAAGGAATGGGGGAGGGAGGAGCTGAGAAAAAGGAAAAGGAACGTATATGGACAGTAGCGATCTCTTTCGGAAAGGTAGTACCGGTGTTGAAAACAGCCAAGCCATTGCTTGGAAGGGGGGATTTGAAGTCCGAAGTGAAAGGATCAGAATTTACTCAACCCGAGACCAATAAGACACAGAATAGGCACCATAGGGGCAACAGTGATCTTTCGGTAGAACATCCTGTCTTCCCTGGGCCTCCTTGCATGTCCTCTCTGCAAGCAATGGGCTGGCCAACTCGATGCGGCCTGTCCCTAGGCGCGTCCTGCAAGGTGTGATGCGTATTTTCGTCTCACTTTCTTTCTCATCGATGCGGCTCTTTACATTCCTTGCGTCATGTAGAATGGAGCCACGATGACGGCCGGGTCGGCCAGACGACATTCGCCCGCCCCTGCCTCGATGGCAGGATACATTGAACCGTCCAGCTGACCGGACTTGTCGGGGAAGAAGCGTGTTGCTGGCACGAGTAGCGCCGGCGACGAGATGAGGAAGAATTCCACTCGATGTCTCGTGTCTCGCCTAGAACCCGAACACGCAACGACTTCTTACCGTGACCGGCCCGCGAGCCTCACGCTGCCTTTGGATGCAGTCGCATCGTTTACACAACGAGTCCCCGCAGCAAAAGGCCGACGACATTGGGCGTTGCGATGCGTTGCTTTGCTTTGCGCTACGCTACGCTGCGCTGCGCCCGTACGCCTTGCCTAGCCTGCGGCTTCAGCTCCGTTCCCCAACAGCCTACCTGGCCCTGTCGTCATCGTTGGGCCGTTGCGCAAGCCGCACTGGTTTGGCACGCCTGACAGGTCCATAGCGTGAGGACATATCTAGAACACAACAAAAATCAATCTGAAACAGGAAAGGTGAATGACGCTCGGATTTGTTACAACTGGGAGGAAAAGCGCGGCAAGGCACCGGTGGGTTCGGAACCGGAATACCTGTGGCCCATCGTCGCACAGAGCGGGAGACGAAAACGAAACAAGAGAGTACCGAAAAGAAGCTGGTAAAGATCCGACGCACCGTTCCTCCGTCGTCTCGGTCGGCTTCATCCAAGGTCGGGAATAGGTGGTGAAGGGGCGGGGTGGTTGTGCGAAGGGCATAGTGCCTGTCAGAAGACAGCGCTATTCCTACCCGTGCAGTGAACCGTTGGATCATGCAAAACGACTCATTCGACAACAGGGCCAAGGAGGAGCGGTCTGTGAGCGAGAGGTGCCCGTCAGGCACGGGTCAAAGGGCACAGACGATGCCTCATAGGGAAAAACGGGAGAAGCAATATGCCACGCCTTCTTTTCGGGTGAAAACCCAGAAGGCAATGCTACACGCAGGCTTCGCCCATGAAGGCAGGCCGTAACGGGCTCTCGGCCGTCGGGTACCACCGAATGCCACCATGTCCGACGCTCACGGTTGTGGGACCTGTATCCTGGAATAGGAGGCACTGCTTTGTATCTCGTACCCTGGCAAGCTCCGTCAGCAGCGTCCCCAAACCAAGATAGTCAGTTGGGGCGTACCATGGTGATACTGTGCACTAGTCGTGGAGGAGCACTGGTTCTACATTATCCGATGGGCAGCAGAGTTGGAAGTGAGGCTGGTAGCGGTAAGTGATTGATTGGTTCAGACTTGAGAGATCCAGCTTAGATCTTGACCAATCCGCGCCGATCATAGGCTATGGCTGCCGTCAGCTATCTGGACAATACCCAACCGAAAACCGGTTAACCTCATTGTGATTCAAGGCTGTAGCGATCGTCAACACTTGGCCGGCATCTTGCCTTGTCCCAACTTTGGGACCAAGGCACACTGTAAACGGGCACTAGTGGGCGTCGAGGAGATCGTTGCCGAAGTCAGGCATGGATGGTCCGGTCGCCTCGATCAATGTCAAGTCATGGTACGTTTGTGCGCTCGGTATTTCGAAACAATCGTGCGTGCTTCTCCATCGTCTTGACCTTGTTTCCCTGCACCGATCACCGAGACGATTGGCCATCTGACCTTTCAGATATGCTTGCTCCGCATTTTCATTGCTCATCCGCCAATGTGACAGACCCCTTCATGTCGCTCTTGGGCACCAACTGAGACGAGGCCAAGAATCGCAACAACCACGTGGTATCTTGTCATCCAACTCTATCTGCCCGAGAATCCCACGCTACTGCGTCTGAAGACGCTCTAGTCGCGAGCTTACGGCCTCGACGAGAGCAGTCTCGCGTGAGAGAAGAGACATGACTTGCTGCAACTTAGCCTTGCGGATCTCTGTTGGAATCTTTAGATCCGATACCGTCGACGACGACGACAACGAATCCTTTCCATCCTTACCGCCCTCGCTTTGTTTCTGTATCCGTTCCACCTCCCCGACCAACTCGTCTCGAAGTCGTTGCACGTCTTCCAAACGTTTCCTCAGCATCTTCTGCTGCCTTGTCCCCGGTCCATCTTCTGGCAACGATCCCAGCACGCTGGCCCCCATGCTCCTGACCTCTTCCACAAAAGCCTTTTCCTTGGCACTGAGCTCCCTGGTTGCAGCCTTGCCAACATACTTGCGGACGCCTTCCAGCCTTTCGTTAAGCCGCTTTTGGCGCTCTTGCGCCTCGGTGATGCGCCTTTCGAATCTAACGTTGTCGCTTTCGCCCTCCCCATCCTTGTCGTTGCCCGCGATCTTGTCGATCTTCTCTTTCACCTCGTTTGCTTTCTTGATCTGGTCCTTCAGATCATCTTGCAAAGTGGCGCAACGCCGGAAGATCTCCGCGACGGCCGTGCCGAGGCGATAAGTGTCCTCTCCCAGGATGCGGTGGGCATCTGTGAGAATCTGGAGCGTGACTGGCGACAACCGAATTTCCTGGTTCAAGATGGTCTTGTGCCGGGAGCTGCGTAGTCTGTTGATCAGCTCGGGGAGGTCGGACTGCTGCTCAAAAGCGTGCGACGGCTGGAAAGTCGGACGGGGCTCGTAAAAGTCCAGAGGCTCCATACTGGCGGGCTTCTCTTCGAAAGGCGCTTCATGGCGGACAGGAGATAAGTCATCGTCGGGCGTGTCGAATGTCAAGGCGATCGGCTCGTATGGAGTTGCCGATAGAAGGAAGTATCCCAAGTCTGGGTCACGGATGGCGGCAGATGCGGCGAACGGCACGTTGACGTCTGATGAAGGGTGGGTGTACAGTCGTTCCCTGATAGAGTTCTGCCCATTCACAAGGAGACCGAGACGAAAGTCAGAGCCAGCCTCTGACTCGCCCGAGAGCTCACCCTCGAGTCGGAAGACCCAGGGAGAAAAGGATAGGAAAGTGATGCCAACGTAAGAAGTGACAAAAAGCGAGTAGCGTGACATGGCATCCGATGAAAAAGTCGGCCATGCGTCGTTGTCCATCTCACCTCCAGTCATAGTGTCGATGCACTGGAACGTCAACAGAGAGGGTGGGTCGGCAGCGGCGAGGAGGTGTCCAAGCTTGGATTTGTTTCGAGGCGGAAGCCACTGTGCTTCGACGCCCTCCAGATCCAGGTAAACGCGGACCTGACCGGTAGTGGACAGTAGACAAATGACCGATAGTGAAAGGCCCTCATGTTCACCGTCGTCGAAATCAAGGTCTTCGTCCTCGCCCATCATTAGGTCGTCGGTGTCAATCTTTTTCCCAATCACAATGATGTCTGTCAGCAGACCATCCCCAACGTCCTCGCTGTCAGGGTCGGCGTCAAACTCGAACGGGCCCTGGAGCCGAGGGATGACCCCGGGCCGGGACGGGCGTGTATAAACCTCAACGGCCTCCTCGCCTGGCGCTGTGTCGAGGACCTGAGGTTCTTGGGAATCCAGATCGCCCATCCACTCGAGCTGTTGCTGGGCGAGGAGCTTATCCTTTTCAGACACGGTGGGGTCGTCTTCCAAGGCGGCGACCTTGGAGACGATGGAAACGGACAGCGACGGAATCAAGGTGGGAGGCGGTGCCCACTTTTGGGGTAGCAAGGGGCTCAGCGCGTAGACATCACCTTCTCTCATGGCGACCCAGAGAGTCATGGGGCTCCATCCGCCGGAGCCGCGACTGGCAAAACACGCCGAAGCAACCTGCATCTCGAGCGAATACTGCGAGAAGCTAGCATTGGTAGCAGCGGTGGATGCTGTGAAGTCTTGGTCCAGGGTCGTGCCGTCTACTAGTTTCTTGAGATCGATTGACAGTGTAGGAGAGTCGAACGACCACCGGTCCGTAAGAGACAGCTCCCAAAGCCGCACAATGGCATCGGTGGTGATGGTGACTAGGCAGGAGCCCTTAACACCGAGAGGGTGCCAGACAGCTGAGGCAACTGATGATCGCGAAGTGACATGGGTTGTAGGCCCCAGCGTCCAGATCTTGGGTCGCAGGGGTCCGTTGTCCTCGGCCGTGAGATGCGACGAGTCGGGAACCACGCAAATATGGACGGTATGGGTCGTCAGAATCGCGAGGAAGTCGGAGTTGGGAGAAATGACAAGCTGGCGAATGTCGTCCGCAACAGGGGTTTTGATCGTCTGTGGAAGCCGTTAGTGATTGTCATCTCCATGCCTCTCAAGCCTGGACCTTACCCGGAAGCCCTGAGCGGTAGCCTCCTCCTCCGTCGAGGGGATCGCTTCGTCATCGAATGCTTGCGCCGAGTCTTCCCGCTTGACACGGCTGCCCATGCGACGGTGCGCATGCTTCGTTGACCACTTCTCTTTCAAATATGCCAGGTCGCCCCATCGCAATTCTTTGCCAACAGCAACAAACACCTCTGTGCCTCGCCTTGCAATCGTTCTTCTTGGGCCAGGGGTCTTCTTCTTCTTGGAAATATAGGGCGACGGCACGCTCAGCGCCTTGGAGGCAGCATCGCTCGAGGGCGCGAACAAGTGGTGACCGGGCCCATGAGACAGCCACGGAGCTGAGTAGCTCTTGACCTTGGGCATTGCGTCCCTCTCCGGCCAAAATGATGTGTCGTCGGGTACAGTTGCAAGTTCCTATGATGTACGAGGTGTTCGGCAGTTTCGATCCAGCTCGAGGGTTGTTCGTTGATATTTTGTTTTTCTTTTTGCGGTGGGTGTTTGCCAGAGATGAGATTGTTGCTGGAACTCCGGATATTCCTTGTCAAAAAACGCGGTTGCTGCTGACGGCCAGCCACGCCGGGACCCGCCCCAAGCTTCCCTTTCCGGCAGTCCGCCAATCAGAACATCTATAGGAATTATAAGTCGTCCGTGCTGGAAGTCTGCACCAACGTACGGATACATCGCCAACATGTTCACTCGAAAATTTGTAATCCTCTAATTTTGGCGCCCGAAAGCCATTTCGGCATTCCCAATGTGATTATTGCAAAGGGCACTTTATATTATATGAAGCAAGGTTGATAACTCTTATCCCCTTACCTCATAGTCTCTGAGAAATAAGTACACACGCTCTAAAGGATGGCGGGGTGTCGTTTGACCTGAATGTACCTAGAACATCCACTGTTAGAAAATCATATTAAATCCCAGAGATCAAAAAAGCAGGGTGAAACAGCTACTTGTAACATGGTCTAAGTAGCCAAGGGACCAGATTGTTGTCCAGGCATGCTTTAACTTATCTTTACTTTACGTTATTAATAATAAAGCAAGGTACATCTAGGGTACTAGTAGTAGTAGTAGTAGTAGTAGTAGTAGTAGTAGTAGTAGTGAGGTAGCTTCCTGTTTATAAGCTTAGCTTTGTCTATAACACTCAAAAAGGAAACCAAAAACCAAGGTAACTAAACCAAAAAGCGGGAGAGGCCTGATTTCCTTGTGACCTGAGTCCCGCGTCGTCGCCGTCGCCGAGGGTGCGGAGCAGTGAAGTCGAATCTGAAGATCCCGAAGTTCCAGGCCAGGTTCCAAATGTCAAAAGGGCTCGTGCACCACGAAGCTGCATCTGCCTGAGGTACCTTTGTACCTACCTGCCTTTTCCTAGATACCTACACCTACACACGGGCCAACCTCACTCCTGCTGTCGCTGCATCTTCGTCTGGACCTTCGACTCCAGTCCACTTACATCACCGATCACAAACCAATTGACCTCCAATCGTGGAAACTTGGTACCCTCCAGAGCCTCCCAAGATGCAGGTCCGCCACAGAAACACAGTCGAGCGCCTTGACAGGCCAAGCGCATACTACCACAGCAGGGTATTACTTCAGTTCTAGGATAACCTCTTCCCACCTCGAGAGAGTATCACCCAAAGTGCTAACCCTAGGCCTCCCCAGAATAAGCGCAGAAAGAACGACCCTCGCGAGGCCCGTGAGGCTCGCGACGCCGAAGACGCGGCCGCCTCCAAGAACGAGCCCCTGCCCGAGGACCCCCTCGCGAACGCCACGACCCTATACGTCGGCAACCTGTCCTTCTATACTACCGAGGAGCAGGTCTACGAGCTCTTCTCAAAGTGCGGCGAGATCAAGCGCCTCGTCATGGGCCTCGATCGCTTTAACAAGACCCCTTGCGGCTTCTGCTTCGTCGAGTACTACACCCACCAGGATGCCCTCGACTGCATGAAGTACATTGGCGGAACCAAGCTCGACGAGCGCGTCATCCGCACCGATCTCGATCCCGGCTTCGAGGAAGGGCGGCAGTACGGCCGCGGCAAGAGCGGAGGGCAGGTACGCGACGAGTACCGGGAGGACTACGACGAGGGACGCGGCGGGCTGGGCAGGGCAATCCAGATGCAGAGGGACCGGGACGACCGGATGGGTGATTATGAAGAGGCGGCACGATGAGCAAGCGCAGACCAAGAAGCTCGGCTTGGCAGGAGACTTTGAGTGGAACATCCAGGAGGCATTGGATTGTTCATGAGTTCCAGATGACAAGATCAAAAGCAAAACGGTTGCGAGTAAACACGTTTTCCCCCTTTTATTTTTATTTTTTATTTTGGGTCGGCGGGAAACGATGCTTTTGCAGCCTAGGCAGGCTTTTGGGATGCGATACCCTCAATTACAACACGGTTAAGGACCTTATTCCGGACTGGCCTGGGTGCGATGCTGGAGCTTGGTGCTTTCAGACAAAGAACAATAGTGATTTTATGCGACGGCATTTAAGCCATTCTTCATCTTGCAAACCAAAGCAGACGCGTAATATACAAGGGGCTCTGCGATGTCTCGGGTTGCTGCTATCGTCACAGGCATTGTTGACAGGAGCATCCTTACCCACAGAAGTTCGAGTTGCGTAGAGTACATATTCGTACACGGATCCGGTTCTCTGGTCATCCTGCAATATAACCGACTGCTCTTCTTCCCCTTTGCCAATCCCATCCCACTGTCTCCAACCGGCGTGCCATCGACATCCTCGAAACGATGACGTTTAGTAACCGGGCGGGTTCAGTCTCTGTGATACTCTCGTCCACTTGGGCAGTTCTGTATATGAAAACCGTTAGCCAAATCCCATCTTCATCCCTCATCCACCTCTCTCCCCTGTGAGGCGTGGATAGACCTAGACCCCCCAAAAGGACCCGGGGAAGAAGGGGCGTGTAGGAGTCCTGAGGGGGGCAAAGAAAACGTACTGTGAATGCCCTTGCGGTACTTCTTTTCCTTGCGGTCGAACATGGTGTACTTGTCCCGCGGCAGCATCTCCGCCTCGGTCGGCATTTCGTCCTTCCACCGCTCCAGCGCGGCAACCGTCACACCCTTCTTGGCGAGCGCCGCGTCCACCGTCGCGACGACGTCGTCGACGGCCCTGAGACGCTGGCGCTGGCGCCGCTTCTGGAACTTTGACAGCCGCCAGGGGATTTTCCAGAGCAGGCCGCTCGACAGCGGCGAGGTCACGCGGAAGGCCCCGAACATTGTGTGGTCTGGTGTGTCTCGTGGCTTTGCGACGGCCGAGATTGGTGAAGGGGTTTCGGGCCGCTTAACCGAATCGTCTTTCAGTGGCTCGCTGACCCGAAGAAAGGAAGGCGTCTCAATTCTTTCCCCTTGGCGGCCGTAGTTTCGTCGCTGTTGTTGTCGTTTGCTGTTGGAGGGGAGGCGGGTGCGGGTGATGCTCAGGAGCTCGAATCCTCAATCGTCGACAGACGTTCAACTCGACCCGGGGAAATTTTGGGAGCTGTTGTGAAAAGTGGGGCGCCATCAAATTCCATTGGACGCTGCAACAAAGCATCAGAGACCAGCGCGCAACGGACCACCCCGACACTTTCTATGGCGACGCCTGCGCTGAGCGCATACCTACCCAGCAGGGTCCCCGCCGCCCTGCAGCCCGCCCGCTCTCCGGTCCCCCGCTGGGAACTCGGTGAGAGGCGCGCAACCGCGAGAGCTTCAATCCCAACCCGGTTCAGCGATTTAGGGGAGAGAAAAAAAAAAAGAGACACACCCCTTCCGACGCCCGCACACCGTATAGAACCTCACGACGGCCTACACGAGGACTCTCGCCTTGTCGCTTACGTACCGCCCGCCCGATTTGGAAGAGCGGCTCCAGTCTGTCCCGAACCAGCGAGCGCATCCACAACCACTGACCGACAAGCACGCACGCCTCTCTGCACATGTCGCGCCGGTGAAAAGGAAGGAAACGATGTCGTACTACTTCGCCATTGTCGGCACGCAGGACAACCCCCTCTTCGAGTATGAGTTCGGCACCTCCAAGCAGGGGGGCGATGGCCAGTCGCGGTTCAACGAGCAGATCCGCCATCTGAACCAGTTCATCTTGCATAGCAGCTTGGACATCGTCGAGGAGGTGCAGTGGGCGCAAGGACAGATGTAACCAACCCCCCCTCCCCTCATTCCCCCCTTGCTCGTCCTTTCCCGTCTTCCCGTTGCTCGCTGGCTATTATGCCACTCTACGCAGGTCTATTCGCAACAGCTCTCGACGCGCGATTACGGATATGGGGATGACTATTTTCTGCGCCGCCTGCACATGCTGACGCCGAGTGACCCCCGGTCGACAGGTACCTTAAGCTCGTCGACAAGTTTTTCAATAACTACGTCTCGTGCTTCGTCACGGCCGGCAACGTTAAGTTCCTCCTCCTGCATCAGCCTTCGGCGCCGTCGAGCACGCCGTCGTCCCGGTCGTCAACCGCCATCGGCGCCAACCCCACGAGTCCCGCGACGGAGGAGGCCATTAAGAACTTCTTCCAGGAGGTGTATGAGAACTGGGTCAAGGCTATCATGAGCCCTTTCTACAAGGTCAACATGGAGGTCAAGAGCCCCGTGTTTCGGTCACGCGTGGCAGCGGCGGGTAGGAAATACCTGTAGCGATATGGAGGTATGCACCTAATGACAGATTGTGCTGTGTTCAGGCAGACGGCATTGTTACTCAGGTGAAGGCGACCATCGGGTGTAAACAAGCGACGCGTCATGATTCATGTACATCACTGCAGTGCATGCCAATATTTTTCATGTTCAAGTCACCATCTCGGTGTTTCATTTCAGACAAGCGTCTGCCTATCGACGCCTTGAGTACTATCATTCCCTGAGTCTCGTGATCCCCAACGCCGTAAATCAACGTGATTGTATCCATATCCCCATTACCGGTGAAAAGACCAACGAACAATCCACTGCAAGAGGTATCGCCTATCGACAGTTTAGATGCCACGGCGCCATGGAACCCAGACCGTGCGATAGCAAAAGCCCCAAACAGTACTGAAAACGGGTGACATGCTTAACCACCGAAACCGTACAGGGTGCGGCCCTGGCGCTTGAGGGCGTAGACAACGTCCAGAGAGGTGACGGTCTTGCGCTTGGCGTGCTCAGTGTAGGTGACGGCGTCACGGATGACACCCTCGAGGAAGGACTTGAGGACACCACGGGTCTCCTCGTAGATCACTGGGAAGGCACATTAGGATCCTAGCGGAGGCGATGTGATGCTGATAGAACTTACTGGCAGAAATACGCTTGACACCGCCACGACGAGCGAGACGGCGGATAGCGGGCTTGGTAATACCCTGGATGTTGTCACGCAAAATCTTACGGTGACGCTTGGCACCGCCCTTTCCGAGGCCCTTGCCGCCCTTGCCGCCTGCGAGACGTTAGTATAATGGCATCGAAAGATGTATGTTGATGTATCAAAGTTGATCTGGATGCGACGCGTCGTGGTTCAAGCGCGTGAGACGCGATCATAGAACACTAAGTGCATGCCAATGAAGGCTTGCCCATTAAAACGCGGGGTTGCCACCACGGTCCACACGCGCCGACATCACGACAACTGATAAAACAAAATAGTACTTACGTCCGGTCATTGTAATGAGGTTATTTGAAGTGGATGTTTATGTGGATGGGGTATAGACACGTCTTTGATGACGTTTGTTGTGAAGAAGTGGTGATGGGTACGTTTGGTTGGGTGAGGGAAGAGTTGAAATGGGGAGAGGAAAAGGTCAAGAGAGGGAAGAAATAAATAAGGCGGTGCTGTCAGTCCGGGGGGACGGTTACTGATTGTGTGGTGCACCTCAGAAGGTGAGATCAGTAGGCTAGTCCCGATTTGGCGAGTGCCTTGATTTCTCGAAAAATAGCGAAACGGCAAGGTCCTCATTTTCCGCAGGGCATTTATCCAGTCACTTTGTTGCAAAAGCGCTGTTTTGGAGGTTTCTTCGAAGTTGCTACTGGCTGGTGGTACGTGCACGGCCTTTTTCCTAAAGTACACCTGTGGTGCACCAAACCAGTCAGACTACTCCGTACATAGAGAAGGAGCCATTCATGAGCAGGGATGTATGTGTGTTGGTTACCCAAAACAGAGTCATAGACAATTTGAGTAAAGTGTGGATGAATTATGACTGGTCTGAGCTTCCCTTCTCAACACAGAGACCCACCCTGTCTATCTTGCCCGTCACGCGCGTCAGGCAGGCACCCCTACCCGCGTCTCTTGTCTGCCGGCGTCCGCTTCGCTCTCCCGCTAACAAGACCCCGAATTTTGATTGGCTGATTCGATATCTCTCTCCACTGGCGGGGACGGAAGAGTTCATGCAAGGGGGTGACTGTTCGCCCCAGATCACCTCCTGCCGATTCGGATTCTGGAGATTCTGGAAGCTGCTTCCGGCCTCCCACCAAACTTTTCATCTTCGCGGCACTTTTGCAAGGCAGTTTGGTTCGCAGACCCAAGGGACGACGGTGTCGATAGCCTTGCTTTGCTCCCAGAAAAAAAAAATCCGATCCTATCTGTGCCCACGTGGCATGGTGCAGGGTTCGACGCTACCGTGGTCATCGATGACTGAATGGTTGGTTAGGTAAGAGGGAGGGGTTTCACTCGGTGTCATGAGATGCTGATTGCTGTCTGTGTGATGATGAGACTTGGATCCGAAGTCCACCGATTCAGCAACTTCACTTGACTTTGCTTGACCAAGTCATGCCTGGGGGCGTTGTGAAGATGAAGCATGAGGCTGACAGTGGATGGTGACTGTGGCCAGGATGATCACATGTGTTGGGGCTTTTGAGCACCTCGCATTATGAAGTCAATGGGATCCTGAGGGAAAAGCCTGGCTATCTCTTTTCACCCACAGCAGTCCAGTCCAAAACGCAAGGTAAACCGGGCAAGAGCCAGTCACTGGCGCTGGACACAATTGCCCCCGCCCCTCGTTTCTCACAGGTCTGGATCGTCAACCCAATTCTGCAAGGTTAGGTGATGCAATACTTTTCATGACGAGCTATTTACCGAGTCACTGCCGCGGCACCAACTAGGCTGCTAATATACAATGGGGCCGACCTTTTGAGCCCCTCCTAAGCCAATATGCTTCCCCCGATTGGATTTCCTAAACGCCGTTGCCATGCAGCATGCTAACAACCGTGAAAACGTGCCATCGTGCTGTTACACCTTGCCCAACCACAAGCCCGGCGAACTTGCTTTCGTCTCCTCGTAAGTGCCCGAAATCATCTTCCATTCTCGCAGTTTCTCCCCAGGAAGCGCATAAACAATCGTGTATATGCTCTGCTCTTGTCGGCAGGATCCAACAACAGCAGCAGCATTAGGCCCCGCTCAAACTGACATCCTACGTCATCATCGAGTCTTCCATGCCCATGTCATCTTCGAGGCTCTCAATGGCGTCTTTGATTGACTGACTGGCCTGCAAAGATTATTAGTTGAAGAATTGTGTCATAGCCTGCGGTACACCTCACCTTTGGATCCAGAGCGAGCGCATTGCTGAAGGCGCGCACCGCCATCTGCTTCTCGTTGATATTTTTGTACAGCTTGCCGAGCAGGAAGTGTACCAAGGCCTCGTCAGGGGCCATATCTTTCAGAATGAGCAGCTCCTTCTCTGCAAGGTCAATCTTGCCGAGACTCATTAGGGCGCGCGCCTTCTTGTAACGGACAACGGCCGCTCGTGGTGCCAGTTCTGTAGCCTTCGTGTAGAACTGCAATGCGGCCATCATCTGCTTCTGCCTCTCGAGGATGGCTCCGATGCGGCAGATGAGGATGGCATTGGATGGGTTGATGTCGGATGCCGTGTGGAAGTGCACATATGCCTTTTCGTGGTTGCCGAGCTTCTCAAAGACCTGGCCTATGCCGTAGTAGGCATTGTAGTGGCGCCGGTCAGCCGTGACGGCCTTGCGAAAGGCGCCGAGAGCCTTCTCATATTCCTCGTTCGCTACATGCTCGTGACCTTGCAGGGTAAAGGCGTATGCGAACCTGGGGTTGAGCTGCGTCGCCCGCTTGAAGCAGCGCAATGCCATTTCGTGTTCCCGGGCCAGCGACCACGCGTTGCCCAGGGCGCACCAAGCCTGCGGCGACGTCCAGTCGGCATCGACCAGCTCGTGCGCGAGAAACGACAGGTCCGTCTCGCGCTTAAGGTGCCAAAGGATGGTCGAGTATATCTCCATGTCGTCCATCCGGGTGGGGGCCACGACGCGGAGTTTTCTGAAGTATTTCTCAGCATCCTTGTATGCGGCCTGTTCGTGATGCGCCCGTCCCATCTGTGCCAGGACCCAAGGAGTGTCTTGCTGGCTCCTGGGTAGCGAGGCGTATATTTGCAACGCTTCCTGGCAGCGGAACCCCTTGAACGAGTAATATCCTGATGCGAATTTCTTCAGCAACTCCATTATCCATCTCAAAGCCTCCTCAATCTTGACATGGTCAGGTTCGGGAGGAGCAGTTTTCGGCGCTGCATGCTGTACCGCATGAGACTCCCTCACACGGGTGGTTTCGGCATGGTCGACATCCATACCGCTGTCTTCGACGGGTTTGCGGTTGCCGCTCACGACCCTGCCGACGCTGGAGCCGCTAGAGCCAGGTCGCATTATTCGAGAAATCTGGGGCCTAGCCTTCTTCAGCTCGCGACCAGTAGTGGCGCCAATGGTAGCGGCGCCAGAATTCGACTTCATGATCGAGGGCTTGTTAAACATGTTGAGCCTCGCGCTTCTCCGTTGTGCGGGCGCACTGGCCTCTTCGGAGTGTTGTCGGGAAACAGGGTGTCCAGACACTGTCCGCTTCCGCTCCGTAGGTGCCGCTGTCGATCGTAAGGCGCCATTGCCGGTCCCAGTGTCGGAATGCAGCTCAACGGGCTGCTGTTCTTTATCCTGGCTCCTGGTGCTTCTCTTGGCGCCGCCCAGCTTGTAGCTCATCTTCGGTGGTGCCTCCAGAAAGCCTGGGTCCACGGCCTGGGCCGTCCTTGTCCTGCGAGGAGGCGCCTGTGGTGGTTCGGCGGCGCCAAATGCGGAGCGCATGGTAGGAACCTCGGGCATGGAGACCGGCCCTGTGGGTGTCTCCATCAAATCCAGGTCGCCATTGCTCGTGGATGGCGGCGCCAGCCTTGACCTTGCCGCAGTGATCTTAGACATGAAGTCGTTCTCCTCTGCCTCAGCAGAAAACATGTTGGCGCTGTAGGGCATGTCCTGATATGTAGAAGAGCGGTGGAGGTTGAACGGATCAGACGAGTCCATGGCTGTGCGTCCCAGGGGTCTCTTGGGCTCAAAGGAGTTCGCAATGCTCTCCTTGGGTTCTTGTGACAACGCTACGACTTCTGATTCGAACGAGTGGGTGAGGGATTCGGTGACCTGGAAGATATTCGGTACCCGCAGCTTTACACCCATGTCGCAGAGGGCCTGAAAAGCATCCCACATGAAGGGGTTCACCCTCACAGCGGTCTCAAAACACTCAATGGCCCTCCGCTTGTCGTCGTAAGCCCGGTATAGCTTACCAAGGAGACAGTGAACAGCGGCCTCGTCAGGATACAACGAGCGAGTGGAGTTGGTGTGCTTGCCAATGTTCATTTTGCTAATCCACTTGTCCCGCACTTTTTCCAATGCGTTAATACCATCTTTGTAGCGTTCCATCTTCATGCATGCATGCGCAAAGACCCAAGCAGCACCGAGGTTCGACCCACGGGAGGCAGAGGGTCTGCTGACTTCGAAGGCGGTCCTGTGGTCACCAAGACGGAGGTGACAGAGGGCCAAGAGATGTGCAGACTCGCTCGACTTGGGGTCTTGGGCGCTTAGCCTCTCGGCGAAGAAGAGGGCATTCTCGTAGGCATTGTTGTCGACATGGTAGTAGACGACCTGGCGTAGCAGCCCTGTGATGGCTGCACTCGTGGGCGCCATGTCCGAGGTTTGGTCTAGAGAGGTAGGTATAGAGAGGTAGGGCGGGTGAACGGGGGGGGTATTAACGTCGAGGGCAGTTTGTGGCCATGGGATCTCGCATGGAATGTGCAAACGTCGTGGAAGGAGGAAAGGTCGAGGAGTCGCGGCGCCTAGCCCGGGTCGACGAGTGCACTCGGGGTGCTGGGGCGGTAGGTAGAGGACCTCGGAGGCGTTGGTTGAGCTCTGTCGAGCTTGGATATGGGATTTTTTGTCGAGGGCAGAAAGCTGCGTCGGTGAATTTCGAGGTGCGCGATCGCGCGGAGCCTGAGGCCAAGAACAGCAATGGGGACGGACGGATTGGCTGCAAGGCGCGTATTGTACCAGCTGATTGAGAGGTATTGGCAATTAAGAGAGCAGCAGCAGACAGGCGTCGTCGATTAAACAAATTCCGAAAGTGCTACAAAGAGCGACGGCGCGGGTCGTATGTTCGTTGCTGTGGTCCAATGGGGGTTTTTTCTTTTTTTTTTCTTTTCGCTATTGCTGTTGCCTGCCTGTCGGGCGAAGAAAGGCGTTCGTTGCGTAGTGGGTCACCGCGTGTGTTGTTTGGGTTTCCCCGGCGAACGGCAAAGAAACACAGCAATGACGGACAGAAAAGGAAACACTTTCCCTCGCAACTGAAAAATTCCGGCGCGCAGCAATATCGGACCCTCGCAGCGGCGCAAAACAAATCCGCTGTGCATAAGAAGAACCGATCAAACGGCGGAGTTCCCAAGAAGAAGCGCGACGCAAGAAAAATGTAGTATATAAGACACTTTCACGCAGCACGCGCAACAAGGCCCAAAGAAAGCGAACGTGAAGGGGATAGGACGCAGAGTGGAAGAGGAGTCGCAGGGAATTGGGGTCGGGAATAAGAGAGGAGGCGGGGAAAGGGAGTGCGTGAAAGTAGGTAGGTATCTCGCTAGAAATGGCTTTCCTGAAGTCAACAAGAAGACGTCAGTTGTTGGCTCAAGTCGTGCCTGATCAGCCGTGCATTCTCTCGGTATCGGTGGGATGGCGGGAAGGCAAGAAATAAAGTCGTAAAGGCGTCACTCCAGGTCTATCTAGGTTAGGGTCCGTCCATGACTGATATCCCCGATGTCCACCTGTTTAGTTACGCTGTGGCAGGTTCAGTAGTGTAGACCTTACGCACACCTGGTATTATTGGCCGTCTTGTCTGGCTTGATTGGCTCACGCGGTGCCTCGGTGGTCACTGTCACCTTCCATCACCCAAGCAACCCAGTAGGATGGAGCGCCTGCCTCTTACCTCACAGCCAGTAGCCTTTTCTACTTGCCTCTGGCGCTGCCAACCCCCTACTCTGCCGTCGCCAGCCCCTCCTCCCCACTGTGTCCTCCCTTGCGCCATAGACATCCACCCGCCACCTTTCCTTCTTGGAGATCCACTCCACGCCGCCTGCCCGTGCACCCCCATTGGACCCCCCGCGTGCCTAAGCCACATCCACTCGACCGCGTTTTTCAGCCTCAAATTGCTCTCTGGCCACAGCACCATCTTTTTACTTGTAGGAACGCCGGTGTCCACTTTGAAGGTTATCACCCGCCACCATCATCATCCTCATCAAGCAGCCCTTTTGTACCATCATCGGCATTCTCGCCCGCATTCAGGCCATAGTCCCTCACCGCCCGGAGAAAACACTCACCTACCTCAATCATGGCTCAGAAGGCAAAGAAGGACAGGGCCAAATCCAACGCCGCCGCCCTCAACAACCTCCACACCGGCTCCGCCGTCGTCAACCTAGGCTTCCTCCTTTTCTACTTCTTCACCAAATCGCGCTCCATCTTCTGGTTCTTCTTGCTCTCTGCTCCGGCTCTGGTCTGCGAGTTCATCCTGGAAAGCACGGGGCGTCCCAAATATGACACCGCCGGCGGCCTCAAAACCTCCGGCGAGGACCTCGCCGCCTCGGGCTTGACCGAATACATGTTCGACGTCATCTGGGTTACCTGGGCATCCGTCGTCCTGGTTATCTTGTTCGGCAACTGGGCCTGGATTCTTTGGCTCTCCGTCCCCGCCTACGGCGCTTACGCCGGGGTCGGTCTGCTCGGGGCTGGCAAGCGAATGGCTCAGATGGGTGGTGCTGCGAACAACCAAGAGCCCGCGCCGCCCGTCAACAGAAGGCAGCGCCGGGCCGCGTAATCTCGCATCACGGAACAGCGGCACATGAGACTTGGTGGTGAGGGCAACGTGTCTAATCGCATCTATCGAAACTGGCCTCCTTCAGTTTTGTCTATGCCACGGCTTCTCCTCGGTCCACTTCATGATGGCTTCGGCATCTACATCTCGCACCAGCACGTGGATGTGCTCCAACGCCCGGACGCTCTGCAAGGCGACCCAGTTCTTGAACCAGACAACCCGCTCCGCTCCGCCCTCTCCAAGGCTGTCGACAAAATATCTATCGATGAATTCCTGGACGCTGTGTCTGCTCTCTGGTGTCATGTCTCCGGTGTCTGGGTCTGTCGCGATAATTGTGCGCGACCAGACGACGAGGTGGGTGATGCCCGCATCCAATCCATATGGCCAGTCATTGGCGAGAACCCGGTAGTCCGAGGGATCCTCGAACGGGATCAGGGACTTTGGCGTGAATGGCGGCGGCCCCCATGACTTGGGCAGGCGGTTCGCGAGAAGGTATTGGGTCATGGAGCCGTACTCGGCCTTGGTCTCGGCCGTCCATTTCATGTATCGACGCAGGTCCGAGGGCTTCCTCTTCAAGACCTCCAGCTTGTTCGTCTCTGGTACTACAATTAGAAAACCACAAAGCGAAAACAGGAAACGAAATTCAAACACGCCCAGGATCCTGGACCGCAGGCGCCCTTACTGATAATCTCCTTGAGCTCCTCCCAGTCATGTTTCTTGAACTCCTCGTCCGTCTGCGAGAGGACCCACTTGTCGACCTCGGTCAGCGGGAAAGGCGCATCCTCCAATTGAACATTACCCATTTCGAATGACTCAGATGCGACGGCGCAAAGATTCTATAAAAGGTTGGGTGGCTGGAAGGAACGGGGGTTCTCACTCGGCCCCAGAACGTTGACAACGCAAAGATAAGCGTGCGGCGAAGCCATCTCACCGTTGGGTGTATGGAGCGACTTACAGCGGAAGATCAACGGTCCGACCTTCTCTCATTCGGCCCCTCCCCAGGGTTACTTGCCCATTGGCTCCGGGAAGTTCTACATGCGGTGCGAGCCCATGCCTGTCAAAGGCAATACTGCTTCTACATTGACTGAAGCTATCGTTTGGGTAAAGTGCGGTGAGTGGGGTGGCTCACGATTAGTCTCAGATAGCAGCTCAGATAGGTAGGCAGATTCCGCTCTCGGGACCGGACCACCCCCTGCCACTACCGTTTCGTGACTTGACCGCCAAACTACCGGGGGAGCCCAGAGCCGACGGAGCCTCGGCAATCAATCAATCTATCAACAAGACGTGAAATGCACACATCCTGGTGAATAGTGGAATTACTATACAGACTGCTTCTGCCACCGCAGAATACACGCCAATTCAAGAACCAGCTCCCGTATAGGACGCCTCACCGAAAATGGAGATAACCTGGCACCCCTACTACCCCGTGGACGCAGGGCTGCCGCACTACGTAGCCAACGAGGCCCCCCTCCTTAAGCTGCTTGTTGCGTTCGCGGCAACCATCGCCATCGTTGTCGTCGCTGTCTTGACGGTCGCCAGGAGGATTCATCCCAAGATGGTGACCTCAGACCAACTCGTCGTATCCTGGTTCGCTCTTTGTGGGTGAACGTCCGACGGCCTCGTTCATCGGGGGGAGAAGCAAAGTGGACTAACACTCTGCGTCACACAGGCGGATTCCTGCACTGCTTTTTCGAAGGTGAGAATTGTCTGTCTCACAACACTGTGCTCCGTCGCGGACTAAACCTCATATCCAGGGTACTTTGTCTGGAACCACCGGCGTCTCGCTGGTATGCAGACGCTCTTCGCCCAACTGTGGAAGGAATACGCTCTCTCCGACTCGCGGTATCTAACCTCTGACCCGTTCATGCTCTGCGTCGAGTCCTTCACCGTTGTGAGTTGCTGCTGAACCGCCCTCGCCGCACTCCCCGTCTCTTCCCATCTGGACGACCTCAAGACTGAGACGGTCTCCAGGTCGTATTGGGTCCCCTCTGCTGGGCCATTGTCGTCGCCATTGCCAGGCGCAGCCACGTCCGCCACCCCCTGCAAGTTATCATGTGCGTTGGGCACCTGTACAGCGTCGTGCTCTACTACTCAACCAGCCTGACCGAGCTCTACTTCAACGGCGTCTCGCACAGTAGGCCCGAGTTCTTGTACTTCTGGGTCTACTACGTCGGTTTCAACGCACCTTGGGTTGTGGTCCCCGCCGGTGTGTTTCCCGCTCCCGTCGCATCGCACCCTCTTTGGTGGCTTCTGTGGGATGTGCGAACGCTAACAGGCTGCAGTCATCCTCTTCCAGAGCGTGGTGCGCATCAAGAACGGCCTCCAAGACCGCCACGTGAAAGCAGCTTAGATGGCTCTGACCAAAGCAGCAGTGATTGCAAGACATATGCATTCTAATGCCAATATTTGGAATTGATTCCACGCACTGAATCGGGTCCTACACTCAGCCCCTCACACGGCTTCTCTTACAGTCTGGCGGTGAATATAAACAAAAGGCATGTCCGATGGCAGGATGGTGTCGAGCTGCTGTGTGGTAACTCTCAGAACTGCTTTGGGCTCTGGGAGCACCTACTTAGAAGTGACAGATGGTGTGGGTTCCTCGAGGTCGAAGAAGCGGATCCTCGGGCACATGGCTCTGCTATATGAGAGAAAAAGAAGAAGAAGAAGGACAACAACGGTCCCCGTTCCCTCCCATACACCCGTCTGGATGTACGTTATGCAGAATACAGCATGGTCTAGAGACAGAATCCCCCTTTCGAGACCCCCAGACTGAGCAATTTTGCTAAGACCGTACAGACAAGGTTACGCTTATCCTCCAGCCCGAAGTTTGACGTCGTCGTCGTCATCGTCGTCGATACTGATGCGAGCAAACAGGAAGCGCCGGATTGGTGCCCGCTCAACAGAGACTTCATCACTTGTATCCAGGTAGACGGCAACAGAAGCTTCAATGGCGTTTTTGAGCCACGTCCTGCTCTACGACCCGGCTTAATTGCTGCCAAGTCCCACCGAGACTGTGACGTTACAGAAGCCCCCCGTGTTATCAAGTCATTCATCTTAATTCGGTATCCTATGTCAGCCGCTCTCTGCAAGAGGCCGGTATGTACGCCTCTAAAAGCTGCTCTCCCTGTCAAGCCATAACTGATCGAGAGATCATTCGTTGGCTTCGTCATTACTAGCCAGTCAGTCGTCTATTCAACCGCAACGCCGCCCAGATGCCTAGATGCATGTCATATCCCGTTGCTTTCAGAGCTGATGATCACGTCTCCATCCTCACAACCATCTAGTAAATGCCCTGCGTTCTATACTGAAAGGTATCGTAGCTAGAAATATATCAGTATGGCAAAGCATGAAGGGATGTGACGTTACTTACAGTCGTGTGTAGTAACTGCCCAAAGACTTGCCGATCAAGTCTGTCTCCACAAACTGCTCGGCTTCGTCCGCACTCAGCTGCAGCTGGAATCGTTGACGAAGGTTGTACGTTGCTTGGGCCACTCCAGCTGAATAGCAAGGCATCTTCGAGTCTCGCCCCATCATGGCTACCAAGTCGATGATATTATCCGCAGAGCGTCGCAGTGCTAACACGAGTCAGAATCATGAAAATCGAAGCCACAGAATCACCAGACTCACCCTGGAAGGCCTGCTTGCAGAGCGTCTTATAGTCTTCATAATCGTCGGAACCAATACCGCCCAACACCTCAATGTACTCTTGTGTAAGTTTGAAAGGCGCCGCTTCGAACCCAACCGATCCCGGCGAGTTGGACAGCATGAAACCAAAGTCGATGTGCACAATATGTCCCTCGCTGTCGATCAAGACGTTGCCGTTGTGTCTATCCTTTAGCTGCAAGATGTATGATATCATACTGTATGCAGCCAGAGAGCGCTTGAAGGCGTCCACTCCTGCCTTGAAAGGCTCGCTGTCTGGAGGTCCAAATGCTTTCAGAAAGTGGTCCCTGAGCGTAGCAAACCGACGCCTTTGGTTCGGGCCTGTCTCCATTGAAAGAGTCAGGCTTCGCTTGATGGAGTGCAACGACACGCCGTTGGTGATCGTCTCGATCAGACCAGACGATTCTCCCGTGACGAGAATGCGCATGAGCTTGACCCACACGTTGACTTTTGCGTCAACCCAGATCTTGTGGCAGACGTCGATAAGCTGGCAGGCAAAGGCCTCCTGACGCAAGTCGGCTCCTGTCTTGACGATGACACTGACCAAGTCCCAGTTCTTCATCCAGCCATAAGGCGATGTCTTGCGAATACGTTCCTTCTTTGCTTGCCATGCTTCACCAAAAACAGCCGCACTAGGATCGTCACGATCGCCCTTACTCTGAATACCGCCAGTCTTGATATCGTTCTCCATTCTCGCGAGTCCGGCACCAGCATTGAGTCCCGGTTCAACGGAAGGCTCGCCATCGACTTCCGGATGTTCGGTATTGACCACGGCGTTTGCTTGCGCGGTAGAGGCCTTTGCGATGATGGTGTCAAAAGTTGGACCCTGCTCATCCATATCGAAACTCTGCTCTTCCAGACTCTGCATGCTTGCGATAATCTTCGCTCTGATAGCCTGGACCTCATGTTTCGGTCGCTTGCCGCTCGTAGCCTCAAGTTGCGCCAGCATCTGCGAAGCGGTTCGCATGTGCGTAGCCAGTGCCGAGAAGTCTGGCTGGTCTACCGAGGCGTTGGCGCGCGTTGTAATTGTCATCTTGCGGAGCGGACCTGGCGGGCTGCTCGATCTCGAAGTAGAAGCGCCAGAGCTCCGTGGAGTTGGCATGTCCGAGACAACACTCGACATTGTGGTAGTGGTACTGCTAGGTAGGCGCTGAGGCTGGAGTGGCGGGGCTTGTTTCGCCTGAGGCTTCTGTAAAGGATCCTCGTCGAACGGCTGGATCAAGGGAGAGCTTCCCAGATCGCCAGATACTGGCTCAAAGACACTGTCAATGGTTGCCTCCGGTGTCTTGGGCACTGTCGTTATGCGTGGCGAGTCCGAAAGATCGAATATGCGTCGAGTATGGCCTGGATCGGAAAGGAGAGTACTTAGAAGCCTTCGGTTGTCAGGCGTATCCGGATCGAAAGTAAAGTCATCTCTCAAAACTTCAACCATCAGAAGATAAGGCACCTTCTCTGCGCTATTTAACACTGTCGACTCTGTTGGATTCAAGCGCACAATTCTATGATGTCTGCTCTTCGCTGGGGAACCATCGACCAGAGTTGGAGGACAAATAACAGGAACATCCACTTCGGCCGGCAGATCTTGCGCAATGAGGGCGAGCTCTGCGCGAAGAGCACTGAGACGAGCAGGTTTTGGCACGATCACGAGTCTGTTTGAAATGCCCTCGAGAGCAGTCAGAAACTGCGTTTCGCATCTGAAGTAGTGTTGTCGCAATAGTCTCGTCTTCTGCAGGGGCGTCAACTCTGCGGCGGTGGCGCCGCTCTTGAAGTGATGGGAATGTCTCCTATTGAGGGTGTCGCCAGGTCTTGGAGGGAGTCCTGCTGACACAGGAGTCGTCGGTCTTGTGATGGCCAATCTGGGAGATCGTAGTTCTGGAAGGGGCAGTGAGGAGGAGCTGAGACGGGCATCGTCGCTCTTCATGTTGAGATGAGGTGGCAGACGCTTTGCCTCGACCGGAGTCTTGGAGCCGGATGAACCTGGCCGTGTTATAGACGGGTCCGTTGATCGATGGTGCGAATTGCCCGACGCGGAACTAGGCAGCACCAGATCTGGCGCGCTGGAGAGTCGTCCGGCATCCTTTGCACGCTTAGACCTCGAGCTACCGGCCGTCACGGTGTGGGCCCGCGTCACCTGGGTTGTCTTGAGGTTGCTGTCTCGGGAATCGGATATCAGATCGTCGGACGGCTGAGGCTTTCGGGCCTGAGCCACGGCGAGTGGGCCAGCCCATTGTGGGACAATAGGAACCGCAACGCTGGCTAGGACGAAACTGGCGAGAACCGTGACAGGCAGAATGTTCTCCTTGATCTTGTCGTGTCTCGCAGCGTCTGGCAGCCCGAAGACAATATGTTGCACTTTGTTGTATACCCTCCGACATGTCTGAAAGGACTTGGATTGCGGATTGGAGGATAGGTCATGGAGGTAGGTTTGAAATAGCCAGAAAGTCTAGGAGCTAGTGAGCAATGAAGGCGAGCGCGCATCGACGGGGAGGCAGCACGAACCAGAAGCGCGGCAGTCACAGACTCTTCACACAAGTCCATGAGGAACTCCTCCAAGGCCATGGATTCATTGTCGACGCTGATTATAAGGTGGCACAGCTGCGGGAGAAAGAACTCGATATCCTCGTAGGGGAACTGGCGCAGCTTGTTGCAGAGGACATAGTGAATGCCCACATGGTCGGCGTATCGACTGGATGAATGAAAAGTCAGGGGTCAGCGAGGCGTTCCCAAGCCGCGGCAGCGTCGATTGAGACGGTAGCATATGCTGCGGTAAGAGGGCGCAGTAGGAAGCTCACTCACGAGAGGTAGGAGACCGAGAGAAAGGGGTTCGAGTTGAAGACGTCGGACTCAAGGAATCGCTTGAGCAGGTCCCACGACATTGGTTACGCCACGGAGGGGGAAGAAGGATGCAAGTAGCAGCGAGGCTCGGTGCCTCATTTGATCATGGACATGAACGTGAGTCGCAGTTCGAGGGACGGTTTCGCATGGCGGGAAGCTCGAGAGACTTTGGGATAGGTTGTCGAGGGCAGCACGCAAGATTGGAGAAAGACGCCGAGAGACACACGGTGGCCGGTTGCTCGATTGAGATAGGTAACTACCTCTCTCCGCCGCGGATTGGAAGGTCGATTTGTCCACTAATCTAAGAGCGTGACTTGGATGGTGGGAGGAAGGCCCCATACACGACCCGCCGTTTCCCAGGACTAGTGCCTAAAATTTCTGGCCTCAAATTACCTAGGGACGGGGGATTACCTCAGCGAGCAAGGACCTGCTGCTTGGTGAGTAAGGAGTAGCCACGGAGGGCTGGAACCTTTTAGTGCAAGAGGAGCGAGGGGGCCGCCAGACAGAATACCAGGCCTGAGAAGACGAAGCGGCGCTAGTGCCAATGGGGGCGGCGGCCGAGCCCATGTCTGCGGGGCATCGTCTTCTCATGTGCATGTGTGACATTAATTGCATACCTATGGCGGCTTCACTCCTCAGTGAGAGATGGGGACAGCCTCAGTGGTAGAAATGAGCTTCATGAGGGAAGAGCAAGGCATTTGCCTCTGAGTGGGTATGAGCAGATGTTGTCGATGCTGCGCATGCCATTATGGTTGACGATGATGATGGAGATGATGATTACGCAGTGTATGGTATGTATGACAAATGCTTCAGTGAAGGTGAGTATCGTGTAAGTGAAGATGATCATGTGCTGCATTTCAGCGCAGTGCTACTATCTATGTAAAGCGGAGACTGTCCGCGATGCGATGGTGATGCGCAGAAGAAGAGAAAAAAGTGATTTCATTCAAAATCGGTACGGATGTAAAATGAGCCATTCACAGCATGCAGGCCGAGGAAGCAGCGCTTGGTTCCTCGGTGCCACGCCATATACCCATATGCCCCTCCCAAGTGACATTTCGACAAGTTTCCCCCCGTCATGTCACCCAACGCCGATGTAGATGCTAGCCAGTCCAACGCCAATCCTCATAACCCTAGTCGTGTTTCTCATCACGGAAGTGTTCCCCACGTCGAGAGGGAGACGTAAACTCACGCGGCCTTCTTCTTACGACCGCCCTTGCCCTTCTTCTTCGTCTCGACTTCCATCTCTTCCTCACTCTCCGACTCGGCCTTGGAGCGGCCGCCCCGCTTCTCTTCATCGCCAACCTTGGCGGCAATGTCGGCCAAGAAGTCATACTGGCCGTCTGTCTCAATGACTTGCTTGAGCATCTGAGCCGTGACTCGCTTCGAGTTCTTCTCCCGGGCGATTTCCGCGCTCCGGCTGACGACAGCAATCATGAACATCTCCAAGGCCTTGCCAACGGCAATAGGGGTCTGCTGCGCGACCTTGCCGACCTCCTCGTCGGCCTGCATGATGCGCTTTATCCTCGCGGTGGGAAACTTTGTGCGGACTGGCGAGGGATCAATTGGGGGCGGCGAAGGGGCCGACTGTGTGTTCTTTCTGGGAGGCATTGTTGCTGAACCCGGTGTTTGTGGAAGATGTTGGGAGTCCTGATAGTACGGGATATCGTAAAGCTGAGGGGTTGTGCCGAATATTTTCTGCTCTAAGAACCCCTGGCTTTGTGGTGTTGAGGGCTGGTGTGGTTGTTGCTGATGTTCTTGATGTTTGACGGCGGGCTGGATCCCATATGCACTTTGTGGATGTTGCGGAGACGGGTGCTGCTGGTGCTGTTGTGGCGGCGAATGGTGGTACCGAGGAGATGGGTACTGTGGTTGGTGCTGGTATTGGTGCTGTTGCTGCTGACGCTGGGGGGACTGCAGTGGTGGCTGATGGGAAGACAAGACTGATTCGGACTTGATTGCCGCTGAATACGGGTAGTGGGGCTGCTCCTGTTTGATGTGTACAGGAGTTGAAGACGACTGGTGAGGATGGTAGGCGCGTGGCGAGGGGGAGGAGTATTCATATACCGGCGGTGCGGCGGTTTGCAGCTCGTTCAGGTATTGCTGGTTGTGCTGCAGATTGTGTAGTGGAGGCGTGGGCGGGGCGGGTGCTGCCGAAAAAAAAGAAGAGAGGTCCGGCGACTTTGGTGCGTAGGTAGTAGTGGTGTCGTCCGCCATCTTTATGATTTTTGCCCCTCTTTGCCTCTCCTTCCCTCTCCCGGTGCTTGCTTGCTTGCTGGGTCTGCTCTGAAAACTGGCAGCCGCTTTTTTTTTTTTTCTCCCTCTCTCTCTTTGATTTTTTGGGAGTGGAGGGCGAGTAAGTGACAGGGGCCCTTGGCTGGTGCAAAAATGGCCAAGGTCCCAAGGTACCTAGGCAAGGTGGTATGGTATAGGTTGGCGGTGGACGTGGGGACAGGATGATTAAGCGAAGAGCAGGGACCGGTTCAAGAACAAAAACCAGTCCGCATCCCCTTCTGACACACACACACTCTTTCTCTCTGAGCCGTTCTCTTGTGTGCCTGTCTTGCCCCAGTGACTTGCGTCTCAACACAAACAATAATGCAATGTTTGCGCGACTCCGGCCTTGTCAGGGGACAACTTCTCCGGGGGCTGGCGTGTAAGTGTGGTTCAAGCTCCGGCTGCCGCGAGCAGTCTAGCTGTTAGCGATGTCAGGTCGTCAGACGTGGGGCCGATGCAAGCTGCGGTGTTGATGACAGTGTCTCGAAGCAACAAACCACTGCCGTACTCGGATTGGTGAAACTCAAAACACAAGACAAGACAGAATGAGGCTGTCTTTGAAGATGCGTGGGTGACTCGCGTGTAGAATAGCCTCAGCCAAGGTGACAGGGCTGGGCTTAAAATACAGGAGAACTTCACGTCAGGACGGAACAGACCCAAACACATCCAGAAACATCAACGGGTCTAAGATGACTCCAGAAGGCCGGACAGCTGCTAGAGAAAACCCACAGCTACAAAGCCACGAGGGATGGAGGCAATATGGCAGCTAGGCAGCCTCAACCAAAATCGACCGGCGCGAATCTTGGTACTTCAGTCTAGGATGACCACAAAGGGGACAGTGTGGTAAGGCTGAAGGCGTCAGGCAACTCTCCAGGCGTGGATCAGTGGGAGATGCCAAGAGGGAGTGAGTGACTGGTGGCTGATGTGCACAGCGTAGCCGTGAGACGTTGCTCGGTAACCTGCAAAGTGTGTCAAACACAGCAAGTCGACATATGTTGGCTGCGAGTTTGGACCTCTCGTCCTGCTGAGCCTGGCGTCGAGATTGGGCGAATGGCACTCGATAAGGCTTCGATGTGGATGGCGAGCCAGGATGGAAAGACAGGTAGGTTCGGGGTTCGGCCCTGATAATGGTGGACGTATTGTATTGTACGTTGCGTTGTGCAGGTGTAAGTAGTATAGTGTACTCCGTAATTAGGTAGGTATGCGGTGGATGCGGGGCAGTGGTATTCTCGGGAGTGGTTCAATCCGTACTCGTAGATGGGGGGGGGGGGGGGAAGAGAAGTGATCTGGGAATATCCGTAGATTTTGGAGAATGAAGGGGGTGGGGTCAGAAGATGACAATTGTCCACGCCAGTACAGCCTCACAAAAGACAAGGGCCGTGGGGAAAGAAGCAGGATGCGGAGCGGTTAACGAGCAGAGAGAGCAGGCAGACTGGGCGGCACAGCACAGCAGTGCAAATGCGATGGCGAGTGGTGCTTGTTGCAGCTGTGTGCGCAGGCCGTAAGCTGACGGAAGGCGGGTGACAAACGACGACGATACGGTCGGTGACAGGTGCTGTTCGCGGTGGGCGGGTTCCTTCCGCAAGGCAATGAATCGATCACGGTGGGAATTTCCACCGTTTATATGCGCGTCGCGGGTCAGAGCTTCCCCCCTTTGACGCCTTCTGCCTTCCCCAAAAACACCATCAAGCAGGGGTCATGCTGCCATACTGATTGGTCCAGCGCTCGAGGTGTGCCCACGCTTTCCCGTCTTCTGCATCAGCACTGCCGCTAGTGTAGCTTCTGGCGCGAGGCAGAAGCGAAGACACAGGTACTCTCTTCTTGCACCCTACCTGCCTAGCTACCTAGGTAGCTGGACAGGTACTTTGGGTACATCCACAGTAAGCCTATCCCCCCAAGTACATGTTATACTTAGGTAGGTAGGCAAGGTATCTGGGTACCTAGAGGTATCCTTTCTGACGGGGCTGGATCCTGCTCGTCTGTTGACTATGGTAATTCGTGTACAGTAACCGTGACTCTGATCACCAATTCTGGTTGTTCATTTCCCTCTCCCACATCCTTTCCCTTCGTCCCATAAGGCACGGCCCTCGCCGTGCCTTTCTTCTAACATCGAAACCAGGATAGTCCAAAAGCGAAAGAAACCGAGAGACAGGCGCCGCCGCATCGCCAACACTATCATCATTCTCAAGTCGCGCGACATGGGCCGTGTCCTTTGTCATCCCAGCGTGTTGCTGCATGTCGCAACCCAGCATTGGTAGCTGCATCTTGCGGCGCCAAGTCATCAGGCAGGCCCAAGAGGGAGGAGACTGGCTGACTGGCCAGCCAGCCCATGTAGGATAGGGCGCGGTAAGCCGACTGACCATTCTTGCAGCCCCTTGACCTCGCGCCTTCTCTCCATCGTCAGGACGTAAACTCGACCGTTTCCTCCTTGCTGTCCATCGTCGACGTCTCTCGCGCCGAGTCTTGTCTGTTCATGAGACTTGTCCAACTTTGTCAAACCCCGCCGACTTCTGTCTCCCATGCTGCCTGGAGCCGGCGCACTCCCTGCACATCAAGCCCAGGCAAGCCTTTCGCCGCGCGCCGACACCAAGGAACCCCGTCGTCTGAAAAGGATATTTTCTGTCGCAAAGTCCTTCGCGCTCCTCAAGCTATCCAGCCAACCAAGACCCACTCTAGCTCCATGACCATGCCCGACCGAGCCTTTTCACTTTGCGACGACCCTCCACCAGTGTCTCCGCCGCAGCTAAAGGTTGGACTCTAAGCTCACTTCGGCGCGGCTTTCCAAGCGCGGCTGCAAAGAACTCATCCACATCCTTCAACGCGTCTTTGCCAAATGTTTGTTGCGGTTCCCCGACCGGGAATCCCGCCGCTGCCGCTGTAATTTCCGGTCGGCCGACGGCCCGGTATGCAGGAACACAGCTCAGTCATGCAGGTAATTAAAACACACATTTTCTATTGTTTGCGCTCCCTTCTATTGGCTCCCACGGATGATGACAACGATGGAGAAATGGCTGGAGACCAGCAAAGAGGCCACAATCACAGAAGCCGAGTCGTTCCGGCCCTGGTTTCGAGATTGGCGCGCCTCGGTCCATGACAGTTTGAAACTTGATCTAATCTGACTGTTGGTGGCGGATGGACTGCGCCTTGGCAAACGGCTATTCAATGCGTTTTCTGATTGCTGACGTGAGTGTCCGCAGACCCTCCAGCCTCTTGTTCTCGTTGCCCGACAAGAACAAATCAACCACGGGCCAGGCGTGTATGCCGCCCTCCTCACAGCGGCTGTCCACTTGGGTGTTCTTTACCAGCACCTTGATGAGATCTCTGATATCAGGGGCAAACACTTCCTCGGATCCATACACGATGAAGAACCCGCAAGGCGGGCTAGCCTCCGCCCATACCCGATGATCGACACATTGCCCAGGCGACGCCGACTTGTCGTAGGCATGCGACGTACCGGCATACTGCAACGCGTACCTCCACAACATGTCGCGATCCAGAAAATCGCTGGCTGAATTTTCATGTTTGTTGGAGATCAACTTGGACCATGGCGAGACCAACACGCAGAGCCCAGGTAGCGGTGACTCAGAAGCCTTGCGTAATTGCCCCTGGCTCTCGCTGTCAGATGCGGCGGAGTCGTCGCTTCTTTCCTTGAAAGCCCTGGCTTCATTCATGTGGCCGAGTTCCAACAGCAGCGTCAAAATCAATGTTCCTCCAGCCGAGTCGCCGGCTACCACCACCTTCCGAGGATCTCCAGCCCTGTCCAAGACGTGCTTGTACCCCCTCAACGTCTCATACATCTGCGTCGGGTAAGTCTTGTCAGGCACAAGCGTATATTCGAGGGCGAATATGGCAGGGTTCTCGTAGCCTGACTGGACCAACAGCGAGTGCCACGACAGGAGAAACTCGAGATAAAAGTTTGCGGACCCCATAGAAAATCCGCCTCCGTGAGCGTAGTAGATGACGATGTCGGGAGATTTCGATTTATCCTTGATGACCCAGATTCCTTGGAATCCATGTTCACCCTGTCGAAAGACTAAGCCAGCGATCACGATGGACTGAGGTGAAGGCTAAACTTACGTGTTGCTTGTACTCGCTCCAGTGGGAGGGTGAGCGAAGGTAACCATGCCGCAGCATGCGAAACCTCAGAAATGGCCGCGAGACGTTCTTGGAGAGGAAGACGCGGCCGATAAGGGGGGGCAGGTTCGCAAAAGCATAGCGCACGCATCGTATGACGACGTCTTCGAAGAAGGTTGCCCGCTGCACAAATGGCGAGCGTTGGTTGTATGGGAGGATCAAGCGCTCGTGAAGCAGCGAGGTTGGCAGCTCAAGTATCAGAAACGGCAACGTCTTGATGGCAACAGCTAGTGTCCGGAAGAAGCCAACATGGAGGAGGAGCTGCGGCACTGCCAAGATGACAAAGACCAGGCAGTCGAGCAACGACACCGGTCCAAGAATCATCGTGCGTGGCAGTCACACTCTGGCTAAGCTCGCCTGGAGCGCAAAATGCGAGTGGTGATAGTATCGTATCGTATTAACACGTGCCAATTGGGTCTATCTCGAGCTCTGGAGCAAGCTGGTGTAGACGGTGCTCAAAGAAGAACACAAGGAAAACAGAACAAGGGCAATGTTAACTGAAGTAAAAAGGATGTCGGGGGGGGGGGGGGGGGGGGTTGTTCTTCTTCAAGGACATTATCCAATTCCACGTCCCCCTCCCTTCGCCGCCCGAGCTAGATAAGATGGTTTGTTGTTGCCCGTGTGTGCTCGAGGTGCATGTATGCTATGTGAGGTACGGCAGGCAAGTTAGGAATTGCCTATGACGTCTTCGAGGTCGCAGCTGTGCTCAGGCGGTTTTTATCGTTCTTCCCCTTTAATTCAATTGGCTTCGTGTCGGTCCCGGAGCTAGAAAGCTTGGTCGTGTTCGAGAGTGCTGTAGGTACCTTCGCAGTTTTATGTGCTAGTGCCTGGGCCGAGAGTTTGTTGGGGTACGGATAGACAGAGAGCAAAAACCCCCCCTCTTTCCCCTCCTCATCGTACTGGGAGACTCACATGTAATTCAAAACTCTGCCTATTGAGCGAGGAAAGAATGGAAGAGGCCCTGCCCGCCCCCCCCCCCCCAAAAAAAAGGAAGGAAGGAAGAAGACGTCGTTGGCATGAGACATCTCGCCCTTGGTTCAGTTTATGAGCTTTGGCTTGAGGTTGTGAAACTTTTTTTCCCCCCAATGAAGAGAGTCCTTCAGTCGCTATTCCCAGAATAACAACTTGACACGCACTCGGGATGGACGCGCCTCAATGATGGTTCTGTATCCCCCCTTCCTGTAATTACACTATGCAAAACACTATCGTTGAGGTAAACACGAGAACACCCGGATCCTTATGATACCGTTTAATGACCTCTATCCCATAGCTGTAACGCCAGAAAATTGATAAAAAAAAGCCCTGAGCGCAAACGAAACCAAAAGTGCAACCAAAACTAGAGCCGCGGACACAGAGTGTTGAGGAATGCAGAACAGACTACATGCGCCTTCTCCCGACTTTTGGGCTTCTCTCCCTCCGTCCCCCTTCTGCTCGACTTTGCGCACAAAAAATCCAAGACGCCTGCTCCTCCCCATCCTCCGTTCGCATGTACACAGACAAGCACCCCACCGCCGCCTCGGATGCGCAAACTTCTTGCGACCCAAAACGTGCGCCCCCCCCCCCCCCCCCCCTTCAGACCAGATCTTGACCTCTGGCTCGGCGTGGCGGGTCCGAGCCGGGTCACCGCTTCGCGTTGCGCGTCTTCCAGTTGTCCTTGATGCCCTTGGCGGCCTCGGCGAGGTCCTTCTCCGTGACGCGGTCCTCGATACTCTCCATGACGCTCTTGATGGTTGAGATGTGATTCGCCTCGGATTTGTCGTCGCGGAAACGGATGATGCGCCACCGGCCTAGATCGTCCTTGTGGCACTCGACTATGCGGTCGTTGAGAGGGTCACCCAGCCCCTTGAGGATCTCCCACTCATCCTCGGTGATGTGCACATCGGCAAAGTACTGGTACCGCCCGTCGCCCAAGAAGCTCCATAGCTGCGACTGAGGCACGGCCTCGTAGTCGATAAACGGGCCGTCCACGCCGTCGTCGCCCTCGCCCGGCTGCACTGTCGGGAAGCTCAGCCGCAGCCGGCAGTCGACCGTGTTCTCTTCGGGCGGTTTCCACTTGAGGATGTGCGGGTCGGTGCCGTGCTTGTATTCGCTGCTGACGCACGTAAAGATCAGCCCGTCGTTGCCGTGCCGCAGCTTGGGCAGGATCTCGCGGAACATCATCTCGATGCCGTAGCTCAATTGCATGGCCTTCATCTCCACTAGGAACGGCTGGTAGTCGCGCTCCTCCGGATACTGCTTGAACAGGTCCCGATAGGGCTTGTAGATGTTCTCGTTGAAGTAGGCGAGCCGCTTGTCGAGCGTGCGGGACATGAGGTCTTGGCCGTCGAGCACGAGGCAGTCAAAGACGAGGAAGCGCGGCTCCTTCTGGCCCTTTCCTGTGTCGTCCATGACCAGCTCGCCGTCGATGAGCGTGCGCGTGTGGAACTTTTTCAGGTCCTCCTTGCGCGGGAAGTGGAAGCTATTGTTCTTGATGAACCAGTAGTCGTTCTTGCGGTCGATGAGGTAGTGGATCTCCCGGCCATCGTCCTCAGTGAGGTACAGGAGGTATCGAATGCCATCTGACTTTTCGCATACGTAGTAGCTGTTCCGCGCAGCACATTGTTAGCGACGCTGGTCAACGAGCATTGCCCCAGGTCTGACTGGGCTGGTTCAGAAAGGTGTCACGCGCGATGAACTCACTCTTTATTCCGCAGCTCCTCGAGGTGTTTGCGCGCGAAGCTGACCGGTTGCGCGCCAGGGAAACTGGTTTGGTTGCGATGCAACAGAGCAGCGACCTCGCGGCGCAGATCGAAGAGCAGCTGGCCGTCGGCCTTGATGCCCGGTTCCGCAATCGAGGCAATCGGGCCCTCGGGTGGCGGACCCTGTACGCCTTCCATTGTTGCGGCTCGGACGTTTACTGATGTTGCGCAACGAGGAGAGAGGAAGAGGGTGAAAGAGAATGAAACCCAGACTAGAGCCAGCTCGGTTCTGTTGGCCTGAGCCTTGTGACGAAGTCTCAGAGCTTTATCAGTTTGCTATCGATAACGAGATAAGCCCTTGCGACACCGCGGGGTTCTTGATGCTGGATTCCGATGCTGGCCAGGAAAAGCTTTAACGAGGAATGCAATCAAACGAATATTGTATTGAACCTGGGAAGGGAATTGATGGAATCTTTTTTTAGGTTGAAATATATTACTAGCTGGAAGGCGTTTCTCTTCTTGAACATGCAACAAGGAAATCGAGACCAAGGACGGACCATTACTAAGTTCACAGTCAAAGAAACCCAGCATCTAAAATGATTTAATTGTCTTCGACCATTCCATGGCTTTTACGAATGAAAATTTCCTCGTAAACGCCAATAGAGCTTTGCTATCCTACGTCAATTGACGAGCAAACCATCAACCAAGCCCAGTAGACTCAACGCCTCGTCATATTATGGCGAACAATTCAAGGGCTCAGAGCCAGAACCGTTCTGATATCGTTGCGGAGAATGCCCCTCCGTTCTGTTAAGCCCATCAACCCACTAACTCTCGTCAATCTTAGTAACCTCAGCTTTAGCGTCCTCCCAAGTCTCCTTGTTCTTCTTTGCCCACTCGATTTGGCTCTTGGCATACGCCAGCTGTGACCATAATTAGTCCGCATGTACTCGTGAGCTCATGCTTATTGGAAGCTTACCATGTAACGGCGCAGATCCTCTTCATTCTCTCCCTGGAATCTCTTCAGGTCATTCAGGATGCTAGAACTAGCCTCCTTGACGTCATGCTCCGAAACAACCTTTGCCTGCTCCAGCTGCTCAATGCTCTCCCGGGTCTTCCCAATCATGTCACGGCGGGTCCTCTCTGGGTCAACATCAGCTACGCCTTGTATAGCATGACGAATCGGTCCAAAGATCTTGTTTGTGATCGAGTTACTGCTCGCGGCCTTCTTATGGCCCGGTGTCGAGTTACTTCGCTGCGGAACTCCCTGGGTTGCAGTGGGTACAGGCTCGCCGTGGGTAGGAGGGAAGTCTGAGTCGATAGATGCTGTGTCCTCGGTGCTGCCATCACGCTGGTGATGTGAGGTGTTTGCCTCCCGAAGGCTGGTTGATCGCTTTGGTGCCGGCGCGATTTGCTGACTGCTGCTCAGGTACTGTTCAATACGCTTGGCCTCAGCCTCGCTCCGCTCCAACTGGTCGAGCAAGGCGATCTTCTTGCTGAGCTCGTCACTTGTCTGCTCCTGCTGCACCCGCTTCAACACCCTGTATTTCAAGACGCTGCGAACCACGCCTGCAAACTGTGCATTCTCGCGCATGGGCTCCGCGAAGCTGGCACCGAGCGAGCCAGAGAGCTCCTCTGTCGCGATGTATGAGGAGTCCGCAGCCTGGCCGACTCTCTCGAGGGCTGGCCCTAGAGAGGGTGCTTGTTCTGAGAGCGCAAACGCATTGAACTTGGATCCCAGCTCGCAGAGATCCGCAGCCAGAGCGGATAAGTGACTCAAAGTTCGGCGGTTGACCTTCTCCATGGATCCCGATAGTAGCTGCTCCAGCTCCTTGATCGAAGCCTCATATGCAATGAAGTATGGGTCAAGCTCCTGCTCACTGAGAGCGTGGCTGTCAGGCGGGAAACGGCCAAAGACGTGGGATCCTGTACCAGAGATCGCTCCGGGGTCGACACCAGGGCCACCAGTTGTCTTTAGCTTAGCTGAGGTCGCTGGTACGGGGAGAAAACTGTGAGCCGGCGTAGGGTTCGCGGTATCCAGGGGAGGCGCCTTCAGAACTGATTTGGGTATCGAAGACACTGGATGGGAGTGCAGTACCTCGCTCTGCGGTTGTTTAGCAGCTAGAAAACAGATAGGACTTGACTACTGACCCAGCTGGCGTTAGGATCAAGGAATCTCCACCAAACACCGTCGGTTCGGACCTCATCCATCCGTCGGCATCGGTTCAAGAAGACAGCGAGCATGCGCTTGCGCAGGTCGATAATCTGCTGGTCTTGCTTTGCGTTCGTCGGGTTCGCGGCGTAATCGGCCATGGTGTGCTTCTCTGGAATGGGCGGTATAATCAGGGTAGGGTGAAGTCGGGTCAGCGCCTCGCGCAGGGAAGCAAACTCAGAGTACCGTCGGCGGACTTCGAGATTCTGCGGGGTTTGTCAGTCAACTGTCCGACCGCGCGAAACACTTCTCGGAAATACATACGCCTGTCCGGATGGTGTAGACGATGTATTTCCCCCCGCTCTCCGCGCTCTTTCCCGCATCCGTAATGAGGATAGTCAATGATGGGTTTTCCCAGAGAATCTGTTCGATTCGGCTCTCGTAACCACCAGGCTTGGGGCGCGGGACTATGTCGCCTCTGTCTCTAGCAATCGGCTCATTGTCGCTGCTCTCGACATCGCTGTCTTCATGGGCGTGGGAGCGGTTCTGGGGAGCCTCGTCGCTTGCGGTTGACGGGGTCTGCGGGATGTCGAATCGCTGGTCTAGAGTCTCCCAGTCGGCATCAGTACTGTCTGAAGAATCATCCAGATCTATTGTTTCCATCATTTTCTGGCCCTTTCAAGTTGCTGGGAGTGTTATGGGAGAAGATCGCAACATACACTTACGGGTGGTAGGAGAGGCCGGGTTGGCTGAGGAGGAAGTCAAGCTATCCCTCCGGTCAAAGCCCTCTGCGTAAGGGTTATTGTCCTCGTCGTTCCACATGGCCCAGGTCTTGTATGTCAAATGGGATGTCAAACAAAACTACAGGCCGATAGTCAATCGTGCAAAACAGGTTGCGGTCTCAGTCGAGATGCGCGACGGGGGAATGCGCAGCTGAGCCGGGAGAGGCGGGGGAGGGGCGGTTGAGGCTTGTCTGCCGGCATGCAGCAATCAGGCGGCTGATAGTTGCAGGGTCTGATTAAAGAAAATGATCAATCTTGAGGTGAAAAGGATTAAGACTGAGGAGACAATGATCAGGTCAAAAAGAGAGAGGTGCGGACAGGCAGGCTTGGGGCTGTCGGGCGGCGGCGTGGGGAGATGTGATCGGGGCTACGAGGTTGGACTAAGGTAAGCTCTAGGGTGTAGCAAGTGCCATTCCGGCAGGAGAAGCAGGCAATGACGAAGCCACCACCCAGCCAAGATACGTACCCAGGTAGGCACTTCAGTGTAAGAACTCTTCGCCATGCGCACGGGCCATGGTGACACAAATGCCTGACTTACCCCTGCTTTAGCACGTACTGCGCATCTGTGTGAATCCAAGATTATGCACCACTCAACATAAAATAGGTTTTGTGATTTATGAACCGCACTCACTTCTTTCTATATGGAGGAGGGTTCGTTCTGGGTACTCTTTGACTCAGAACCTTGCAACAATGTCTACTATGTACATTCTCCACCCTACCACCATTACCGATCATGTCGTCTTGAACAGCCCAGAAACCCATGGCAGATACTCTCAAGTCGATGCACACCCATCTGTGAACTATTTCAACCTCAGAAGGAATCTTTTCCTGGTTGACTGGCTATCAAAACTCACAAGTGCCTTAAAGACCAGAAGTTGAGGGATACACATGCTCCTTGTTGAAGCCCGCCAAGCATATCCAGTATTCACACTTTGTGGCGCTCTTTCTACTAAAAGTGCAAACACAACATATTCAACACTCCATACTAACGCACCCTTCTTTCAGGCCTGTTTCGGAGCTGTCCAGGCGCATATTGGCCGCCACCTTGATGAATAGGTCTTGGGGGAGACGGCGGCGGTGAATAGTCACTCAGATCTTCAACTGTCTCCATCTTATCAGGTAAGTAAAACCTAAAGCTATGTTAGCAAGAAGCCACACTGGGACATTCAATATGGAATTTGACTAACTGAAGCTCTTGAGCTCTTCTCAAGGTCTCTCGCTGATGATGGGCGGCCTTTTTGGTGTGATCCCCCATCATCTCCGAAGCCCCAACTGGCCTGTTTGGACCGGCCTTATGGGGTTGCTTAATTAGCTCAACAGGTAGGATTGCAGTATCCAAGAAGATTTGGTGGTTTTTCTTGGCGGTATTTGATTTCCCATCCTTGTGGCCTCGTGTTTCGGTAGCATTGTTCCGATGACTTGACCTGTTCATCACGTCAGCTTATGTGCTACAATCATGAGCAAGCATTTCTCTACTCTGGGATTTTGTGTGGACTATCGTCTACATTCATCGAAGAAGTCGCTGGCCGGTCGAAAACTTCTTGAGTGCTATCCAAAAGTCAACACAGTGTCTGAATTATAAAGCAGTGGCATGTGCATACCTAGGTTTTGTCTTGGCCAGAGGATTGGTTTCAGCAGATGTGTCAATCTTATTTGCTGTTCTTGAAGGAGGGTTTTCAACATTTATAGTGTTGGTCTTAGCTATCGTTTGTGGATGCATAGTTTGAGTATTCATGCTGTTCCTTTGGGTTGTCTCGATGGCGTTCTTTCCATCTTTGAGAGCACTGTGTGTATCAGCACCTTATCGTCGCTCTTAGGATCAAGGCCCATACCTTCGTAGGGGCTTGATACCACGAGGTATGGGACGGATCCCAGTTCTCGTTGATTGTTGAAAGGTCGTGACTGGTATAGCATCTCCTTGCTCAGCGACATGCCGGTTGATGTTCTGTCTCTCAAGGGTTGATCTTCTAAGACTGTTCGTTTCCTGTCCCTCAATGTGGGTCGTATCGTCTGTCAAACTCCTCTGGGTTGACGGACCTGGTTCTGCCTTGTGATACAGAGATTTCACGTGTCGCTGATTGACGGGAACGGACAAATCAGCAGCACTGACAGTTGCTGCCGTGGGAGACGAATCATCACCTCTTGTATATGGTAACGCAGAGGAGATATCTTCTCTCTTTCGTGTCTCGGAAGATGGCGGTGTGCTGATTGTGGTTGCAGAGGCACGCGAATGACGGCTGTTTCTGATGGACGGTGTACGAGTTAAGCCAGAGTCGGAGCTGACAATTGTTGATGCCCTGCCAACAGGAAGGCTGAAGATATCAAACAGTCTTTGCGCGAGTGAGTTCAATCTTCGCGGTGGTTGCTGTGTATTCTGGTGGCCTCGGCCCGCTGTCCATGACCAATGGGGAGCCTGCCGGGCTTGATGGGGATGCCGAGCTTTAGGAGGCTGTGTTGTCCGTTCGGCAGAAGCGTTCTTGGGCACCACCGGTGCCGTAAACTGCATCTTACTCTGAAGTAAACCGTGGGTTTGGGTCGGATTATGGCAATGGGGTTGGTAAACCATCGTATATATCGGTTGAGGGTGGGGGAATGGTACCGGAAGAGGCGTGGGCATCGGCATGAGTACCGGGACCGGCGGAGGAGGAGGCGGGGGAAAATGAAGAACTTGCGGGTGTGTGATAATGAACGGAGATGGCTGTTGTGGTGCCGTGAGTTCTTCATGTCTAAAGAAGAACTGTGATCGCTGAAGGTTGGTAGCGCTCGCTTGACTTGGAGTTCTGGGGCGGCGGCTCTGACGAACGAGGACAAAATCTCCATCAACCCAATCGTCCTTTTTCTTTTTCGAGAGCAATAAGAACAACAGTGCAAATAATAGCACAACAGAAACCACGACAGTTGTGACAATGATTCCAGCTTGCTGCGCCTCAGTGAGACACCCCCATCCAGAACATGGAGATTCGGATATTGGTGACACTGGGGGCAAGGGACCGCTTGGTTCTTCGGCCTGCCGAGCGTCAAGGTGCGTTTTGTGATTGGAAATTACCTTTTGGTGATCCACGGAGTTGTGGTGGTTGGTTGGAACTCTTGAGATAGCCGGCATGGTGACTCGCGGTGGCGCACAAAAGCCTCCCGGTAGGGAAGAAATGAGCCTGTGATGTGGGATTATGGTGTATTCAGCAAAAATAGACACGTCAATCAGTGGATATTTAGTTTCCTTTGAGTAAAAATCCCATCAACTTGAGTGAGGGGGTCAGATGGTCAGGTGGTGGTGGCGGCGGTGGTGGTGGTAGAATAAGGCAAGGTCAGAAGTGGCCGAGTTAGCTGGTGAGGCGAAGGCGAAGGTATGTATACCTTTACCTGTCAACTACCTTTGCTATTCTCTCTTTCCTTACATAAAAATAAGCTCCTCCTCTTACGATTGAATCATGGAATCTCTATGTGGGAAAATCTTGGTTGATTTTGTGTGTGCTTCATTATCTGTTCCTATGGCTACTTTTCTCTGAAACGGTGTGGATATTTCAGTTTAGTATCTGTATCCCACTTTCTACGTATATACCTACGCAGAAGTGACAGATAGAAGAAAGATCCGGGATATAGCATTACACCGAATTGGAAGTAATTATATCTTTGGCCGGTTATTGTAAGTTTGTCAATGGTTCTGATTGTGGAAAGAGCTCTGGGGATAGCTAAGAGACGAAGTGGGCGTGTAAGTGATAATGAAGTACAAGGAACTTCTCAATGGCAGCTGGTCACTGCTAATCGCCTGTCCCGAGTACTTGGCAGGTAATTATCCAATCAAATACTACTTCATCAAGACCTCCTTAGTGAGCAGCTGCATAGGGGCCCCACTAGCGTCCTTATGGGACCCACTGGCGCAAGGCCAGCAGACGCGACTGATCGATTCTCTTTCCTCAGCCTCATCCTAGCTCCTCCAAGTTTCTAGATTGCTTCACTTCTCCATCATCCTCATACCAAGTCCATCCGAGGCATGTCATAGCCTCTTCATTCTCCACAATGTCAGCCCTCCGCAACGGCGCGATGAACGGCACCAATGGCGCAGCGAGCGCTCCCGTCAGTAAGCGGTTCTCTGACATCCCAGCCGCGATCGACGTTCCGGTTCAGGGCGAAGCCGAAGACGAAGCTGTCGAAATCGACCTCCTCGAGCTCTTCGACGATCCTACCGAGCTTTGTACTCTTTTCGAGAACGAGCGCGCCGCCCGCACATACTGGATGACAGTCGCATTGGCCTACGCCAAGCAGAAGAAGATTGACCATGCCATCGAAATGTTGGTGCGAGGTGGAAACGCGATGCGCGACAACAATCCCAGGGAAAAGCTGAGCATGATCGGATGCCTCTGCTGGATGTACCTGTGGAAGAGTCGCGAAGCCCCGAGAGTGCCTCCCGATGGCGAATTGGCATCCGAGGCCAAGACGAAGGAATACTACCTGCAACTAGCAACCTCGACCCTGAATGATGCGTCGCGCATCAACCCAGCATTCCCCCCTCTGTTTCTAGCTCGCGGAGTTCTCCAACTTCTCAGAGCGTCCCTGCAGACCCCCAAGGCGACGGGCCATGGACAAGTGGACTCCGAAAAGGCGGATCTTCTGCGATCGGCGCTCAAGGCCTTCGAAGACGCGGTTCGAGTGTCACAAGGCAAGAACATGCTGGCCGTCATGGGCAAGGCAAGGACCTTCTTCTCGCTTGGAAAATACCCAGAGTCCTTGGCTTGCTACCAGGAAGTCCTACAGAAGATGCCCGACTTCGTCGACCCAGACCCGAGAATAGGCATCGGCTGCTGCTTCTGGCAGCTCGGCTTCAAGGACGATGCTAAGCTTGCTTGGGAGCGATGCCTCGAGATTAACCCGGACCACAAGGTCGGAAACATTCTCCTCGGTCTTTATTACCTCGACGCCAGCGGTCATATCCCAACGAACAGTCCCGACTTCCTTCGCCTTTACAAGAAAGCAATGACCGAATATACCCAGAAGTCTTTCAAACTCGACAAGAACATGCCTCTTACGTGCGCAACGTTTGCAGGTTACTTCCTGTCCCGCAAACAGCTCAGCACGGTGGACTCACTCGCCCACAAGGCAATCCAGTATACCGATGTGAATGCGATTGCCAGTGACGGTTGGTATCTCCTAGCAAGAAAAGAGCATTATACCGGCGACCCAGACCGCGCCAGCGATTTCTATCGCAGAGCCGACGAGGCGCGTGGCGGTGCCGAGCGTGGTTATCTACCAGCAAAGTTCGGTGCTGCCCAGCTGGCAGTACTCCGCGGCGACCTCGGCGAAGCGAAGCTGCGTTTGGAAAAAATGATCCAACAGTCCAAGAACCACGAAGCCATGATCTTGCTTGGCACTTTGTACGCCGAGGAGGTCTTTGCAAATGAAGAGGCGGATGGTAAGGAGGACAAGTCGGCTGAGATGAAGAAGGCGATCTCACTTCTCGAGAGTGTGCGCGGTGCCTGGAAGGATAGCAAGAAGGGCATGTCTCCTGACGCCGCGGTGCTGCTGAACCTGGCTCGCTTGTATGAGCACGAGTATCCCGAGAGAGCCCAGCAGTGTCTTCTTCAGGTCGAACAACTGGAGCTTGACCAGATTCCCGAGGACGATCACCCAGCCGACATCACCGACGAAGCCGAGAAACGCGCGGCTCTTCGCAAGTTCCTGCCTCCGCAGCTGCTCAATAACATCGGCTGTTTTTACTCTCAATCGGAAAAGCATGAACAGGCCAGCGAAATGTTCGAGGCCGCATTGGGTGCATGCATGAAAATTGGCGAGAAGGATCAAGAAATTGACACGGATGCTCTGGTTACCACCATCAGCTTCAACCTGGGCCGCAGCTATGAGTCCCAGGGCCTGTACGACAAGGCCAGTGAGGTTTACGAAGGTCTGTTGAAACGTCACGACGACTACACCGATGCCCGGACGCGACTTGCATACATCAAGCTTCGCAAGAATCCTAACAAGGAGGGACCCGACGCTGTCTCAAAGTTGTACCAGGAGAACCCTCAGGATCTCGAGGTTCGTGCGCTGTATGGCTGGTACATGGGCAAGGTTCATTCACGAAAGCGGCCACAAAATATCAACGAAGATCACGAGTTCCGTCATTACAAACACACACTGCAGAACTACGACAAGCATGACCGATATGCTCTGGTTGGCATGGGCAATCTGTACCTGATCCAAGCCCGAGAGATGCGGCGCGAATCTGACAGCGACAAGGCTAAAAGAAGCGCTACGTATAGTAAGGCGGTCGAGTTCTTTGAAAAGGCACTTTCCTTAGACCCGAAGAACGCGTACGCGGCTCAGGGCATTGCCATTGCTTTGGTCGAGGACAAGAAAGATTACAAGACGGCCCTAAGCATCTTTGTCAAGATTCGGGACACCATCAAGGAAGCCCATGTGTACGTCAACTTGGGTCATATTTACGCCGAGCTGAGACAGTACTCCAAGGCCATCGAGAACTACGAGGTCGCTTTGTCAAAGGAGGGCAAGGCCAACGACCCTGTCATTCTCGCCTGTTTGGGTCGCACTTGGCTCAACAAGGGTCGTTCTGAAAAGCTACTGGATGCCTACCATGAAGCGCTCAAGTATGCGCAAAAGGTAAGCTCTCATCTCATATTATACACTTCAGCATATACTGATTCCTCCCCTTAAGGCCCTCGAAGCTGCGCCGGAGCAGGTGCATTACAAGTTCAATGTAGCCTTTGTCCAGATTCAAATGGCAACAACCGTCTATGGGCTGAACGAGAATCAGCGGACGTTGGCACAACTCCAAGAAGCTGCTACCGGGCTGGAATCGGCCATATCTGCTCTGGACGAGATTGCGAACCACCCCCAGACTCCCTACCCCAAGCACGACGTCGAGCAGCGTGCCAACATGGCTCGCAACACCCAACGCAAACAGCTTGAGAGAGCCATTGCGAGCCAGAAGGAATACGAGGAGAAGAACAAGGAGAAGCTGCAAGCCGCCCTGGAGCAGCGTCAAATCGAGCTCCGGAAGCGGGAGGAGGAGCGACAGAAGGCTCTCGAGAAGGAGCGGGAGAGGCAGGAGAAGATCCGCAGGGAAAGAGAAGAAATCGCGGCCAGGGACAGAGAGATTGCTGAGCGTCGTGCTGAGGAAGAGAAGGCCAGACAAGAGGCCGAGATGACGACGGACAGCGAGACTGGCGACAAGGTCAAGCGGAAGAAGAAGTCGGCACCTAGGGGCGATGGCGAGAGTCGCCCGAAGAGAGGATCACGCAAGAAGAAGGCTGACACGGATGCTGAGGATTCGGCTGAGGAGCGGCCAACGAAGAAGAAGCGCCGTCTTACAAAGAAGGAGCCAACGGCCAACAGCAAGTACAAGTCTGCCGAGATCATTGTGGACAGCGACTCGGGCTCGGACGAGGACCCTCTCGACCGTGCCGAGAGAGCTCTCGAGAGGGCCAGCTCTCCTCTCTCCGATGCGGAAGAGAAGCGCGGCGATGATGAAAAGATGGAGGTCTACAACAGAAGAGACGAGGACGAGGACGAGGACGAAGATACTGGTGTCAGCCGGCGACAGCAAAGCTCACGGTCCAGGCGGGGCAGGGTCATTGAGAGTGACGAGGAGGAAGACGAGGACGACAAGGCGCGACCTGCAGCAGACGTCAGTATGGCGGACGCTGACGATGACGATGAAGAGTAAAGGGCCGGGGCGTCGTAGGGAGGAGCCTGGCCAGCGGGAGGCGAGACGATAGGATCGCAAGAGTATCATCCGGGAGCCGGGATCTTTCAAAGAAAACAACGAAGCGTCTGCGTCTATTTTGGCGGCTGTAGTATTACACTAGTATGATGGGATAAGAATTATACAAAATGGCATCACGATCTCGAGGCATACCAGCGATAGTTGCATCAAGCAAGTTGCCGCAAGTAGGCCGTGTTTGGATAGAGAGGCACGACACATACATGGCTCGGCAAGACCTTTCCAGAAGCTGAGGATGGCTTGGGCCGTTCGGGCGGAGAGTCACTGGAGAGTCCAAAAGCTTACTAAGACAACGGCATCAAGTCTTCACCCCGCGCAAGGTGCCCGGCACTTGAACGGGTATTCTAGCGACCAGCCCCATATAATTTGAATTCCTCTATGAGTAATATAGGAAAAGTACGTAAACTTGTATTTAAAACATGAAAATTCACTTATAAAAGGCTCAGTTTATCACACTCCCGGTCCGGATTGCTGGTGAACGACAACGACGAAGACGACGTTGGACCCTCCGAGGTTGAGAATTGGTTTTAGCGACAGGCCACAACGTGGGGCAAACATGGCAGCACTCTTATTCTTCACGGAACGTTACCTGAACGGGCAAGTGCACCCCTCCCCGCGGTGAGGTTCGAGACAATGCTCGTCGCAACGATCGGAAGACCAGCGCGTCAGGGCAATAAATAAGCATCGGTCACGCTGCACTTGACGCATGCTGTCGGAGAAACTCCGCAAGCTGCAGATCAGACGGGCGACGGGCAATGTGTTGCCTGCGATGTGACGGTGGAGGGTACCTGGTGGAGTCATGAGCGAATAGGCAAACGTGGTTGTTCCCTGGTCTGGAGCCATTCTCCTGGCGGAACTATAGTTGAAAGGCAGTGAACGTGGGCTTGGCAACTAGCTCATGGGGAAGGCACCAATTGTCAACGACAATATACTACGCACTGGCTCAGTGTAGTGTAAGTTAAGTGGTGGGATGCAAGCCCGGTTTTAGAAGTGGTTGCGCCGCCCAGGTCTGCAATTTAGCGAGAGTTTGCCCGCACCAATGCGCTATCAATCCACGCCGCTGGTGCGGCATGCTTCTCTGGGTCATTGGTCACGGTAGTGTACCTAAGGTAGGTATTTTCCCATGCTTTCCAGCGAGAATTGGACTACCAACAGGCCCTATCTATTGGCCAACTCCGCGCCCGCGCACATCTGCATCATCCACGCATGCTCCTCCATCCCACCTCTGTTCAGTTTATCTCCCCACACCAGCAGCTAGTGGGTCTGTAGGCTCGCAGCCGCAGTGGCCGCTTGCGGCGTCTGATGCACCGACGTGCGATCGAGTGGATGATCTTCCGCACCGTGGCCCACACGCACGATGTTTCGTGTCCCGCCGTAAGTGCCTGCTGTCCGTTTGTCTCTCGAACTTGATCTTGCAGGGCGGGGAAGAAGGAAGTTGGAGCTCTGGGTTCATGGTATTCTGGGTCGCTGGGAGGGGGTCGGCTTGTATAAAGACCGATGGAGCTTCCATCCATCATATAGCTTTCCCCTCCACCCCAACCCAAGCCATTGTCAAGCCATTACAATAGCCTGAGCTTGCCACCATTCCTCTCTCTTTTGCTCTTCTGGACTTGTCGTTACCACCACCCTTTCCGATTACATTGACAACGGCGACCGTCAGGCTACGTGTCCTTCGACATGGGCTCGATAACTCTCAACAACCCCAGCAGGGCCTGGTGGAAAGACGGTGTCATCTACCAGATCTACCCAGCCAGCTTCAAGGATGCCAATGGCGACGGCCTGGGCGATGTCCCGGGAATCATCAGCAAAGTCGACTACCTCAAAGACTTGGGTGTGGATATCGTGTGGGTATCGCCCATGTACGCTAGTCCGCAGATCGATATGGGATACGACATTTCCGACTACCAGGATGTCCACCGCCCGTATGGCACCGTTCGTGATATGGAGGTCCTCATCGAGGAGTGCCACAAACGCGGGATGAAGCTCATCCTAGACCTGGTGGTCAACCACACGTCAGACCAGCACAAGTGGTTCCAGGAGTCGAGATCCTCTAAAGAGAACCCCAAGCGGAACTGGTACATATGGAAGCCTCCCCGTTACGCCGAGGATGGCACCCGTCTGCCTCCCACGAACTGGAGGAGCCACTTCAGCGGTAGCACCTGGGAGTGGGACGAGACCACCGGCGAGTACTACCTCCACCTGTTCGCCAAGGAGCAGCCCGACCTCAACTGGGAGAACGAGGAGACACGTGAGGCCATCTATGACAACGCTATGCGCTTCTGGCTTGATAAGGGCGTTGACGGTTTCCGTATCGATACGGTTAATATGTATAGCAAGGGCGTCGAGTTCAAGGACGCCCCTATCATGAACAAGAACGCGTACGAGCAGCCCGCCTACATGATCTACTGCAACGGCCCGAGGATACACGAGTTCCTTCGCGAGATGAACGCAAAGGTCCTCAACCACTACGACACCGTCACCGTCGGCGAGCTGCCCCATACCCCGGACCCGCAGCACGTCCTCAAGTACATCAGCGCTGCCGACCGCCAGCTCGACATGGTCTTCCAGTTCGATATTGTCGACCTCGGCCAGGGCATCGGCTACAAGTACCAGACCCGTGAGTGGAAGCTCCCCGAGCTCAAGCGCATCGTCGCCAAGTGGCAGCAGTTCATCGAGGGTACCGACGGCTGGACGACAGCCTTTTGCGAGAACCACGATCAGGGCCGCTCCGTGTCACGGTACGGCAACGACAGCCCCCAGTGGCGCGAGACGTCGGCCAAGATGCTTGCCCTGATGATGTGTTCGCAGACGGGCACACTCTTCGTCTACCAGGGTCAGGAGATCGGCATGACAAACGTGTCGCGGAGCTGGGGCATCGAGGACTACAAGGACATTGAGGCCCTCAACTACTACGGCGACATCAAGAGGGAACACGGCGAGGGCGAGGTCCTCAGTCGCGTCATGGACAGCATCAACCTGGTCGGCCGCGACAACGCGCGCATCCCCATGCAGTGGGACGCCTCGCCGTTCGCCGGCTTCACCGACAACAAGGACGGCGCATGGATGCGCATCCACGACGAGTATGCCGACATCAACGTTGCCAAGCAGGAGGCGGAGCCCAGCTCCGTGCTAAACTTTTGGCGCGAGATGCTGCGCCTGCGCAAGGAGGAGGGCGAGCTGCTGACGCATGGCGCCTTTGAGCTGTTTGACGAAGAGAACGAGCAGACGTTTGTCTACAAGAAGACGCGCGGCGGGAAGAGTGCCGTCGTTGCACTCAACTTTACAAGCGATGAGCAAGAGGTCCGGATCCCGGGCGAGGGTTCGAAGATTCGCGTTGGCAACTACGGTGATGTCAAGGAGAGGGTTGCGGCAGAGGGGCAAAAGAGTGTGCTGAGACCGTGGGAGGGTCGTTTGTATCTGCAAGGCTGAAGGGATTTGGATATACCTGGAGACGATGGAGTGCTCCTTGGGGTCGGTTTTGCCGACAAGAATTTGTTTGATACAAGAATAGTTCTATGCTGATGCCACACCAATAGATGAGACAGCCAGCCAATGCTGTTATAGTGAACATATTGCCCTTTCCAGAACCCCAGCCCCTGGAGAGACCATTCCAAGTACCTCGTGCTGCTCCACGAAACATGTAGCGGCTTCCTTCCCCGATATCGGGGGATATGGTTATCAAAGTCGTGGCGACCATGCCGGACGAGTCTATCCTCGACGCTATCAGCAAGATAGCCAGAAGAAACGTCCTTTCAGTCGTTGTTGCTGTTGTCAGATTTGATTGGATGCTGGTTTCGTCCAGGCGATAAGGAGCTGGCGCGGTCCCAAAAAGATACCAGGTATTTCGCGGCAACCTGCCTCCGCCGGCCGTTGGCTTTGCTGAAATGGAATGCAAGCGTTGAATCGGATACCATAGTACCAAGTAAACCCTTTGTCTAACGGAGCGTCAATGACGTTTTTGCACACTTTATCTTCAATGGTGGCTTTCATAGAAGCGGAGGCCGCCATCCTTGAGTTTGCTAGGGCTGCCGAACTGCGGTGTTTCTATATAATAAAAAGTTTGGCTTAGCTTTTTCGAGATCCTGATTTCCTGGAGGTATATCTTCGACCATCTTGTGCCTTGTCGTTTTACCAACTCTCAGTGTAAGCGCCCTCAGATTTATGTTTGAAACCATCTTCAGAGCATGAAGCCGACCTAAAGAAAGTCGATCGAGGCAAACCAGTACAGATTATCAATGATATAACCGTATTTTGTGGCAATCTTTACGTTCGTTGTATCGAATAATTCGATAGCGCGGCAACTAGAAGTTTGCATGATATTGTCAGCTGCCACACACGGGTGGTTTGCATTATAGTCAAAGACAATTCGACTTACTAACTGGTCCCCAGGGAGAACCGGAATTTCGTCTACTTGGGTCGAGGTACCGATCTCCGGGCCTATGACAAAGCATCGTACGTACCACAAATTGAAGCCAGGTATGAGCTCGGTTTGATGGAGGGTCACTCTTATGGAGAGACATGGTTGGTTGCAACTAGTTTCTTCCTCTTTTCCGAAGCTCCAATCCCAATATTATAACCGTCAAAATCGAGAGAAAGGATAAAAAGAGATGATGTTTGCGCTTTGTAGGATGCCGAGGACCACACTCGGAGGGCAAACAGCTGCGGAGTGCGTTTGCTCCAACCCAATGCCAGGGGAAATAGGGAAGCTGGATCGAGCGGCGTATCCATTGCGGACAAACAACGAGTCTCTCGACCACTTCTGCTTGTTTATTTCGGCTACCGATTCGAGGGCTGGCGACAAAGACAAAGGTCAAAGGTGCTAATAAAAACACGTTGCAGCGCCCTCTGCCCGGCTCCCCCCCCCAGTCTCCTTTTCTCGTCACATCTTCCATTCGTTTCCGCATCGCCACGCTAGCTAGAACGTTCTCTTGTTTTGGTTTCTGCAGGCTGATATCGCGATGCAAGCCATATCGTTTATGCTTCTTGTTGTTGCGGGCAGCCTGTCGAAGGCCCAGCTTTTACCTGACAACAGGTCTCGTGGCACCAGGGATCAGCTTTTTGATTTAACACTCAACGCCGCAGCCGTGACCGAGATGATCTCAGTGCTAAAAGCAACATCACTGCTGCCGAAATCGATGACAACGCCAAAGCCTAAAGTCATTGCGGAGAGGAGCTTGGGCTTGCTTCACGTCGATCCTCTCGGTGCGGGTACCTGCGGGTTCTTTACATTACCAAGAGACGTCCAGGGTGAGTCGGTTTCGACCTACAGGAGAAGTGTCCCAAAGATCCAGAAACTAATGAGCTGTAATTGCTACGCAGGAGTGACGAGAACCCGAGTTTGCGGCGATGCTTCCGCATCATGTGCCCCTTTCGGGAGTTATCTTGGCTGCGGCATGAAACCTCATACTATCTGCTTCAACGGAACAGATCCGGCATGCGCCCCTAGTGTCAGAATAGGTGATCAGACTCTTTGCTGGTATGTATATTTGAATTAGGAGATCCAAAGTCGTTATTAAAATAGCCAGAGAGCCTCAGAGACTGACGAGATTTATGTCGTATAGTCCCAAGACCAAATCCCTGAACGGGGAGTGTCAGACTTTCATCAGGGACGATGGCGCCTTAGGTAACAAAACACTCCTGGGATGTCGCGAGGTCGACATAGCCTGGGACCCTATAGTCTCTCTCAAAACGGCGACAGAAGATTTCTCTACGACGTCGACGACTGTGGCCACCTCAGCTATGCCGGTCTCTTCGACGCTATTTAAAGACGCCCTGGCACCCTCGACCCCGACATCACCAGCCAATTCGACGGCTCCACCGACATCGGTACCGAGTACGAGCGACAGTGGCTCTACGCACTCGCACACCGGTGCGATAATCGGCGGCGTTTTGGGAGGCCTAGCCATCTTAGGCACCGTTACTTGTGTCGCGGTCTGGCTGGTTATGCGGCGGAGGCAAGCTTCGGGTTCGAGTTACAACACAGAGGGTCGCGCGTTGCCATTACCGACACACGAGCTTGCCGGTGACCAGCCGTGTGTTCCCCAGGAAGTGGCCGCCGAGAAGGAGTTCGGCCACAAGGCCTTGTCTCCCGTGAATGAATCCTGTGAGATTCACCAGGCCCCGACGGATGATGCCGTAGGAAGTCCAGTTAAGCCTGCCGAGTTGGGCTGATCAGTCTAAGTGCTGTCATGTTTTGGAAATGCGTGCCATCTTGTCACTTGGTTTTGGCTATGTTTGGATACCGTTGGATTATGGCAGGTGTCTTGATATAACCACTCAGCAGCTGAAGACAGATAATGCCTGAAAAACGTGTAACCGACTCGAACGTTGGGATATTCTAATACCAAAGTCGAAAACTACACCTTTCTAGAAAAGGTCGTTTGGTGAAGAAGCTTTTATGTGCTGGTAGCATATGGCAAGTTAATAAAAAACAAAGAAACTTCCTTTCACAAATGCTTATTATCAGCTTGCTCCAGACTACCGATGTCCAGCTAATCTTGCTTTACGCAGAGGGCATTCCCAAGCCTCAAGCAATGGTTTCACGCAGGCCCCAGCTGACTGGCCTCTCTTATCGAAAAGCTTGGCTTAACTCACAAGCATGCCCATCATCAGCGCCCTACCTGTATTTACACCACCGTATTACTGTATTTTTTAGCGTCGAACATTGAGAAAGAGGGTAAACAAAACAGCATTGAACACTTTGGAACTTTGGCGTATGCGAGGGCGCCGCTTGTGCTATAAACAAGCATGTTTGCTTCGTTTGATAAACCCGATCGAAGGCGAAGTCAGCCACCCGTTACGTCGCATGGGCTATTGGCGATCTATAACAATCTTTCCCGACCACTCTCATCTGTATCGTGTCTTGTTTTAGAACCTTTCCTATGGGCCTACCTCCGGTCACTAGCCCGCGACCCAGAGGAGTGCCGCCCCCACACTCTTTCGCTCTTTTATACGCCCTTTCTCGAGTGAGTGAAGGTCGACTAGATTGTCGGGATAGGAGCACCGACGCCTCAAGCAGCGAAGCGGGCCTCCCATCATGCGGAACCCTAATATGCAGCGTCAGATGAACGCAGAGAAGCGGCCTGGCTTGCCTGGATCCGAGTTCAGGACAAAGTCCGTTTTGACGCTGGCCACCGAGAGAACTTGAAAGGGGGTGACCTAAGACCTCTGCACCTTCCAGAAAGCACATGGCATGTAGGCTGCTGGAGGCAGCCCTTTATTAGATAGACCCATATAAGGACACTGGGAAGATCTTCATCGTTGGGGACGGATCAGCCCTCGGCGCCGACAACGAGAGCCCCCAAAGCCTTGTTTGCTACGCCTAGCGGCACCCCGACGACTGCGGCGGTCATATCAACATCCGTTCCGGTGTCTGTTGGTTCAACTTCACCTCCATCGACTTGTACGGAGACACCGAAACCAACACCAGCGATGACGGCGTCCTCCGTCGGAACCAGCTTGACTGGCTTGACTCTGGCCTAGAGGCTTGCAGCAGTAGCTTTTGCCTTTTATATGATCTATTGTGGTTAGTGCCGGGCGGGGACGTCTGCATTACTGGAGAGGTTTCAGGACTGTAGGGCCATATATCAATGATCGGAAACATGAGTCGACCTGCCTGGTCCAGTACTCTTCTGCATTCCATGTTGCCGCTTATGCGATGTCTGATACAAAACCGCATCCAATCCCTTGCCCGACGCCGGAGGAATAATGATTATGCACACGAGCCCCCCCTCTGTCAAGGCGAGCTCTCCCTTGCGACCTAAAACCTCAACTTGGGCATCACAAACACAACCAAAATCAACCCAACCATGAGCCCGTATACCCATGCGTAGAGTATCATCCGGCCCCACCACCCCTTGCCCTCCGTCATCTTCCGCAACGTGCCCATCCTTCGGCTTGCCGCGTCCATCGACCGTTCCGTCTTGTCCATCCCATCAGCCGCGCGCGACACCACGTTCTTGTCTTGCTCAAGGGTGTCAGAGAACTTCTGTGAGCTGGCTTTGAGCGCACTGGCCATCTTCAAGATTGACTCGGACAGCGCATCCTGCTCAGCGCGCTGGTGGTCCAGGATGGCCTCCGCCGTTGCTGTTGATGAAGCCGGGGCCGACGCTGCAGACTTGCTGGTGTTGGAGCGGCGGGAGGCGAAGAGAGCCGCGCGCGCTGTTGCTGTCGTCGCCGCAGTGGGCGAGTCGGGGCGGATGGGCCCACGAGAACGGAGGCTCTGGGTGGTTGTCGTTCCTATTTCGGCAGTTGTTTCTGGCGGCTGATGTGACAGCGGTTGCTCCGCTTCTGAAGCCGTTGCCGCTGGAGGAGGCTGTGATGGTTCCGTGGGCAGCGCCGAGACTGGCGGAGGAAGGTCGGGTATCTCGGGTTCTTCGTCTTCGTCTTCGTCTTGGTCCCCTGTGTAATCCGTCGGTATACCTGTCGATCGCGAGTCCATGCTTTCGCTCGGTGTGGGTATAATGTCGGCCAGGATATCCTCGCTACCAGAGCTGTTGTCATCGTCCTCTTCGTGTAACTTATGCGCAAACATTAGCCATCGTCCCTTCCTCCCGAGAGCCACCATTGGGGCTCGGCTACGCACCTGTTCCAGATCGTGCATTCTGTCCACTAGACGCTCCAAAAGTTCGCGCTTCCGGTTCAGATCAGCTTGCATATCTTGCCTCCGGGAAAGAAGCTTGATGTGCATCGCCTCCTGCTCGATTCTGGTAAGAAGACTCCGCGCATAGTTAAGGTTCTGAAAGACAGCCAACAATTAGCCACTTTTTCCGGTTGATTCGGCCGAATGATAATATCATACAGAGTTCAGCCTCGCTCGCTCGAATTCGCTAGCTCGTAACCTGCGCTCGCGGCCCTCGTCAGCGTGTAGGATGGTCTGATCGAGTCGACGGAGGAGTTGGTTGAGTTCGGCTACACCCTTCTCGGCGGAGGAGCTGGGCGTATGTTGCGAAGCCGTCGATAATCGAGCCATTATTATTGATAGTATGTAATTCTCTTCGTATGTGGTTGCAGCGGAGGTTGTTTCCCGTCTAGAGTATGTTAGGTAGACGTGTCTGAAGCCGATGATGTCGTCGTCGTCGCATAGTCAAGCCACCGTGGCTGAAGCTTGCCCCTCCAAGTGCCGACGCTTGGGCCACACTTAATATCGCCGATCCCAGCTGATGTTAAGGGCATCAACAAGAGACTCTTCTCAGCTTTTCACCAGACTTTCAACACTGTATCTCCCCTCCACCTTTCAACTTATCCGTCAAATATAAACTATATTATCCACGTGAGCGGGTATGAAGTTACGATTCCTTGTCTGTTTAAATAAGCTGGTTCTCAACATCCAGCAATCGAAATCTTCAATTATTGATCAACGTAGGTACAGCTCGATGAACAGCAGCTGAGACCTTGCTCGGGAAACATCAGAGCTGTCACATTTTGGACAGAGAAACATGGGAACCGAAAGCCTCTACTAAAATTGGTTTATTTTTTGTGTTTTAAAATACTCTGATTAGTCTTCAAGGTCACGCACTGGACCTTGATAGCACTGATCGGACTTTGACTCGGTAGTGGTCGCTACGTGGTGGGTGTTCCCATCGGTGTTACCATCGGTGTTACTAGACTTCAACCCGCGTTCCAACTGCTGGGTTTCACGTTATCTGCCCAGAAAGCTGAATAATTTGGCCGGAGTCGAAAACTACGGCCATCTGATGTCTGCTTGGCTCCATCATACAAACAGTGTCAAGAAACCCCGAGGCATCAGTTTGCCCCGTGCCGATTGCTGGGGCCTTCTTTTGCAACGGTTTATGCATCCCACGCAGCCATTGGGTACACGTGGCAGGGCTTCCACAGATCGCAGGAACAGCAATGACAAACTCGACAAGGTCCTTTCTGACTCGCCTGATCTTATACCCTCTCATACTCGATCAGAAAACTCGCAGTATTCGCTTCCTATCACTTTAGAGACACGATTCGAATGACAGAAGCGACAGCACGGAACGCCACACGCCCTCCGTTCAATATTTGAAATTGTCGAAAGATGCTATACTTTCAGACTCGCTCTGTCGAGGGAACCGTCACTTAATGAATGGCATATAAACGACTATTAGAAGAGTGATGGACGCTTGTGTTGCCCATAAATATCCTCGTTGGTTTTCTAGACAGGTGACCTGTAGTTGTTGTCCGAGGAGTTATATGAACGATTTATTGCTACACAGACCGTGGAAAGAGTCATCTCATGAGAACTACATTGTGGCTTTTGGATCTGGCCTGCTTGACAACCTTATAACCGGCATCACGCTCGTGTCACCAGACACAGCAGGGCACCCGCCAAGACCCAAATCGGAGTACTGTGTACCTCACACTCATGCTGGTCGTCAAAGCACTTCCAAGGAACGAACGTTGAACCTGAATCAAGAAGAAGGGGGGCCAACGTGTAAGAGAGTCCTTACTTCGGTTGGGACTATGGGTGTCCAGTGGACTGTAAGCAAGGGTTATAGGCAAGGCGAAGCAGGACTAGGAAGCTGACGGTAATCTACCAGTAAAGAAGAGAAGCCCGCAAACAATACTTCCGAAGGACATGCCCCTATCCATAGGTACGCCATTGATGTGAAGATATTCCTACCCGCAAGCTCGACAATCTCTAATGAGAGCCTGTCTGAGGTTGTTCGATTGCAGATGTGAAGATCCAATGACCCTGATGACCCCAGTTCGCGTTTGTCCTTCGTCGATTGACCCGGAACGATACCCCCCTACTGGCCATCCGTGATGACCTATCGTACGGCGACAGAGGTGTCTGAACTCTTCGTGACTTTTCATCGTCACATGAATGGACGTCGAAAAGCGACCCGCACTTGTCTCCAACGACAAGCAAGACCCTTTCGCTCCCACCCAGCGCCGATCACTCGCCACTGGCCGACACAGAGCGGCTTATGAATGCCTACCCCCGAAGAAGCAACTCGAAATAGCGGACACAGAAGGGGGAAGAGGCATCGTCATAGACACCCGGAAACTTGCGCGGTAGGGCCAGGCCAAGTGGCTTGTTGAAAGAGCCAGCGGGTTGTCGTGGAAAAAGAAGTCATGTGTGCAGGATGTACGAACAGCGTGGCTATGCCCTCCCTTCAGTTGGCTTCTACCCCGCGTTTCTGGTTTCTGGCAACCGGCCGAAGTGCGGGTTTGTCGCTGGCGAAGCTGTCATTGCATCAGAATTGGCTCGTACGGGTGGCAAAGCCTGTCATTGCACCTCAGCCCTGCAGGCACGCAACTCAACGATTTCCAAGGCTAACTTCTTCGTTTCATCGGTTAGCCTGTTTCACGTCCTGCAGTTGAGCCATATGAGCGTAGATCCATCTCCTCACGGCCACGAGACAGCCATAAGCATCCCAGAAAAATGCGACGATTAGGGTGGGTGGGTGCAGATAGTATGCGTATCTCGCCATTGGACAAATCCAGGCGAATGACTTGTTAGATGACGGAGTTCCATGGCTCCGCGCCATCCCCCCCCAAAAGTCGCTTGACCCGTCAGAGGAGCACGCGGAGCGCGGATACAGCCACAAAAATAATACCAAAGGGGGTGAGGGGGGGCAAATTTCCTCAGCGAAGCCCACTCGCTCGTCGTTGACAAGCCCAAGTGAGGGAAGGCAACACGACATTTTGGCTTGGGGGAACGGGCGTTGTGCGTCCCTGCATGATAGAAGAGAACTTGGTGCTAATTTTGGAAACGGGATGAACCCGGCATTGGCTGGAGCAGCTCATTGACAACACTATAAAGGGCCTTCGAAGAGGGGTAGATCTCTTGACCATTTATGTAGTGTAGTTTGTTGCGCATGCAGAGCAGCGACAATGGATGGCGGTAAACGTCGAATCAGCGGCGCAAAGCGGGAGGTGACAGAAGCTAGGAAAAGCGTCGGGCCTACAAGTTCTTTCAAGCACTGAAGACCGTTGACATAAACTTGGAGGGGACCGTGGCATCGTCGTCGAATCCGGAGGGGTGCACGACGTCATTGGGTAGCTGTTGGTGTGGGAGCTCTTGGAGTGGTGCAGTGGAGGTGGATGCCAACTACCTGTGCCTAGGTACCTAGGTAGGTGCACACGGAATACCGCAAACGCGGACCGGAAGAGCCTTGAGCCAGTAAGTGACTATGGGTGGGACCTGGAACCACCATAACCTGTTTGTCCCTGAAGATGGTAGAATTGTAGTGTAGACGAATGGATAACGAGTCGCTGGACGGCCGATGGTAGTCCGTAGTTCGGCAAGATCCAGCATCTGGGCTCTGTGGAGGAGGAGCGTCGGTTCGGACGGGTTGAACTGAAGCGAAATTAGCGTAGGTTGCCTTGGCATCGCGTTGCTTTTCTGCGCCCACAGGGCCAGTTAGATTAGCCGTCAGTGACTCGGAGCGATAAGTGCTTTTTGGGTTCTTCGTCTTGCTTGTAACAAGAAAACTAGTTGCCATGGTTGTCGGATAGACAGGATTTCAATGGAGCCTTGGCCGACCTATCTGAGTGGGTAAGAGAAGGCAGGAAGAGCGTGCCTACTGCCAGACGGCTACACCGCAGGTGAAGCCGTAGCTTGGAAGTGGCATGGTGTCTGGCCTGGGGCTGTCGCGTCGACCAAGCGCCTGCAGCAACTGTGCCACTCAATGCCGAAGTAGATTGGCGAGAGCATTGCGGGAGAGGCAGCATCAGCTCGGAGTCAGTGTAGGTACCTAGGCTATGGCAAGTACGATTGTAGTGGCTTGTGACTTGTTGGGCGTCTTTGTTTCTGCATTGCACGAAAGCGAGGTTGGACAAAAACAAATACAGTGACGTTCGGCCCTACGAGAGCGCCATGTCGCACTCGGTGCTCTATGGGGCATGGATTTCATGCGGAGTCCGCTGCTAGAGTCGCTCGCTGCTTGGATAGGTACCCGACGTCGTCAGTCGAGCTTATGGCTGGCTGCAAGATAGTATGTGTATGGCCGAAGCGGTACGGTTCCATCCAGCGGGAGGCTTAGTTCGGTGCCGGCGAGGTGATCGACAGCCGTCTTTGCCTTTTGAGAGACGAGGGCTCCGGTGCTGGACCAAGGAACGGGCTGCGACCCCGAGGTCAAGAAACGGACGAACTCCTGTTCAGGAGCAGCTTGAACGGAACGGCTGAGAGAAGAATGATGTACTCCGTAGTCGCGGTAGCATTTTGCAGAGTCGATCAAGGCATGGTGTCCAATTCGTGCGTGTGTGTGCAAGGTTATTGAAGACGGGCAACATGAGGCCCACTGACCGAAAGCAGGTGGCGCAGGGGATTGGAATGGAAGTCCATAGCCCGAGATACGGGAAATAGTGTAAACAAAACAACATAACATGGCAGTGCGGATTTCCAGAGCACCCTCCCCCTCCTCCCACCCTCACAGGTTGCGGCATGGTATCAAGAGGGATAGGACCACTCCGGTGGTGTCGGACAATGCGGATGGGGGACTACGGCTGACGATGCGTCAACACGTCGCATCCTTGAAAGGTAAGGTGGACGACATTTTGGGTTGGGCACATCGTGTCGCGGCAGGCGTGTTTCGAACCGCATTTTCTTTTTTTCAGCCCGTCGTTGGGGAAGGGAAATGGGGAAATGGTCGAGAAAGAACGTGTGGTCCGAGGTGCAGTGCGTCTTGCTTGTCGTTGTATTGGACGAGACGAAGGGATGCCAATGCAGGTACCTACACCTAAGTGCCTGCCTACCTTTCCTTAGCCTTGAGGTAGGCACGGTACCGAGTACCTCTTGCCTTTTTTGTCAACCGACGACGCATTGCCTGCCGCCTTTGCTTGCTGGCCTGATATGCCCGAGGAACGTTAAGCCTCCCTTACGATGGCATCGGGTGTTCCTTTAATGAGATTTCGGCGGGAAATGAGCACTGCTCCTTGCATCCGTGTTCGTCTCTTTCCTTGTCCTCTCTCTCTCTCTCTCTCTCTCTCTGCATTTCGTTGTTTTGCTAGTTCGAATGGATAGACGCTCTGTCTTTGTAATTTCGAAAAAGCTGGGTAATTCTACTTCGGATGCGTGTCCGACTGCCCCCAAAGCTCTGACCAGCTGCCCGTAAAAGGCTTGACTCGTGACAGTGTGTGGCCGTGGGAGAGAGAGGCTTTCGACGGTCGAGAGGGCTGAAGAGGGGAAGAGGGGGCCTTGCCGACGTGGGGCACATCCGCGCCTCTGGCGTAAGCATATTTGCAAGTGGACTCGACGGGATTGGACTACCTACTGAGCAATACGGATAAAGGATATATAGATGGTTTTATTGATTCGAGGTCTGGTAGATAACACAGGCAGGTTGCTAGTGCACACCATACTCCGTACTGCTAAAGCCTCGGCCGGGGCCCACTGGCACCTCGCCGGTCTCATCTCCAGGGCCACCCCGTCCGGTCTCGATTTCCTCGGTTCCTTCTCTTCCTTCGCCTCCCCAAGGAGTTGGAACCCGCCAAGGGCAGCTGGCCCGGGCCTCGTCCCATTTGATCTCTCGATGATGCCCCACCAAGCGAAAAATGCCAACCAAGTATCTTGCGCCACGGAAGCTGGTCCTCAAGGGACCAAGTGTACCTACCTACCTACCTACCGGGGTACAAATATACATGTACTAGTGAGTCGTACGTACCAGGGGGGGGCTTGGAGAAAGTGGGCATGAACCACACAGACATAACAAAGAGGTACTTTCGCCCATGCCCGCGTTCTCAACCGCCTTGCAGCGTGTCCGTCGTCCAGTATTTCGTGGTCCTCAGCAACGTCCAGGTCTATCCAGTATCCGTTGTAGAGCTATACGCAGCACATACCTACCTACCTACTTAGGTAGTAAAATATGGTGGACACTCCAGTGAATGCAGACGGAGGCGGCCAGTGACTCCGAGCGGCACCCGTCCCAGCAACTCAGCACCCATTGCAATGCGCCCCACGTCCCACGTAACTGCGCAGCACTAGCACACTTTGCCTACTGCAGGCTTTGGGCCTCGACGAGTCTTTCTCCACCCCCGGGGAGGGGGACTGGCCTGTCTTGGGTCCTTGAGTCCTTGAGAAGAAGCATGGAAGGAAGGCGACGAGGAATTGCGCCTGCTTCCTTAGCAGTATACAAATATATCCGTATCCGTACACACTACCCTAATGTTACCCTAGGTAGGTACTGCCCGCAGTAATTCAACGCCGTTTCCTTCCACGTTCCACGTCCGCCTCCTGCCCCTTCTGTTTATCACTCTCTTCCAACCTACCTATCGACGATGTCCTGTCCTCGCCCACTATCGCCAATACTATCCAACGACCAGAAGTACCTAGTATGAAATACATTACATAGATAGTGTGTAGGTAGTTGAGATTTGTGTGGCAATGTCATTGGGGATACCCTTGGTCTCGTCCCTCCTACCTACCTACCTACCTGGAGACACGGATATTGTAGTTCACCATACATGTACAAGTACGGAGTACTTAGTATCCTATTACACCCTGCGACACCCCTCACAATCCTCCCTCACCCCTCGTCGTCGCTGCCCTACCAGACCACCTGACTGGCAACAACCCTGTTGTCTCGTCCCAGGCTATCCATCCCGTCTCGGATTGTCAGTGCCTGTTGCCATCGCTGGAGCCAGTGAGAGTTACCTCTGTAATTACTTGCTGTTCTGTATCCCCCTGCTCTCCCGGCTACCTACCTACTTGCCTACCTACTCATCTTATGCTCTCACATTGTAGACGCCCACAACTTAGCAGTACATAGCTTCACTCATTGTTCAAACTGGACGGTTCCTGGCTCGCATTGCAGTGCCTCTTTCGCTCACATGCCCTACCTACCCTAACCATCTTTGGGTTCCCGTGCTGCCAACTCTGGCCCAGGCGAGCTTTTATTAATCAATCGAAGAGAAATCCCGTCTGAATTCATCACCGCTGACGACAGCCCATCCCTCTTCGGCACACACAACGCACACACACCCGTTTACTCTCTGCACACCACCTTGTCTATCACCTACCCTCTTCCGCCTTACTTGGCTACCTAACCCCTCACCTTACCTCTGGGTAGGTACCTATGTAGGTAGCTCGCCTCCACAACACTTCCCTTCCCTTTTCCCGACTTACCCACGTACATGCACATGGCGCTAACGCCCGGCCTGGACCTGGACTTAGACCTGGATCTGGATCTGGCGGCCTGGACATTGGGACTCGTTGCAACTTGCACTGGCACCTGCAAAGCGCCTGCATCTCTCCCCTCCTACATCCACGCACTGCATCAGCCTCTGGTTTTTTTTTACCTTTGCCTCAACTTACTTCAGGTTACTTACCTTCCAACCTGCTTACCTCGTATAGAGTGCACATACCTCGCTTCCACCCCTTCTGCCTTGCCTCGCCCCGAACTCTCTCTCTCTCTCTCTCTCTTCCCCACCCCCGGGAAAAACAACATCTTTCTTCTTCGTCCTTCTCGCCCGACGGCATTCGATTACGAGATACAACCTGTGTCGTCGTCGCGTTCGTTGTTCGGAAAACGTCACTCGCTTTCATCATTGTCTGTCGTTCAAATCCCACTAACGCACAGCTCGTGTCTCACCGACTGCCACCTCACCCTCTTCCAGCTGTGCATCATCGTCGCCTGCCACTCGCTGTCTTTGGTCAAGGCTGCTCGGAAACCACTCGGGTCGTCATTTCGCCTACACTGACACTCTTTTCCGGCGTTCGCTCCCGCCTTCGTCCATACCTATCTCAACCAGAGCATCCTCATGACACCAGCAGCAGCACTATCGTAATAGATTTTTAGGAGAAGAAGGTGGGAAATCTTGGACAGTTCACGGGCAGTCGACGGGGCACTTCATTCGACAAAGGAACATTTGCGCGCCGGGGAAAAAAAGAAAGAAAGAAAAAGAGACCCCGCGTCCAATCACCTCCTGCACTTCGCATCCTCTCCTAGCGCATGCTCATACCCAATACCTCCCCAGCAACCCAACACAGTGCAAAACACCACCAAGCGAGCAAGCGAACAAGCGAACAAGCATCCGACAGACCGACCCAAGAACGAGCACTGGCGACACCAGACCCAATTTCGACATCGCTTTTCTCGCCGCCGCCCGATCATCGTCGCTCTACGTCGCTTGAGACACTTCGTCGTCCGACCTCGATCTCCCAGACCACCCTCCGGAGCGCTGGCTACAACACAATAAATTAAGCTCCGACCACCTGCGCCCCGTCATTGCGATGACGTCCGCAGCTCCCCCCCCCAACCAGGCTTTGCAGCCCACGAACACCTCGACCGCGCCCACCGGGCTTTCGACCCCAAATAAAAGAGACTTGAAATCGTGGTGGAAAGGCTTCAAGCTTCCTTCGAAGCATCAGGATCAAAATGGTAGCGTCCCTTCCACTTTCGCATCGCAGCCTTGTCCCCCAAAACAACCCCTCTTCGGTGAAGATGTCGACGAGGCAATGGATACATCGACCATGCCTTTGAACCAAGTTCTCTCGCTGCAAGACACCCATGTCTTCACGCCCAACGACTTTCTCCAACCCAAAGTCTCCGCTTCAAGTGATGCGGCAGCGTCCACCACCATCCGCCTAGCTTGTGTGCTCAACAGGCCGTCCCTGTCCATTGCTACTACGCCTGTGCGCCAGTGCGCCAAACGGATCCGCGCAGCTGTGACATCCGCCTCTACCTCAAGTGCTAAACAAGTCGCAGCAGATAACCGACCGCACGGCATTTTCGGTGTTCCTCTCCGCCAGAGCATCACCTATGCCAACGTCGCCATCTCCCTCGTCGACGAGAATGGGAAAAGCTACATTTATGGTTACGTACCGATTGTCGTTGCCAAGTGCGGCGTATTTCTGAAGGAGAAGGGTAAGTGCCACAACCCTTGCGTAGATTATCCCCTGCTCATCCTCCATCTCAGCCACAACAGTAGAGGGTATCTTCCGTCTTAGCGGCTCCGAGAAGCGCATCAAGGAACTCAAGCAGATCTTTGACTCCCCCGATCGCTACGGAAAGGGGCTCGTGTGGGACAACTACACCGTCCACGATGCGGCCAACGTCCTCCGTCGATACCTGAATGACCTTCCCGAACCGGTTGTGCCGTTAGACCTGTACGAGAAATTCCGGGAACCACTGCGAGGTGCCACCAGGCAAGCGGTAGGCGATGGTGACGGACCCCAGTTCGTAGACAACTTCGACGAGCAAGCCGCCATCGTCAAGTACCAGAAACTCATCACCGAGCTTCCGCCGCTGAACCGGCAGCTACTCCTCTACATCCTAGACCTTTTGGCCGTTTTCGCCGCCAAATCGGAAGAGAACCGAATGAACTCCCAGAACCTTGCAGCCATCTTTCAGCCCGGTATGCTCTCGCATCCGCAACATGCAATGGCCCCAGAGGAGTACCGCCTGAACCAATGCGTTCTCATTTTCCTTATTGAAAACCAGGACCATTTCTTGATTGGCATGCAGGGTACGGCCACAGATGAGAAGACCAAGCAGCTGATCGAAAAGGGCACACCCCCTGCTGCAAGTGGGCCAGTGACTCCTAACCCCAGCAGGAAGTCAGGGCTGGGCCGTTCTGCGTCCAATGCAAGTGCCGGTGCCGAGAGTGTGAGAAGAGAAGGGATGGTTAGGAGAAACCGATCGACTTCTTCTCGACACTCTCACCAGGAGGGATCTACAACCCCCAACAGCCCGGCTCTTGCTCCGACACCGAACAGTGGACTCGGCAGAAGTAACACAGTACCTTCCAAGAAGTCTCCCGCTCTCCAGACGGGAAGATTTAGACCCGATGCCTCTCCTATCACCGGTTCGTCCTCTCGAGAGCCCATGATTCCGGCGACGACGGAGGAGCTCGTCGAGGCACTTGATCACTCTTCTGCTGCTTCGATCATTTCACCTGCCCCGGCTGCGATCGGCACATCCAGTCTGGCTCCATCCGCTGCCGGTACGGCAGGCCGAAGTTTGGAGAGGCTGCTCGATCCAAGCGAGGCAACAACTCCCATCAAGGAGAGAAACCTCCCTAGCATATTCCAACGATCTCCCACGGGCGAAGGAGAGAAGAGACAGCCAAACAAGTTGAAGAAGAAGCGGATCCCTGGAAGTCTAAACCCAAGCGCGCAAAGCTCGGTTGCATCTTTGTCCGGTACGCACTCAGCCGCTGTGTCCCCTAATGTTGAAGCCCCTAATCCTATGGATCTGGTTGGCGATTCGATCCCCGAGCACGAGTCCCTTGCAATTGGCCAGCAACCCAATGCAGTCGATACACCGTCAGAGCCCACTCCACGTGCATCACAGGCCCCTTCAAGCAACACTTTGCACCCTGAGCAGACCCTCAAGAGCAAGAAGTCACCTCCGACATCCCTTCACTCATCATTTAATGAAGGTTCTGACATCGATCAGAATGAAGAGTCTATCATGACGACATCGGCGGACGCGAATGAGCCCGAGAAGGACAAGAAGAAAAGATGGAGGTTGTCGCGGCAACGGGGCCATGAGCACCAGCCGTCGGTTACATCGCCGCGTCAAGCCTTCGGCTCCAACGACAACGCTGATATAAGCGTGACCTCGATCGGAAGCAGCGGATACAGGCCACGCAAGAGCTTCACCGGTGAAAGCTCCGAAACTGGATTCCAGGCTGCCGAGGCACAGTGCAGTCACGAGTCCCGCGACAAGGACTGCAAAGACGAATCAAAGGGTCCTATTGGTTGGATTAGGAACAAATACCGAGAGGCCAAGGAGAGTGCTGAGCAAAGAAGGAATAAGTCGCCTCCCGCAGACCGGCAGTCCTCTCTCGGTGGGTCCAGTATCATGTCAGGTAGGGGCAAGAGCTTGGACCTGCGGAGAGAACCCGAAGAGAAGACGGCAAACGACCACCCAGCGCCGGTGCCACCGGTGCCGTCTCAACAGGCGCCGACTTCGGCACCAGCCCAACAGGAAGTGCCTCAATCAGCATCATCTCCACCAGCGGCATCTCAACTAGCAGCCGCATCTCAATCCGAACTAGCACCCCCGCAACAGCCGCAGGCCGAAGAAACGCGGTAAGCATGGTGGCCTTATCTCCAAGGTTGGACACCCGTGGCGTTTTCGATAGGGAGTTGTGATTACTATTCTATTTTTTTTATTCTTTTTTATTGGAAAACGACATGGATTCGTTGCTTAGACATGATGATGAAGCGCTTTCAGGGTTTGAAATTTATATGAAGAGGGGGAGAGCCTCAACAGGAGGAGGCTGTTTCTGTCCCAAGATCCCCGCTGAGATACTTTCTATACAAAAGGAGGCATGTGTGTGCTTGTGCGAATCATAATGTACGGAGTTGTTCGATTCTCCCGTTTGGCTTGGTGCTAGGCGATGCATTGCCCACGGGCTCGCTCGCTATGAAGGGGCTCTAGCAAAGTAGGCGTTGTCGAGTGCAGCAGGCCCTGAGTACCCTCCTGACGTTCCAAGGGATTTGGATTATTCGTGTTGAATGGAAAAGAAACGACATTTTGAAATTTCGATCCACTACGAGCGGGCCATCATTCCGCATTGGTGTTCTGTCGTATGTGTGTAATCTTGTCAACGCTTCGGTAAGTGTTGGGTCCACGCATCCCACTTGGAGGGTGTGCTAGTTCTATATGACGAAGATGACTTACGGCATGTTTGGGTTTCCTCAGCTTCATGTGAAGGTTAATTACATATTGTATATAATACATGATTTACATACCCTGTTCCGGAGGAGGAGGAGGACCATCTGAGTGCCTTTTGGCCCAGATCACGCCTTCCAGCCCATTCACTTGCCAGGTTCCCTGTTTGTTTTCAGGTGTTTTGTTGGTACGCAGCTAGGACACGGTGGCATACAGCCCCGTATCCCAGACGACAAGTTTCCCTCGCCGCCGGGGGTCCTCGTTGAAGAAGCCGTTCCAGCCCTGCCAGACTCGCCTCGGGCGGACGCCGAATCGCTGGCCGTGGGGTCCGTCGAAGAAGTCGAGGAGCCAGGGCTCGATGCCCTCGAAGCCGACAATGTAGCGGGGCATGTCCTCGGCAGCCGCTAGCGGTGCGGAGGACGCGTTCTCGTCCGCGACGGGGCTGTCCGTCTCCGTGTCACCTGTGGACCACAGCTCTGTGGACAGGAACAGCTGGGGGTCGTCGTAGAAACGGTCCGCTTCGTCTCGGTAACCGATGCGTTCTGGGGTGTTGGGGGCCGTGTGGATGGGCGGCTCGCAGGTCAGGGCCCGGGCGCGGAGGGTCGGATGGATGAGGTGGGAGCGCCAGGGTGTCGAGTGGCACGGGGTGAGGAAGAAGGCAAACAGTTCTTCCGACGAGGAGTTGGTGGGGACGGACAAAGCGGAGGTGGCGGGATGGAGACGGGAGTAGGAGTTGCGGAGGAAGGTAAGAACCGTCAGGGGGGCTGGTTGGTGGAGCAGAGTCAGGAAGAAGGACAGGAGGGCGTGGAGGGCCAGGGCGGATGTCAGAAGGCGCTTGTGCCGGAGTCGCGGTTTCGGAAGCGGGGACTTGGAGGTCGGTCTCGGGGCAGGGGAGGTGAAGAAGCCCGTCAGGGGCGCGGCGGCCAGAACGTGAAGAATCGGGAGGAGGGGGTAGATGAAGCGGACTTCCTTGTGGGAGACCAGGGAAAGCGTCGCGATCACGACGTAGACCGTCCATGATAGAGTCTTGAGAGTCTGTGTGCGAATTTTGGAGGGTGTCGACGGCGGGCGGTAGAGAGCGATGAGGACGAAGGGGAGATAGGCGATAGACAGGAGAGGCAGGCCTTGCGAGAGGTAGTAGTGCCAGTCGTTGCGGCCGTAGAAGACGGCAAGGGACTGGGACAGGTTGAAGTAGAGGAACCTATAGGGCGGGAAGGTCCACTCGCCGAAGTAGAGACGATCCGAGGTGAGGGAGGCGGAGAGTACCAGGACGCCGCAGAGGAGAGCCTCACGGATGAGGATGAGCACAGCCTGCGCCGTGAGAACGGAGTGCCGGGTGATGAGGGGCCGGATCAACGTCGCGGTTGCTACTGTTGCCCAGATGAGGATGTTGGTTGGACGAAGGAGGACTGCGACTGCAGCAAGGATGAGGGAGAAACGAAGGCTGTGAGAGTGAGTGAGAGTTCCTAGGTGACTGCTCTAATGTGAGAGACGCACCTCATTAGGGTTCCTGGTGTGTGCAAAATAGATTTCGCAGGCCTGGGGTTCTCCTTCTCGGCCTTGGCATCGCCGAGGAGCTCCCATGGCCAATAGTTGAGGGCCATGATGGTGAGGGCAGTCTCAAGCGAGTTGGAAAATGTTCTTGTCGAGCAGTACCATTGGAACGGGCTGAACATGCTCATGAACAGCTATCAGAGGGTTTCAGCAGACGTTTTTCTCTTATGCGCCCGCCCTTGCGCGCGTGCGCAGCCAAACGGGCTCGAAAACGCGGGACTCGACTTACAGCAAACCATGAGACGGAGCTATCGGCGCCGTAGATCTTGACAGCCAGCTGCCAGGTGTACCAGTCACCGGCCGCGGCAAAGACGGCCTGAGCGGCCTTTGGGGCGGCGAGTAGAAGCCATGGCCTGGCGAAGGGGAGCGGGCGGGCGATTAGGTCTGCCAGGTAGTAGACGGCGGCGAAGAGGGCGGGATGCAGGGAGGAGCGGAGCTGGTTTCTCCATTCCTATGCAAGTCAGCAACAACCCACGACATGGCATTAAAAACCTATGAGCCATCTGACGCCCCAGCTGCGAAACGCGAGGAGGGGTCAACGCCAATAACTCACCCAAGTAATCCATGCACCGCTGCCCTCGCCAAAGGCCATGCGCCAGGCGGGCTCAAGGGCCTGAAAGTACTCGTCCGGCTGGAAAAAGGTGAGGACCCACCAGGCGTTGAGGAGACGGATGACGAGGAGAGACCGGAAGACGGCGGGCTTGTTGCGCTCGTTACGAACTGCCATTAGGAGTTCGGGGCGGGCAGGCGGAGAGCCGACGGAAGCCATTGTGGAGAAAGCGTGGACACCCCTTCTCCTTGGTGGCCGGCGGCGGTAGCGGCAAAAGGGGGCAGCGTGGGAGGAGAGGGGGGGGGTGGGGGAGGGGACGGTGGGCGGAGGTCACGGAGGAGGGAAGCTATTGCGTAATCATCGGTCGGACGCCGGGAATGCGCTGATAATTAGTCCTTTCCTCGTAGGAAGGAAACGGTGTTGGCGAGTCAGAAGGCGTTACGTGGAAGTGGTTGGTGTGTGCGTGTTGCGTGTTGCGTGTTGGATTGTGTTGGTGTGTGTATCGATCCTGATGGTGTTGGGCATGCCTCCTGTTAGGCCCCTCTTTTTCCGTCTTTCCCCCTTCGCCCTTTTCTTCCTATTTCTTACTTTCTTGGCCGTTTTGTGTGCTGGCAGCCGGGACCGAGAAGGCAGTAGTAGGTTTAGGAAGAATGAAAGACAGAACAAGTTGTTATGCTGGCCTTCCTGATCGCTAATGGAATGTCGAGACGGGATGCAGAGCGCTAAAGTTTTATCGACAGGCCGTTGCCTTCTACCAATTGGTCACTAAAGCACCGAGAGTCATTGTCGCCGAAAGCCTGATGGGGGAGACGCTTGGACCACCCAACCTACGTACAACCTTGATATTCAGGCTTGAGCCTTGCTAGGTACGATGGTAAGGGTACCTACCTACCTGTAAAGTCGTGGTTTCCACTTGGCGGCACCAGAAATGGCTCCTCCCATTGGCTTCGAGCGGCGGGAATGCAAATAGGGACTCCATCATTGGGTGAGACCAGGACCTTCCTCGTCCGTCTTGCTCGTGCCTGTGTCAAATAGCCTGATAGCCTCTTTCCGTTCTGTTCGTTCTTCCATGCTGTGGATCCCTAGGCACTGAAAATGATATCTTCGAAATGAGAAGAGATGCTGGCCTAGGCATGAAGATAGGCGAATACAATTCGTTTCTATGATGGTCTTACCAACGTCGTCATCGCGCACAAATAGATAGATGCCCGGCTATCGGCACTGCCTACCTTCGCTGTCTTGTTCGTCTTGTCGTTCCATCCCTCCAGTCCCACTCCCATTTGTTGGTTGGGCCGGATATGTCTTGTCCCCTGACCGTGTTGTTTCCTATCACGCCTCTTACCATGCACACTACCTATCCTCCCCAACAATGCTCGACAGTTTGCATAATTTGGTCCTCCCACAGTAACACCGGGTGACCGCGCCTTCTCTTGTCCATTACGGCATTCTTACTCCAGTAACGAGAAACCACCCGAGTGCGCCGCTTTCCTTCGGCCACATACCCCTCTCCTTCACCACCCATGTGACTAGATATGGCACCGGGATGGTTTCCCTTACATGGTTCCCTCGGCCGTCATCCTTCCCACTCACCCACTTGAGCCGCTTATACCTGCGCTTAGGGGATCATACCTGCACTTAGAGGCATAGTGCCATTCTTCTGACTCCGACACCGCGACTTTGGTTCCAGGCCATGGTCCGGGCTCGCCTGAAGTTCAGATTTTCCTCGTTACTCTCTGCCTATGGCCAGCCAGACATTTTTTTTTTTGCTCGCCTCCGGGCTTTGCTAGACCCTTGCCGCCGCCTCCGCCGCATGCTGGCCAGGTTTCTGCTTCCGTATCGCACCTGTCCTTTAGTCAAGGGTCAGGGACGCTCGCCGCCCGCCAGGGTATAACTACCTAGTACCCCGCGATTTGCCCCTCGCTCCTGTCCTCTTCTCTTGATGTTTCCTCACTTTCCACAACTTCTCTCCAACGGCCACCTGTCCCAAAGTTACACACACTCACTTTGACAAATCAATTGTCACTCCAACTGATCTCCTACCCACATATTTTCAGTCAACCAGGCACAATGGCTCCCCACGCGAACGGCGATGCCCCTCAGTCCAATGGCGGGGTCGACTCGAGATACCATGCCTCTTCGACCGATGCCGCAATCAGGTCCGAGAACGAGCACGCCGCCCACAATTACCACCCGCTCCCGGTGGTTTTCGCCCGCGCAAGCGGTGTCCACGTCTGGGATCCCGAGGGCAAGCAGTACCTCGACTTCCTCTCCGCCTACAGCGCCGTCAACCAAGGCCATTGCCACCCCGAGTTGGTCAAGGCATTGACCGAGCAGGCTGGCAGACTGACCCTCAGTTCGAGAGCCTTCTACAACGATGTCTTCCCCAAGTGGGCTGAGAAGATCCAGCAGGTCTTCGGCTATGATATGGTTCTACCCATGAACACGGGCGCCGAGGCTGTCGAGACGGCCATCAAGATTGCGCGGAAATGGGCGTACAAGGTCAAGGGTGTTGAACAGGGCAAGGCTCTGGTCTTCTCAGTGAATGACAACTTCCACGGCCGCACGGTAAGTAATCCCAGGTCATCTGTCGGCTACTGATTCCTCGAGCGCTGACGCTGACGTCCCCGCCAGATGACGGCGATTTCCCTGTCCGTTGACCCCGAGTCGAGAGACAACTACGGTCCCTATGTTCCCAACATTGGCGCCCTCAATCCTTCAACAGGTCAGCCCATTCGTTACAACAACGTTGGTGATATCGAGGCGGTGTTCGAGGCGCACGGCAAGGACACTGCTGCTATCATCATCGAGCCTATTCAGGGCGAGGCCGGCGTTGTGGTGCCGGATGATGACTACCTAAAGAGAGTGCAAGATCTTTGCAAGAAGCACAACGTGCTCTTCATCTGCGACGAGATCCAGACTGGCATCGGTCGCACGGGACGGATGCTGTGCTCCCAGTGGGCCGGCATCAAGCCCGACATGGTGACACTTGGCAAGGCCATCTCTGGTGGCCTGTATCCCGTAAGCTGTGTGCTGTCAAGCAAGGAGATTATGCTTGTGGTTGAGCCCGGCACGCACGGGTCTACTTACGGCGGTAACCCGCTTGGATGCGCCGTGTCGATCCGCGCGTTGGAGATCATGGAGGAGGAAGACCTCACGGCTAAGGCAGAGAAGTTGGGCAACATCTTCCGCGAGGGCGTTAGGGCCTTGAACTCGCCCATTATCGAGCTGGTGCGTGGCAAGGGTCTTCTGAACGCCGTTGTCATCAACGAGTCCGCTGCTGCAGGTAGAACAGCCTGGGATCTTTGCCTGTTGCTGAAGGAGAAGGGTGTTTTGGTAAGTCACACGATACTCCGACGGAGCATCTTGAGGACAAGACTAACAGCATTATTTTCATTAGGCCAAGCCCACGCACGGGAACATCATTCGCTTCGCACCTCCTCTGGTTATCTCTGAGACCGACCTCCGCAAAGCCCTCAACATTATCGGCGAGGCCCTCAAGGAGCTACCGACCGTCGAAAAGGCGTCACATCACTAAACACTCGGTGCGATGACAGTTTGGGAGTCAGCAGGATACAATCCCTGCAGTGGACACACAGAACATGCGGCGGTCGTGGAGGTGTCGGTGTCGTCATACCACAAGGGAGGGGATGCGGGTGGTTCTTCAAATCCGAATTTGGACCCGAAGGAATGGTGGGATTGGTTGAAATGCATGCTGTTGCGATTGGGTAACCCTTTGGGCGTTAGGAGCATCACACATCCTGGGCACTTTGTTGTTTTCTATACCCTCGAAAGCCAGGGCCAATGTTTGTGTTACAAGGGGGACTCATGATATGGTTGGGTCACTCTCACCCACCTTATCCAGGCAGCATTGGGATCTATTCAGTATCCTATGGTTCGGAGCATAGTTCATGCGGCGGGTGGGAAGCACAGGGTGGGAAATGATTCGCCCCATTCATGCTACCTGTTAGTTTTGCATACATGTGTGTAGCACTTCAACGGATTCCGATAGAGTGGAATCTGGATACACGGCAAGAGCACCAAAAGTAAACACATGAGAACGATTTGCCACGACACACAGAATGCCAGTCACGTCGCACCGCCGTGTGTATGTAAGGGTTCGTGCATATGCCTGATGTATTGACAGCTGTTGAGGATGTACGGATCCGGCGAGTTGGGTTGCATTGCATATGGTGCCGGCAGGTAGGCAGCCAGCCAGAGAGACAACCAGGCCCACGTAGCGGCAAGGGGTGAACACGTCGAGCTGCAGCGAAGCTTTTCCCACTAATCGCCAACATCCCCATGCACGATGCATCCTGATAAGGTGCGCTGCTTCTTCCTCATGTGTAACACAGTACAGGCTCCGAGGGTCAAGACCGTATGGATTGCGGAAACAAGGTGAGGTGGTGGCCACGCTTGTATGCTCTTGGATTTGGCTTGTGTTTGTGTTTTTCTTCACTTCGGCTCACAACACTTGACAGGATGGATGGCTGGCTGACCTACAGTGTGCCATCTATTGGCTTGTCACATCACGCAGACTGGTAATGATGGGGTCCTCACAGTGAGGCCATTTCGCACCCGGCGAGGCCAGTCAGACGTGGACGGGCTTGGCGGCACAAGCAGGATTGATGAAAGGGGGGGGGCAGCATGTTCGGATATATATACATATATACGGATACAAAGAGAGAGGGAGAGAGAAGGTGTGTATGCGCGCGCGCGCGCGCGTGTGTGTGTGTGTGTGAGGCATGTTCGGCACGGCTTGCCCCTTCTGGTCAAGAGAAGCCATTGCACAACTGCATTGTTGTGTACTTCCCGATACCCAAAGTCAAGGGCTGCCATGGACTGTTCGGTGCCGCGTTACAATCCGTTCTCAAGGGAGCAATGTGTATTTTTCCTAGTCAACCGACGGTTCACTTGTATAACAAGTGGTCGGCGATATCCTTTAGTCCTAGACAATTCCTTGTGGCTTCGAAGAAGCCATCGTCGTGGGCCCGTTTGGGCCCGACTTTTCACCCAGGCTCCTTGTAGATGCAAAGAACGTATTCGGTGTGCAGGAAATATGCTGCACAGAAGGCATAGGGTGTGTCGCTACTTGACATTTGTTGTTCCTCGATATTGCAACACAGGGTTGTGATAGCTTTGGAAGTCGATCGCGATAAATATATGTACGGCTGACAAGACGATTCGAACATACGGTGAAGAACTGTAACCTTTGAGATGTGTTTGCGCGATAGCCACCAGCGCGGTGCCTTTGCGACAGAACCACACAGCGGAACGATACCAGAGGGCAGGTCAAGTACTTGCCGGAAATGTGAAGTCGTGTGGCTAGATCCAAGAGTGCAGTTTGCCAGAACCGCTCAACAAATGAATCGAGTGAGATTTCATGCGGGAGAGCGTGTTGATATATATCAAGTCGGACAAGCACAACCGGGCGCTCGCGGCCCCAGAAACACATCCAACGGCTCCTCCAGCACCCGGTACAATGCTGAGATGGCGATGGGGGTTGTGCATCAGAGACGGCGACCTTGTTGGATGGTTGGTTGCAGATACTCTCCACGACTTGTCAACCGCGACGCGCGTTTGCGCAACATACATCCACAAGAACAACTACAAATGACGGCCTCGTGAGTCTGCCTACCATGTGTCGCCCAACCGGCACGCAAATGAGGCTTTCCCTAGTCAGCTGGCTGCATGCTGAGTCCCAGCCTCATCGGTGTCAGGCGCATATCGAGCACTTCATTGGACCAACGAGCATGTCCAAGGAGGCGTGCAAGTCTGGCAACGAGCATCTAACAGGGAACACCGGTGCGCGGAATGCGGAGGTTGTGCCATGGTATGACTTCCCGAGAAACCTTCGTCCGGGGCCGCTTGTGCGGTACTACGGCATGCAGAAGGCCCGGGCATGACGTGGGCAGCATCAGAGACTAGGCATCACCCAAAGCCTCGATTAGACACGACATGTCGAAGGTGCAGGGCGCGGTAGGAGGGGTTCGAGGCAAGCTGCTCGGTGACGAGACGATAAATGCAGTCGGTGAACTCTGCCGCGCATCTAGCGATGTAGAAAAAAGAAAGCGTACTGCCCAAATGGACTTCGGTGACGAGCACTTCTCAGTGGCAACACACGGCCGTCGTCCAGGAAACCGCTAGCTGCTCGGTCTAGATTTCCAGACCCCGCGGGAAAAGGACACGAGAGAATGGCGATGCTGGGCCACAGGTCGAGGGCCACAACCCGTGCTTCCCCGGGCTTGTCTCATCGCCAGAATCTGGAGCCGCGTCCTGCCTGCGTGTACCAGCACCCCCATCGCCCCTTGATCCGAGTTCGAAATCGGTAGCATCAACTGATTGGCGTGGATGATTGGCTGAGCGACAATTGAGGGACCGTCGATCTCTGGCGGCGAGGCTGCATTTCAACGCGCTAAGACCTCGGGTGCTGCGGGCATCCACTCCCCAAGATGCTGGCGGCTGGAGCTAAGAGCTTGAAGTCGGAGCAAGTCTGGAGGGAAAATGGGGCCGGGCCTTATTAGTGTTGTTGCATGCAAGGGAGAACCAAAGCGTGAAGATTGGCCGGGATGCAGATAACTATTTGCTGACTATCCCCTCGGGATGTTTGCTCCAGGCTTAGAAGCACCCCGACAAGAGCATGGGGAACCTATAGAAGATCAGGGACTTGTAGCCAATCCGCATCGGTGGACAGTACAGTGGATTGTGTAGTCGAGGGTCGAAGCCGACTCTCTCTGTGTGAAGAAGCTGATCGGCGGAGAATGGATGACGGCTCCGAAGACGCGGGACCCAGTTCGGATTGCCGCTTTGGGGCACTGGACGGGCACTAGCATGAGCGTGGCTGGCTGGCTGGTAAGACAGCATGTCTTGGAGGGTTTTGGTGAAGGGGGTTGCGCCATCTATGTCAGCCGCCAGGCACAGCGAGCACCTCTCTGCCTTGGCCTTTTGAGCTTCGCCTCCTACCTCGTGCGAATTGTTCATGTGGGGTGTGAGCGATTCGAGACCAGAGTCGGTGATGTCAATAAGTTTCATGAGATGATGTGATCCAAAACAGGGTTTTTCTTTTTTGTCTTTTTTTTTTTTATATTTATCTCTCTCTCTCTCTCTCTCTCTCTCTCTCTCTCTCTCTCTCTCTCTCTCTCTCTCTCTCTCTCTCTCTTTAATTTTTAAGGGGGGAATAACGATGGCCTCTGGTGCATAAAGATGGGAGGGCGATAAGAGAGGAGGCCGTGCTCGAAGACGACGAAAAGGTGTCGTTGGCATGGGGCTACTTGCACATCCCTGGCGGTCACTGATGCGGCACGGTACTTTGCTGCAAGGTAGCGCAATATCGGCGGAGACGGGGTGGAGAGCGAGATTCTTGTTGGCTCCCTGAGTTCTTTGAGGGACGCATTGCAGTTGCAGTTGTGGTTCTGGTGCAAGTTCCAACGGTACCCGAAACCCCGATCACGATAGCACTGTAGCCGAGTGTGCTGGCCGTCGCTGTGTGGTTGGTTTGGACGGCGTTTCGACATTGTGTGTATGCCTTATCTCACCCATCAGGCAGGGAGAGAGAACTGGGGCAGCCACGGTCAGCGCTAACAATGAAGAAACATAAAGTGGACAAAGTCCTGACTCTCGAGACAGTGCCGCTATGGAGACATCGTCTGTTGATCCGGTTGGCTGGCCGGGGGAGCTGACGCCAGGCAGAACGACGAGCAGCCTGGACAATAAGGCTTATTGTGCAATTGAGGCAAGACAAGGAGAACCAGGGACAGCACTCATCCCGGGAGACGTGATAGTTCTGGGCTGCAGGCGATGTGTTCTTGGGTAGGCAAAGTTCGTTCCAAAGTATGGGGCTTACGTTTGCTGTTAGTCAAGATGAGATCAGATACAGATCAGACAGGGCCGCTGTTTGGACCAGAAGCCTAAGTTTCAAGGCGATAGCCGGCAAGTCGACGACAGCGTTGTGCAGAGGCAGAGCCATAGGGGGGAGTGGCCAAAGATTTTTGACTTTGGCGGCCTAAACATCAGGGTCATGTACCTGGCCTGGGACAGTTCAGCATCGGCGGGAAGTGTGTGGGACACAAGATTGCGCCATGGCTCGCTGGGTTGAGGAGACTCGGGGTCGTGAACTTGGACTTGAGCGGTCAAGCGGCTAGGACGCTTGAGCCGAGGGACCTAGGTTGGTGAAATCTGTGCCATGGTTCGCAAGAACCGCGGTTGACAGCTGGCTAGCCAAGCCGTCGTCTGTTCGTTTTCACATGAGATAACTAGGCATGGCATGTGTTTGCTGAGTTGTCAGTAGGAGGCAAAGACGACCAAGTGCCGGGTGTACAAGCCTTAACATGCATCCGCCCGTCCCTGTAAATCCACATCGGTGAGTGCCAAGTAGTTTACGAGTGACGCTGCTGTGGGTGATGATAACGTTTTGACGTGCAGGCTGGGCCGCGCATTCGAGGTATACGAGATGCTCTGCAATCGGTATCCTGTCCTGGCCGAGAACTGTGCTGAACTGACGTGTCGAAACAATGTAGGTCTGCGATTCGGCAACAACACAAAAGGCAGCAGCTTCATGCGTCCGGCCGGGTCTTCTGGCGTGCATCTGGAAGGGCGGGTGGAATACCGGAAAGGTGGGCTGCAGGCATAGCTAGCTGCGTCAGGGTTGCTGTCCATACCTAAGGTAAAGTGAGTGGATAAGGTTCCATTGGGGGCAAGCTGCTACAGGGGAGAGTGGTGCCATGTGCAGGTCTAACATGTAAGGAGACGCCTGTTTGCACTGGACTGATTGCTGCAGAGACACGGTTGAACGCTATTAGAGGCCACAAGGAAAGGCTGGGAGGGGGGTTCTAACGGAGATTTCTGCCACAGCTACTACGTACTTAATTACAAGTAAACGATGAAATTGCCACAAGGGACAAGCGACCAGGCGAAAGGTGTTCCGATAGGTAGCCAAACCGTCTAGGTACGTACCTGACATCGCGTTGCGAGCCAGACTCCAGCATGTACGTACCTTTTTGGATTTTGAAGTGCGTAACATATGGGGGGTTTGACGTTGATGAATAGAGGTTTCTCGTCGCAGGGGCCGAGAGGAGGAGGAGGAGGAGGAGGCACGCCATAGCAACAACGCAGTAGGTACGGTACGTTGAGATGAGACACTGGCAAACTGTTTGTGTTCCGCGGGAGGAAAGCAAGCGGTTGGCCGAGTCGAGGAATCATGGCAGTGGGTGACTGCCAGCGTTCAACCATGTACAGTGCCTCAGGCCCAGCTTTGAGGTACTCGTCCATGTACCTACCCAGGTAGCTAGGTAGGCACAGCAGGTACCTCTCTAGGTTCCTTCCTACCTTGGTAGGTAGGCATGTGCATGTGAGAAAGGTACTATTACATACAGCACCCGAGTGTTGTCCAGGTCGCGGCCGTGCTCTCTGTTTGCCTTTTCTGCCTCTGTCTGCCTAGGACACCCGCATCTGCCTACCTACTATCCGTAGTTACTAGTGGAAAGGACGGCAAGGGCTTGTGAATTGTTTCGACGTCTGCCGCCTTCCCAGACGCGGAAGCTAAGCGAGCTTGCGAGTGGGTACGGAAAGAGACGAGATGCAAATACCGAAACGGCATACCCTTGTTTTCTGTCCCCCGGCATGTCGCCGGTGTTGTAATCAACGGGACATAGGCAGGAGTGCAGGAAGGAAGGGGAAGAGCGTTAGTGGCAACGCGAGGAAGGCGATGGTGGTAATGTAATGGTGGTGGTGGTGGTGGTGGTGGTGGGCGGTGAAGGCAAGCAAGTACCTCCTACCTTCCGTGTGTGCTTGTTACTAGTCTTATCGCGATACATGAGCCTTATCGCGCCATGATGGCATTTGAGTACGACTACAGCCAATACCCTTACTCGGCCCAGTCCCCCATTCGCCCTCTTGTGAGTCTGCTCCCCACATTCTCGCTTGTCTAACCCCCTTCCCCTTCCTGCGCGACCGAGACCGGACTAGTACAGGCAAGGTATCCCTCTCCAGCTGCATCCCCGTCCCACCATCAGAAAGACCCCTGACCAGTGACCACGGGGATATGAGCGGGGCCATCGGTCGCGATGCACCTGCATTGGCTGTTCCAGAGCGGCTTGGAATTAAGCCGGTAGTGTACGTACCTGTTTTCACGTACCGCAGCAAGCAGGTGCAAGGTGCACACTCGCACACCTTGGGGAAAGAGCTCCACCGGACAGGGCCGCGCACCGCATCACGAGCCCCCAGCTGCACGTCCTCAGGTCACCCGCCCGCTCTATCACCGTCCTGTCGCCCAGGAACTGTACTGTATGCCGTGGGAGAATGAGAGAGAAAGAGAGGCTAGTAGTGTATTATTCTTTGACGAGGACTCAAAGTTTGTTGGTTGCCCTCGATATCCATCCATCCCCTTTACTTTCCCCCCAGGGAACAGATACATGCTCTGCCCCCTAACCTCAACATCCGTCCACCCAGCCATCAACTCCTTTTTCCCCGTTCAAAACTCATGTCTGCCTGACTGCGCAGGCTGTAACCACTTCGCCGGGTGTGTGTGTATGTATGAGAGAGAAAGTGAGAGGGGGGGGAGAGGGGGGGAGAGGGGGGTAGAGAGAGAGAGAGAGAGAGAGAGAGAGAGAGAGAGAGAGAGAGAGAGAGAGAGAGAGAGAGAGAGTGTGTGTGTGTGTGTGTGCAACTCTAGCTGCACCTTCTCCGTCCTGTTGTTCTACCCATAGCATCACGGCGCATCCACCAACAAGCCGCCGCCCACATCAGCGCTTCTTCAACATCCCGATCAGGAGGTTGGTTGACTAAGACCAAGCGCCCCGAAACCTCGAGGCATCATCTTGTTGATCATTCTGCTCAGACCCCAGATCACCCCGGTCTCCCATCTCTACTCAGTAGAAACTCCAAAAGCAAGAGCCACCAGCTGCCAGCGCAGCGCATCTCATACGGTGCCTATAGTACCCTGTTGCAGTCCATCCAATCCATCCAATCCATCCACCCCGTCGCGCTATCGCTGCGCCGCTCCAACTGCTAGGTACCCTTTATCGCATCAACCGCACGCACACCACACAACCTTGCCCTATCTTATCGGCCTTATCCACTTCGGGCCCCATCCGTCCTCGTCACTCCCGTCTTGTCTCTGTCACTCAACTCTCTCCTTCGGCGCGTCCCTTGACCTTCTTCTACGTCGCCTGCCCATCCATCCCCATCTCGACCGCTTTTCTTCCTCTTCCGCCAACCTCGACTTCTCTCTCCCTCTCTCCTATCGCCGCTCGGTCTCGTTCTCAACTCCTTTGCTTTCCCACCACCCACGACAACTCTCGACTTCTCTGCCCCCGGTTCCCTTCTCCGACCTTTGTGCATACCTACCCAAGGTAGCATACATCATATCCCACACCACACCGTTGTACCGCCGTTTGCCTTGTCCACAACCTCCTTTCCATCAGGGTGCCTGCCGAGTACAAACGCCAATAGCCTTCTCAGCTCCGAGTCATTAGCTTGACCTTGGACCTTGGCTGCAAACCTCCCCCGAAAACCCTCCCATATATTGCGAGAGCCTCAAACGGCTGGTACCTCGACTGCTTAGCTTGTTTCTTAACGCTCCTCGCCCGCCCGTATTAGTCACATCCATCTCGACCATTCGGTGCTTCCCACCTCGCCTCCGATCATCGCTTGCTCATCTCAATACCCCAATAAATCCATCCGTGTTCGCCTTTGACTTCTGTCGACTTTCGTTTCTACCCCGGCTACGTCCTCGAGGCCATCCTGTACCCGCACACGGACGTCACGACGGCCCTTTCATTCAGCAGCGACCTGTCGCTTGTGCGTCTTCGACCTATCGGATAGCTGCCTGCTCTGCTGTCTGCTCTACAGTACCTGCCTGCCGAAGCAATAACTCCAGTATACAGGCTGCTGCCCGAAGCTGCGCCCACCTGCCCGTCTCTGCTTCTTCTTCGCGCAACTCTTCCCTCTTGTTCCCTTCATCAACCAGACCAATCTCGATCATCTTCTCTCCCACCTCGGACGTGTACATGACGATACCGCGCGCCGCCGACGTCTTTCGAATAGAATAGGCCCGCGGCCTGGACTCGACTGCTCTTCAACCTCGCACCTGTCCTAGACAATCTCACAGGCGACAAACATGGCAGAACGGCTCCCAACCTCATCCTCCTCGCGGAGGCGACGCGAAGGCGATGCTTCCATCGGGGATTTTGTGATTGGAGGTGAAATCGGCAAGGGCAGCTTTGCCCAGGTTTACAGTGGCTACCATAAGGTTCGTGGACTCCCTGCCCCAGTTGCCTCTCGAGGGCCGCTTTCCCCAGCAATGATGTGTTGCCCTTGAGCCATTGCTTCTTGCTTCCTGAACGGCCATGTGTTCTCGGTCTCCTGCTATGTCTGAGTATACGTCCATCGTTCATATGTGCTGACACGCGATGATAGAGCTCCAAAGCAACGGTGGCGATTAAGTCGGTGGAAATGGGCCGGCTCAACAATAAGCTCAGAGAGAACCTCTATGGCGAGATTCAGATTCTCAAAACCCTTCGTCACCCTCATATCGTCGCTCTGCACGACTGCGTCGAATCGGCCACACACATAAACCTCGTGATGGAATACTGCGAGCTCGGCGACCTGTCTTTGTTCATTAAGAAGAGGGACAAACTCGGCACCAATCCTGCAACCCATGAGATGGCGAGAAAGTACCCCGTCACCCCTAACTCGGGTCTTCACGAGGTTGTCACCCGCCATTTTCTCCAGCAGCTTGGCAGTGCCCTGAAGTTCCTGCGCGAGAAGAATTATGTGCACAGAGATGTTAAACCCCAGAACCTTCTCCTTCTGCCATCGCCAAGGTTCAGGGAAGCGCATTCCCGCCCGATTTTAACTGCCAGCCAGGACTCGCTGATCCCCAATTCCGGCCTCGCATCCCTTCCGATGTTGAAATTAGCTGACTTCGGCTTCGCTCGCGTCCTTCCATCAACCTCGCTCGCCGACACTCTCTGCGGATCGCCCTTGTACATGGCACCGGAGATTCTCCGTTATGAGCGGTACGACGCCAAGGCTGACCTCTGGTCTGTCGGGACGGTCTTGTACGAGATGATTACTGGTCGTCCTCCTTTCCGTGCCCGAAACCACGTTGAGCTTTTGCGTAAGATCGAAGCCGCCGAGGATAGGGTTAAGTACCCGAAGGAACTTGTGGTCAGTAAAGAGCTGGTCAAGCTCATCGGCAAACTTCTCACTCGCAACCCTGTTGAGCGCATGAGATTCGAAGACTTCTTCAACGACCCAATCCTGACCGACCCCATCCCAGGTACGGTTGAGGATGATGCCCCTCCTAAGCCGGAGCCAAAAGCATCCCGAGATTTGCGATCTCTCGGACGATCTGACTCAACATCGTCTTTGTCGCGCCGCTTATCTCTTCGTCGACAAGCCGAGAACGAACCTGTTCGTGAGCAAGGAGACGTGGCCAGGTCGCCTCGTGACAGGCCTTTGAGATCACCGCAATCGCCTAACCCGATCGAAGGTCGGGCTCAACTGGCTACAGCCGATACGGCCACAACACGTACAGAACAGTCGCCAGGGAAAGAGACTGGAGAGGGACTGGGAATTCGCCGTCCGCCTTTGCCTCAGCCCTCGACATCTGCGCCCAGTCGGTCGCACAGGCTCTCCAATGCGTCTCTCAACCGCCCTTCAGCCCGGGCTTCTGCGTCACCGCCCACTTCTTATCTCAATGACAACTCACCGAGAAACAAGCTTCGTCCTGTTACGGAGCGAAGCGTTACAGAGCAAGAAAAGGCTGCTCAAGATGTCGCATTCGAGCGAGATTACGTCGTCGTCGAGAAGAAACACGTAGAGGTGAATGCGTTTGCCGACGAAATGGCAGCCAACCCGCGCCTGACCTCGTTGTCACCCAAGTCAGGACAGATGATCCGTCGAGCAACCCAACAGGGGCCCCCTCATTCGACGACCGGAGCTGGACGTGTGCAGCCCTCTAACGCTGTTCAAATTGCACAGGGCAAAGGACGCTCCGGTCATGAACGTCACGATTCATATGATGGCAAGAGTTTTTCGGCTAGCCCGACAACCCAGGGATTTATCGCAAAGGCCATATCTGATGCCAGCGTCCGTCTGTTTGGATTCAAGGTTCCTCAGCATGTGCTAGGTGGTAAAGGGGCGTCTCCGCCTCTCTACAGCCCCTTCCCTGCTTACCCGACGCCATCGGCCCCTGTTGGTCTCATCGGTGACGGCAGGCAAAGCGCCCCCGTAGATGAAGATGCGCGAGCCGTCAAGCTTATCCAAGATTTTGCGCATCGAAGTGACTGCGTCTACGGGTTTGCCGAGGTCAAGTACAAGCAGTTGTTCCCTCTCGCACCATCGATGGAGCATGGACTTGGCGGTATGCCTGCGGACCAGATCACTGGAGACGAGGATGGACTTACAATTGACGCTGAGGTCCTCTTATCGGAAGAGGCGTTGGTTCTCTACGTCAAGGCCCTGACTCTATTGGCTAGGGCTATGGACGTTGCAAGTCTATGGTGGACACGGAAAACGCGTGGTGACTCAGCAGCATCTGTGGCTGAGGTTTCCAAGGAAGGCCTTGCTCAACGAATGAACTCGACCGTACAATGGGTGCGAAGTCGCTTTAACGAAGTATTGGAGAAGACGGAGGTCGTCCGCCTGAAGCTCATTGCTGTCCAGCAGAAGCTCCCAGAGGACCACCCCAGCCACCCAAGTAACCATGGCGGAGAGTCGGTTGGCTCAGCTACGTCAGGCACAAAGGATGTCTATCTCACCCCGGGCATTAGCGCCGAGAAGCTGATGTACGATCGAGCCTTGGAAATGAGCCGAACCGCTGCCATTGACGAAATTACGAACGAGAACCTTGAAGGTTGCGTCACCTACTACGTCACAGCCATTCGTATGCTTGAAGCTGTCTTGGACAACGACGAGGACACGATTAAGCGGCGCTACTCGAGCTCGGGCAAGGATCTTCCACGTGAGGAGATCTCCAGCGACCTGGACAGCGATGATCAGCAGGTTGTCAACCGAAGTAAGTCTTGCGCGCAATTCCCAGGAATTAACCGCCGATGTTGACCTTTGTCTAGTGATTCAAATGATAACTGCTCGTTTATCGACCGTCCGCAAAAAGATGGCCATGATTGCAGAGGCATCGAGATCGCAGCAGGCGGCGCAGCTTCCTGGGCGCAAGCGCAGCGGTGACGTGACGTTGCGTAGCGTGCCGTCGCACGCCTCATAAGCCTGGGGCGAAAGCTTGCTCAAAAGGAAACTTGAAACTCGTTTCACTAAAAGGAAAATCAACACAATGCCTCACGGCTACGAATAACTGCTTTTGTTTTATACGTCGAGTGTCCTGGCCAGTCGACGACTTGTCTCCTTAGCGATCTGAGCTGAGGATACTGATCAATACTTTTCATATATTGGCGTTGGGGGAAGGCAAACTTGCATACTTAGGGTTTTACATGACTGTCTTTTCATTCTTACCTCCATCTCATTGGCGTTGGGAACTTGCGGCTCCGAAGTTATCAGCAGCGTGGCTGGATAACATGGACATTTTCATCTATTTTTCAAGGATCCGCACGAGTGCGCAGAAGGGGTATTACAGGACCTTGAACCGGCATGGCAGCTTGGCTTTCATTGTGTTCTTTTTATTACACCAGGACGACCACAGGCGGATGGCAATGGGGATCATGGGTATGGCTTGGACATTATTGCGGGAGTGTTGCATAAACGCCCTTTGAGGTATTGCCGGCGGATATGCGTGTTCTTCGCTCTGCTTTATTTGAAACAATACTGAGGAAATGTTCCAGCCATCGACATGTACCGCAACATGCTCTTCTCGTGTCCCAAATGAGGTTGTGCAAGAAGTTCCTTTGCATGCGGGTACTGATCCATTTCCTATTACCATTATGTAGTGCATATCAATGTTCCCATCCGGTAGATCTTGGGGCTCGATAGCTCCTACTTTTCAATGTACATAACGCACCATTTCAAGTGTTGCCCTTTTGGTCATAATCATCCCACCCAGTTGTCAAGGTGGACAAGGACACGTTTGTGCCTTTTTGATACACCCGACACAGAAACCGCAACTTCACGCTTGGTTTCTTTATTCCTATGGAATTAGACAGGGATTCATACCCAGGAAACGTATTAAATAGTGAGGTTAGGTTGCTTTATCAAGCCCCGCGTCATTCATTGACATGACAATGACATGATACCTAAGTATTGAAGTTGGCCTGGGCAATGGCCTTGTGCGATTGTTATCTTCTGCGGCGTGATGTCTTTGTGGGATATTTACACTCTTAAAAAAGGAATTGTGCGTGTGAAAACGCGTGGTTTGCAACAATCAAGCTTGTTCCGCAACTCTACAGTAGGTGATGCAATGGGATTTGCGATTGTTCAGGGACTCCTTCTCACTCCGGCACGTCTCAGTATTCTGTGTCTAACTATATAGTTCTCTTCAGTGCACCTTTGACATTCTGGCTAAGTTGTCTCAACATTGCCAGGTTTCGAAACATATCGATTGAGGACAGCACGTAATCCAGATCATGTTGTCTTCGACTAGTCCCAGGCCCAATAGGAGACAGACAACTCGACAGGAGAGTGCGAGTTCTCCCTTCCTTGAGGCATTTGTACATGTAAGTTCACAAACCACTGCGAAGAAATACCAGCCTTGGTCTGAGCCGAAAGAGAACCTTGTGCGGTTCTACCCCGTGGATGAGCCACGTCCTCTGCCCTCTACTAAATTGCGATACATTGAAGGCATCCCGGTTCTCCCCCTGCAACCCTCTCCCAAGACCGCCTGCCGTCCGAAACGCACTTCCCGGCCCCCCCCGTGCCCCGAACCCAGGTTGTCGGTTCGGCCGCCGTCGAAGATGCAGTATGTTGACGGCCTCCCTGTCCTCCCTAGGACCGATACCGAGATAGCCGCCGCCCTGGCCGCCACCCTGGCGAGACAGCCCCCGGTCTGCTTCCGCGACCATACGCGCGGCCGGTGCATTCACTGCACACTCACGGCCTCGCCGTGCACCTTCACCAAAGCCACGCCGTCGACGCCGTGCGGACGGTGCCGGCGGCTCGAGCTGATTTGCATGGTCCGGAGGCCGGGTACGGCGAGGCGGATCGTCACGGGGGACGAGGTGGGGGACTGGATTCCCGTGCAGCGGGTGGTCGAGGAGGCTGTCGGCGAGGGCGGGGCACGTGCGCTCGCCGAGAAAGCCATGCGGGAGAGCGAGGAGGAGGGGACTAGGGCGGTGTTTGGAGACTCCTTCGGGGCGAAGGACGTCAGGAACTGGTCCCTGCCGAGGGTATTCAAGGGCGGGGAAGACGGTGGTGCGCTTTGGCGGCAGTTTCTAACTAGGAAGGACGAGCATGAACACAAGGAGACTAGGTGCTTGAACGGACACTCTCTACCCTCGGCCGTCGTCGAGATAGAATGAGAAAGTGGTTGTTTACACAAATCAAAAGGACGGGCTAGTGAAAACAAGCTGTAATATTGAACAACAAGATTTGGTGACCCTGTTGATGATGCTAGCTGTTTTCAAGTTTCTCGAGACTTTTCTCCTCCGTGTCTCGGAGGCTCCAATTGAAAAGACAAGCCATTATAGGCAAAAGGAAAAAAAGGCAAATGGGGTGGAAAGAAGAATGAAACAATGACCAGTTGACCGAGTAAGGTATGTATACATAACAAAAGCTAAGATGGCTTAAATGCCCATCCACTCAGCCGCCTTACACACACAAGTTTCTGCCAGATACTGCATCAGCATCTGTCTCTTAATCCGCCAGATGCTCTCTCTCTTTCTCTAACCGCTTCCTTGGCTACAATTGCTTCCTTCACCCTGGACAACTCGCCTGCTTGACCTTATTTATTGCATCTTTTTGATGATTTCCATGCCTGCATGCAAGCAACGCTTGTTTTCCTCTTTCTTCTTCTCCTTTTGAACTGTTCAAGAGACACTCAAACACCCAACTGGCTTGTACTCTCCATTCTCACTCGAACATAATGCCAAAAAAGCAAAACACTGACTACGTTGGAACTTTCCGAAAGCTTTTCCAACAGCCGCCACCTCATATTTTTGGATACCTCTAGTTCACATCGAGCCTCATTGAAGAGATTTATGCGAGAGTGCTGAGGTAGAGTCAGACTGCAATGACCTGGTCAATGGTGGCGGCCACAGATGAGGAACAGCTGACTGGGGTGCGTGCTTTGTGGCACAGCGACTAACACAAGTCATTATAACGGGGCTAATAGTGTGCATTATATCCACACCCATTTTGGTATTATCATTGTTATCTAAATATTCGCTCATTGCGATACCCCATTGCTGGGGAAGTCCGTTGCACGTGACATTGTATCTGGCTGGCATTCCACGTAATTAAGTACCTTTCTTATGGCTATATCCGTACAAGTGTGTGTGTGTCTTCAACCACGTGGCGTAGTTGCCTGGCAGCTGTCACACGCACCCCTGCCTTCCACGTTCCATGATGCTTGCACTTCCATGCGGCTGCATTAACTTGTCTGACAGTCAGCTGGTCAATAGCCTTGTTTTTTTTTAGCTCATGCTATCTAATCTCGGGAGCCACGGTAACGGCTTGGCCGGCGGACATGCTTCATGGTTCGATATCCACCCGCTGGCAATCATAAGTCAGTTTCCTACTTGTTGAAGCACAGTATGAGTAATGTTATAATGCCTGTTGTAAATGTCTAGGGACTCCTTGGTTACTTTAGCCTCATTACCATGCGGGGTATACCGGTAGTATGGTTGCGGGTTGGTGGGCTGACCAACCATGGTTCCTGCCCTTGGACGGGAACTGTGTAACGCTCCGCTCCTATATCACAGTGCGCCTTGTCGCAACTCTAAAACAATCATATCAAGGTCTTCTTATCGATCATATGATATGCCTACCTTGCAATGAGTCGAGTAGCCGAGGTATATTGAATATCAGCCAAGGCCTTGGGTCTAGACTCCTGGCAGGCCTAGCCACTTGGGATGACACTCAAAAAACTAGGGTATTATTCAGTTCGTTATTAATTTGGAGTACGAGTATCCGTATTTTGACGTAGGCAAATTGGTGTACTGAGGTATCTAACTGCTTTTGGCAAGTGCAAATATGATCCAAGCCTTTCCCTACAGGAAGTGCACTAACAGCTCCCACATCTAGACTCACTCTCATCACTAAGTGCACTCTATAGAAATAAGGATAGCTTGAAAAGAAATAGAGCGATTAAGAGGCAGAAAAAAAGAGAGAAAGATGCATAGGTTTAGAGGTTATGCTTGGAGTTGGGGCTAGTACTAGAGTAAGAGATGTGTTATCAACTATTAAAGGTTAGAGGGATAGCTGAGGGAAGTGCGAGATATCTGTTAGTGCTATGTCAAAATACCAATCCGCCTACGTCGAAATACTTATACGGATACTCATCAATCTATTACTCGTGTTCCAACTACAAGGACTGGTCAGTCTTAAAGTGCTAACAAAGTGAAACTGTGCACGGGTCTCCCGGCTTGTCAGAGACGGGCGGACTTTGTCAGGATCCCGGAATAGAGGGGCTGTCTCGATGGAACTAGGGTATTCCCTTGCAGAAGTCATGACTCTATGTAATAAGCGGACAACTTGCAGAAACGACCGGATGAACGCAAGCGGGTGTTGGAGGGCGGGCGATCAAATAAGGCACGGACGCAACTAGAGATTGAAATTTGTACAAATTTCGAACTCGATGCCAGGACATAGAATAGCTCCATTGATATGTTGACGGCTAGTTAGTCAATACCGCTCTCACTGTAGCCCTTAGGTAGTCTTTTCTTATTGGCACCGAGCCGAAACTGATAACGAGAGGTATGAAGAGACCGTTGCAATCAAACGGTAAAGCAAAAGTTTTGCGCCCGCAAGTATCTCTTGGATTGCGCGTTGAGATATCTTGTCTCATCTTTTGGGACGCACCTGACTCAGAAGGAGCATGCATAATCCTAGTACAGGCCTATGGCCACATATCGCGGTCTCGGAGAACCTGTCGGCGACTATTTTCACCTCGGCTTGCTCATTCACCAGCCAACAGCCCTTCCGTTGCATGACTTCAACTTTCAGTCAAGTTGGTTTGCGCCATGGTTGATCCGGAGTATCCGTATGATTCAGCAGTTGTCCCACTTTATCGGGTATTTTGTCCTGTATTGCGAGATTGAGATATGGCTAGAGGTGCTGCGTATTGGGTCATAACGCATTGTGGTTTCATGTACCGGGTGAACTGGGCTGGATCTTCTAGAACAACTATATTCGATAAAAAAAAATCATACTCAGTTATGAGTAAGGACGAAGTAAAGCTATCGAACAATCTTGCTCAAAAGCCTTGGTGGATACCGTGAGTGATGGTGGATCCAACCAGCGATAGGTAGCGGCAACACTTACCGGAAAGGGACCCCAGAGCATAGGTCAAGGCAAGTCGATTTTCTGACGAACTCCGCGGAACACCGATCGGTCAAGCCCGGGCCTGTACGGATAATCCTTGCTGGATTGTAAGGGGTAGGCACATGATACAAACCGTTTCCGGCCTCGCTGTTTTACAGAAACTTATTGTGCCAAAGGACAATGGCCAAGTAAATAATATCTAACGTTACTGTATGCATGTTATGATCATGGTGTAGTCAGTGTATCCATCAAGCGGGTGGTGTCCATATTCATCTCTAAGTCTGCCCTACCGGCGTGCAGCCTTCTACTGAGATTCTAACAAGCACGCCTTGCTATGCCCGTGTTGTGTTTCAATTAAATCATGAGGAGGAAGTAGAAGATATTATCGAGATGTTGTTTAGAATTCGCAACATGGTTTCACCTTGCCCCTTCTTTTCATGCGCCCTTGATTCACGAACTGTATAGTTTTGGGCAATATTATCTTGCTGATCTTAATCCTTCAACACATCACAAGATGGTTGAACACACCGCGCCTAACTGCGGAGATCTCCTGAACTCTAAAATTCCTTGCGACAAGCCAAAACAGAAACCCCTTGACGACCAGCATCACACCCGTCAGGAGTAGATACATGCATGAGAACACGAACTGAAGTTGCTCTTAAGCAAAGAACCAAAGATTATAAATACCGTCTCTCTCCTCTTCGTGATTACATCTCTTTTCCTCATCATTCTCAACAGTATCATTCATTCTAACTTTCTTCAGTCTTATTCATATTTCAGCTCCAAAGCTTTCCTTTCACAACTCCAATTTTCAACCTACCGCCACAATGCAGTTCACCAACATTCTCTTTGCTCTCCTCCCGGTGCTGGCCACCGCTGCCACCGCTGCCACCGCTGCCACCCCTACCACCGCTGCCCCCGTTACCAACGCTTCCACCCCTCCCATCCCTGTTTCCGACGACTTGTGTCCCGCCGAACTCCGTACTACCTGCCCTCAGAGCAGTGATGGCGTTCAGCGTTGCCTCAAGCTGTAAGCACTTTGCCATCATGTTCAAACCACGAGTCAATGCTAACACCTCATCCCAATTTTTAGCAACGGTTCAGCTCTTTGTGTGATTGACTGCCAGTCGACCTCTGTCTGCCGCACCCAGTGCCAGCTGCAGGGCCACATCAACGGGTTCTGCACTATCGGGTATGTACAGCCTCTCTCGTTCAGGCTTGATACCTTCTAACCTTTTCTATCTTATTAGCAACAACCCTTGCATCTGCAGTGACATCGACGGCGGCTCCAACGCCTAAGCCAACTAAGGGGGCTGATTCCCTTGCTGATAGGCTATTTGAGATAGCCCAAGTGTGATTGGAATAGCTCAAGCTGAGAGACCTTATGTTCTGGCTTTGGCTTATTGCATCTAGTTTTCTGCTTTCAGGCATAGCATGGCTTCCATACTTGAAATAGACAAGGCATCAGTTGTATCATTTGTGCATAAAACATAGACGACCGTGAACCTCTCCTATACATCGCTGAAAGGTATCTCGAATGCTGAAGCAAAGTACTAATTGCTTTATTGATTTCCCCGTATGTATTGATATTATCCATGTTGAATCAAAAATCGACGCGGTCGTTCGTAGTTGGATAAGGAATCAATCGTCATTTTCCTGGTAAGTTTATATCAATGTGGTTGGCGCCAACAGTATTGCACGCAGGGGTGTCGCTTACATACATGCACCAGCTTTCCCCAGACTGAGGCAGCACAAAGCACTGTAAATACTCTCACTCAAAGACAGGCATCCGTGTAATGAAAGCAAACATTCCAGAACAAAACAAGTGTCTACTGATTCCTAAGAGAATTTGAAACCATGGCTCAGCTTCCTTGATGACTCAGCTGCAGGACGGTGGTCCAGGGGTGGCTGAGATGCTTTACGTCACTGTGACCGGTACACTCAAAAGCGATCCATAGTTAGCTCCGAGCTCTACTTATAAGGCCCAGTCTGAGGAAGTTACTAGGTTGCTCGCACTTCAAATCAATCACATCGCCAAATCAGCTTTACCTGGAAACCCCGAAGTGTTGCTTGCATCCAAGTACACCAAAGTCAGCATCGTCATGGCGTCCTCCATTCGCTCTCTCAGACTCGCGCAGCACACCCATCAGCTGATTTCGAGAGCCGCACCAACATCAGCCCGCATTCCTATGCAATACCTCGTAGAAAACACACAGAGGCGCCTTCTCAACATTAAATCCGCTCCAGTCCTCTACAGCGCTTCCGCGAGGGTCGTCGGCGCGCGGACGGGGCACGTTGAGGGCGACGACCTCGTTTTGGACCTCACCATGGCCAAGGCCCTCGGCGGGCCCGGCGACGAGGGTAAGACAAACCCGGAGGAGCTCTTCGCGGCCGGTTACGGCGCGTGCTTCCAAAGCGCCATGAACGCCTCAGCGGCGAGCATGAAGATCCAGATGCCCAAGAAACCCGAGGACTCGGTCGTCGAGACGACGGTTCATCTCGTCGGCGACATGAAGGGGCTCGATATGGGCCTTCGTGTCGATATGAAGGTCCGCGTCAAGGGGTTGAGCAACGAGGAGGTACAGAAGGTCGTCGACAAGGCCAAGGATGTATGCCCGTACAGCCGCGCAATCAAGGGCAACGTGGAGACGAACATCAAGGTTGTGAAATTCGACGATAACGGAAGTTCTTCAAAGCCGAAGACAAATGTCAACTCGGGAGACACGGGAAAATCTGACAGCAAGCCTGAGGGCAAGTCTGAGAGCAAGTCTGGGAAAGAGTCTGGCGAAGTGGATGGCGTGAGACCGACAGGCCACAGCGACTACCAATGAGTGCGACATGGTTATGTTATAAACCTTTGTATTACGGTAAAATCGGTTGTAATCAACGTTGCCTCATTATTCTATAATAGTACCAAAAATGATGATATGCGGTAAGGCTTATGTCAATGATAATATCACTTGCTAATCCTCATTCTTTTATCTAAACACTTGCCCAAAAAGTCGTTGACTAAATCGGCAAAGAAAACGACAGCGAAACTGCCTTGGACATCATCGGATACTCCAACTGCCCTGATACCGACCCCCACAAGAGTCAACCTTGAGATCTTTGGTGCAGAAGTGATCATCCTGCGTGGCATAGCCTGTAGTCCAGTTTCCAAGTCCATTGGACAACCGAGCACAGCCCATTTCACTCGTTTCACACGTCTCCTTCACGCAAGCCCACATATCCCGGATATCGGTCTTGCCCTTGTAGCCATTTGCTGTGGGAGCAGATAAAAGACGCGACGTTACTGTGGACGCACTATCGAGTTCCGATCAGAATACGTGACACAGGCAATTGATAGTAAAGATAAGGTGAGAGGGGGTGACATATGACCAAGAAATTCTGTTCAAGTAGACTGTGACGCCGCCAGAAAGAGTCCACGAGACATTTGTTGGCATCGTGTGCTTCGTTGGTGCTTACTGAGACTGGGTCGCATGTCTCTCTGCGCTTCTTCAGCGGAGAGCGTGGCTTTGATCAAGTTGTGGGAATCTCAGCCCATGGCGTAGAAGGTGGTCGCTTCCATGTTGACTGGATCTAGTAGCTTGGTAAAAGATGGAGGAGGGCGGGCTGTTTTGTTTCTCTTGTATGATCTCTTGCCTATACTTGTTTTAGAACTGATATGGAATTTAGACAACAGGACCCGACATGCATCAGATGTCGAATATATACATTATTGTTTGGAAGCCTAGCGAATCAAGTCTCATTCAGCCAACAATCTAGCAGCTCTCTGGCAATTTTGCATTGTCGAACAAGATACAGCCTTCCAGGTCTATATTGTAAGCAAACCTGTCTCGCCGCGGACATCAAGACCAAGTTTCAAAAGAAGGTGCCTGGTTTCGACAATATATCTGAAAAGATCTTTCGCGGTCAGGTGTGTAGAGAAGCATATTGAAAGAAAAAAATTATTGTGGTGCTCAGAACAAAGAGAACCAGAACCGTCGGCACATCAGACAAATTTGGTTCAAAGCCTGCTTTCTTGCTGGGATTCATGGGGGGAAATTCGCATATTTTTTCATAAGTCTATGTAACCGATGGGGTTCGACCTTCTTCCACCCTTTCCGGTGGAGGAGGTTGGGTCGGGATCTTTGGAACGTCCAGCGTCGAGACTCGCATGTCCAGGGTCGACCACACTTTCGGGTCCGGCCACTGACGATCGGAGCTCAAGGTTGCATCTAATTGTATCCGCGTCACACAAGATCAGGGAAAATGTCTATACATGTAACAAACTATAAACTATCGTACCTGTATCTTGCATCTCATGATCCTCAGTCAAATGGACAACTTTCTATGTAAGACCAAGTCGGAAATCTGGATTCATTGTTGGTCGCTGGCAATGTGATTGGGCTGATGAGGTCATATGGTGGAGTTGGGAGAGGGTGGGGGTGCTAGGGAACCGGGGTTCATCTCATCATCAATCATCTGCCACGCTTAGCATGACGGGAACTTGAGTGATATCTTTCGATTTAATCCGGACACAATATCATCGCAATTCACCTCCATCTGCCTTCGTCCGCCTGCTGTTACGTGATTTCGAAATGCCTCCCCCGCCAGATCTATCTCATTACATCCTCTCGGACTCCGAGTCCAGAGAGATCTTCGCCACAAAGATCCTCCCCATCGATATCACACAATCCCTCACCCCGCACCCAACCCGGTCCCGGCCTCTCGCCGTACTCATTGTCGGCCAGACAGGCGCCGGCAAAACCCGGACCGCGCCCACCGTCCTCGATGCCATGACCCGCATCCATCCACCGGTGCACCTCATCGCCGACGTCTACAAGGCCTATCATCCGTCCTACCTCTCTCTTCTCGACTCCGCCACCCCCGCTTACGCGTCGCCCGCCACGGGCCCTGATGCGCGCAAGTGGCTCGCCATGGCCGCCGCCGAGGCCGTCGCCCGCAAGCTCGACGTCCTCCTCGAGAGCGCGTGCCGCCACCCGGATGACTTCTGCGAGCTAGCGCGTCTGTTTGGTGAGGCCGGGTACCGCGTCGAGGTCGTTGTGATGGCCGTTCCTGCGGCTCTGAGCAGGCTGGGCATCCTCCACCGCTTTTACGAGAGGTTGCCGGAGGCGGGGAGTGGGCGTTTGCCTATCCGGCTCACGCCTGTCAAGGTCCATGATGATTCTTACGAGGGGCTAATGAGTGTGGCAGAGTGGATCGACGGAGTGGACTACGTCGACCGGGTCCTCATCGTAAGGAGAGGTAACATGGTTGCATTCTCAGATGAGAAGGCCGAGGATGGCAAGTTGCAAGGCAAGGTTGCTGAAGGAGTGAGGAGGGAGCGAGATCGGCCTCTGACTGAAGAGGAAAGAGGCGTCGCCGTGAGAGACCTAGAGAAATTAGCGGCACGCGACACAAGCCTGGCTGCGCAGATCATGGAGTTGCTCGAACCTCTCTTGAGAGACGATGACCATACGTATCCAGGCCTCCGACCGCTAGTTTTCCCGCCCGATGGTCCGAAAGAAGCTTTGCTTACGCTGGGCAAAATATGAAAAACGGGAGACCAGATTGTGTTAGTTTCTTGGAAATTCTAGATTACTCTGATGGTAGGTCTCAACGCCTTTGATAGATAATACGAGTAGAAAAGAATGAGAAATTGAAAGAATAATATTGGGTTAAAAAGATGAAGGATGACGCCTCTGACATAATGAACGTGAGATGAATAGACGGCTTAAACGGTGTTTTCATGCGCTTCAATCGTACTCCATCGTCATCACAATCGAGTATTTTGAAACGTCTTCAAGATCCCTCAAGATGTATCAATGACCACTCTGCGGATTCCAACTACGCTATCCCTACTGCTCCGACATGATGAAACGCATCGTTGAGTGAGGACAGGGTGAGCCATAGTAAAGAGAAGTAAATGGTAGACGGGGTGGACGGCAACGCACGAACCGCTGCTCTGAAGATTTTACTTAATGGGAGACAGATAGGTGGAATAGAACATTCTTGGACGTGACGGTCGGACCTGGGAACCCATCAATGGGCGGCTTCACCTATCAAGTAAGCGAGCAAGCAATTTCAAACTGACATTCGAGGATGGGCGAGACAAGTTTCCAGTCAAATGATTGGAAACTGCGAACTGGCAAACAATCACGGTACCAAGGCACCTACGGAGTACCTAGTGTAGAAATCTTCCGGATACAGTTCCACTTTCGGCCCTGAGTGGAGCGAGACTGCCCGAGACAAGTGCTCCGGGACGGCAAGGGAAGGTACGTACTGCGCCTCCTGTACGCAGAGAGGGTGCAGTGCAGGGGCCAGGCGTGTGCCTGAGCTTCGAGAGCTGCCCTGACTGTGGGCGCTGTAGTGGGCGCTTTCGCTGAAGCGAGGGGTACTGAAATGGAGTGGAGTACCTGGTGAGGTCACACAAATGAACTAGGTAGAAGCTGCGACAGTCCCCGCGAAAATCGGCCCACGTGACGCAGAAGGGTTTTCTGCCCTACGAAGCTCAACCACTAAAACTTCAGCGGTCGGCTGGGTGTTACAGGACAAGTTCATCACCAACACCTCTCATCTCAAAGGACAAGTAAGTGCAGCGCCCCATACCCGGCCATGGCCACCGCCGCGTCGAGAATCTTGATCCTGCAAAGGATTTGGAATCCCATTACCGGCTATCGCCAAGGTCGCATTTGCGTGAGCGAAAACAAGAGGACTAACCAAGCCGTACAGATTCGTCGTTCACGATGAGAGCCAAGTGGAGAAAGAAGCGCGTTCGCCGTCTCAAGCGCAAGAGAAGAAAGATGAGGGCTCGCTCGTAAGTTGTTGGATAAGATGCCAATTGGTCTTTCGGCTTAACTAACCAATTGCGCAGCAAATAAACAACTCGCCATCCCTCCCCTCGACCATGACCATCTTTTGAGATGAAGGCATAAACAACCCATCATGCGACTCGCAATCGGGAGATGCGACAGCCAGTATTCGTCACCAGCGACTCAGTCTGTCTCGGCACGCCCGAGACGTCTACATTCACACCACGGATTGGAACAATGGGACTTGGGGTCACGACTGAATGATTAGGCGCGCAACCCTGCTGCAGACCTTGATGATGATTCGACGAAGATGGACCTGACAATTCGCGATCGGTCGAGATGACGCTACGATGAGGAACGCGGTGTTTATGGACCCAGCCGTAGGAAGCATGATGTCTTGACGCTACGCGGATTAGGAACTGGGATCAAGACGTGCATGACAATTGAAAGGCAGATAATTGCTTCCTCAAAAATCAAAAAGTGAACCAAAAATTATCTCGTACATATTGTGCGTTTGTATGTGTGTGAGTGTGTATGTGTGTACGTGCTATGCGCGATTGATGGAGAAGATGTGCTACCGAGTGCAATCTCCTACCACATCCCTTCAGCGGTTGTTAATTGCAGCTTGGCCGAGATCAATTGAGCTTCAAATTTGGCCAGTTCTACGAATTTCAGCTGTGACGTGTGACGTGTGTGTGTCCCGCCAGCTCTGGGGTGGGGTCTTGGGTAGGTAGTCGGGCGTTGCTTTAGCGCTCGACCGTTTTAGTAGTTGGTCTCCTGTCGTTCTTTCTGTTACCACACCGCCTACCTATCTCGACTATAACATGTGGGTAAACGCTGGTGCGCCAACTTTTTTTTTTTTTTTTTGGCCGACTGACAGACCCCTGCAGAAAATATTTCCAGAGTCCCAAGCCATCCATCACACCAAGCCGACCACCACCACCTACCAAGTACCACCACTTGTAGCGGTTGCCGACAACCAAACTCTGCAACGATGTCGGACGCAAACGGACGGAAGAGAAAGCGGGATCTGGATCGCCCATCCAAGTCCAAGAATAAGCTGGCCACCGAGCTCTCCATAGTATCCGTTTCCTCGGTCCTGAGGCCTCAACTCTGCCCGCCTGTCATAGGTACGACGGCTCCGCGGCTGATGCTCGTTGCCGAGTTTTTGAAGTGAGAGGCAGCTGTGCTAACAATTATTAGCGTCTGCTCCTGGAGTTCGGTTACCTAGAAGCGTCCCCTTCAGCCCGTACGTCAAACAAGATATTTCCTCTAGCAAACGGCGGCAGAAAGTCCCCGCAGTGTCACAGGATCTCGTCCTGCACTCTACCAGTCACCAGACCATGGACTACACGGCGAGAGAAGACGGCATCAGCGACAGCCAACAGGCTCTAAAGCACTACGTCGGCATTTATGACCCCAACACGGGTGCGCTGCAGGTGGTAGAAGCGAAGAAGATGGTGGTTCGTGGTGTGGCTAGGGCTAAGCATGCCTCTGAGGAGGCCATGAGAGCACCTGCAGATAACCAAGTACGCCCGATCGCTTTCCTTACGTACTGCTGACACCCACTGACTTTGAGCAGAGTTACTACGACCAAAAGAAGGATCTCGGTCAGACATTCGGTACCAAGAAGGCCAAGAAAGCCATCGAGTCCGTCGCTCTCAATGCCATCGACCCCAACAAGAGCAGGGACAGCGCGCCGAAGAAGCTCGACGCCGCCTCCAAGGCCATCATGCAGGAGATCGGCGGTGTCACAGCGAACATGACCTCGCGCGAGCAGTTGCAGGCGGCCGTCGACAAGGCCAAGCCCGTGCCCAGGCCCAACCTCGAAGCCGAAGCCATCCAGGACGTTTACGACCCCGACGAGTTCATTGGCCGCGAGGTACTTGCGGCCGTACCCATCAAAGACTGGGTTGAGCCGACCAAGAGTGGTGAGGAGGTCCTGTGCTACTCACGGCATGTGGCGGCGCGGGTTAAGAAGGTGGCCGACTCGGGCAGCGTGTCCAAGATGCGGCTGCTGCGCTACTTCTACTTCCTCTTCACCTTCTACACGATGGCGACGCCGGGCAAGCAGCGCGGCACGAAGCGCATCCCGCCGCGCGACAAGCTCAAGGAGCGGCTGTCGCCGGCGCCTCAGGTTGTCATTGAGCACATCCGGCGCAAGTTCTCGGACGGCGGCGAGATGCGTAAGTTCCACATGGACATGCTCATTACGCATTGCTGCGCGCTCGCGTGCATCATCGACAACTTCGAGGTTGACACCTCACTGCTGCGGCAGGACATGCGCCTCGACCAGAAGGAAATGAACAACTACTTTTACGAGATCGGCGCAAAGGTCAAGCAGGTCGCCACCAAGGAGCCGGGCAAGGCCGCGCACGTCGCCAAGCTCGCGCTGCCTCTCAACTTCCCCAAGCTCAGATCAGTTGCGCCGAAGCGCCGTTAGAGTGGGCGTAGCGGCACGGTTGACGAAGAGCTGATGAAGGTGTCGGACAGGGGGTTGAGAGAGACAATCAGGTTCAACTTGACCTGAGGTATCTGGCATATGCGGTCCCGTATACAAGGGCCTTACTGGCCGGCACAGTTTGCGAGGTGGGGGGCGGATCAGAAAATGCATTTCGCCAGTATTCAAAGTTTGCGCAGTAGAAGCATTATTGGCGCATCTTGGGGACGATGCGGGTCGGCGGGTTCATGTTGATGATGATACCTACGCACTGAAGGGTGTATATCCATATTCCCCATGCCACATCGGATACGGAGTTGAAAATACCTTTTTAAAATAAGATAAAAGTTCGATGAAGAAGCCTAATGGGTGTCGGTGTGTAGTCCCCTCAGTCAATTGCATCTTCCCCTATCTATCGGCGGCGACTGGGACTGAGCGCCAGTATCCCCGCAATGCCAGCCCTCCTGCCGAGGTATCTTTGTTGTGGGGTCCGGGGTAAACCAAACCCCCAGGGCCTCCGGGGCAGTTTACCACGAATAAACGGCCTGCTTGCCACTTAAGCTTACCTCGGGTCAGCTTGACTGATTCTCATCAATCAAGTTCACGTTTAAGTTGGCATCTTCCCCCATAAAGAACACGGGCAGTAGGATCATAAGAATATTTTGACAAGGCTTGAGTGAAGGATATCAGAAAACGACACGCACATACATAACAGACAAGAGACAAACAGCATGGCCAGCCTAGAAGACTCAGTCATCTCTCTCGAGTACCGCGGCCGCGTCGCGCTGCTCACCATCGACAACGACCGCAAGCTCAACGCCCTCGCGCAGATGCAGTACTACGACCTCGCCCAGAAGCTGCGCGAGATCGCCACACACGACGAGGTCTTCATCACCGTTCTAACGGCCAAGGGGCGCTACTTTTCCGCGTGAGTTGCCACCCTCACCCCCGTGCTTACTGAGATCTCGTACCTCGGCCAGCGCACGTCTCACTTTCTGCACACACCTCGGCGTATTATAAAGCCCATGAGCTTACAAGGTCGCGCGTCTCGTGGCAGAGGAGATTGAGCCACACCAACCGCCTGCTTGAACCCCCTTCCCCTTTCTTGCGAGACACGGAACACTCAAATGCGGAAAGTCGTCTCAATTTGGATGAAAAGGAGACACTTCTGACGAGGACACTACAGCGGCGCTGACGTTACCATCGCCCGCACCGCCCCTGACGGCCCGGACGCCCACAGGCACTGGCTCCAGTCCTTCGTGGCCTTCAACCTCAACATCACGCAGGCCTTCTACTCGCACCCCAAAGTGCTCGTCGTCGGTCTCAACGGCCCCGTCGTCGGCCTCTCGGCCGCCCTCGTCGCCTTCGCCGACTTCGTCTACGCCACACCCGCCACCTTCCTCCTCACACCCTTCTCTTCCATCGGCCTCGTGGCCGAGGGCGGCGCCTCGCGCGCCCTGGTCCAGCGCCTCGGCGTCGGCAAGGCCAACGAGGCGCTCATCATGAGCAAGCGCATCACGGCCGAGGAGCTGCTGCACGTCGGCTTCGTGAACAAGGTCTTCGACACGGGCCGCGGCGAAGACGCGCGGTTCCGCGAGCTGGTCCTCCGCGAGGTCGACGAGCGGCTCGGGGACCACCTCATCGGGGAGAGCCTCACGGGGATCAAGGCCCTTATCCGGAGGCCCGAGATGGACGTCATGGACAGGCAGAATTCGCTCGAGGTGTTTGCCGGGCTAGAGAGGTTTCTAAAGGGCGTCCCGCAAGAGGAATTCCGCAAGTTAGCCAGCGGCGAGAAGAGGCACAAATTATGAGAGAAACGCACACGAAAATTATCCAGGATAGACCCGGACTGTGACGACGAAACACCACAATTCGCGTGAACCCAGAATGTCCTGTAAAACAGATTGTGCCTTATTGTTCTTTCTCGCCTCTACTGCTTTCCCTTCCATGCGCAAATGCTTTTCCGCACCTGACCGGTTCATCACTCCGGTATCTATATATAAGTCATCACAGCAGGCCGAAGAGCAGGCTCGTCTTCTTGTGGTAGTCCTGCGCCGACTTAACGATGCGCTGCCGTGTCTCGTCGCTGTACAGGTCCGTACTGTCATAGACCTTGTCCTCGAGCTGCTCGAGCTCGTTGGTTTTGCTGTCCGGTGGGGCATCTAGATAGAATCGAAGGAAGGAGATGTCGAACAGCCATTGGATTGGGAGGTCGCGGCGCTCTTGGGCATGGCTGTGGTCCGCCTTTGCCGGTCGTTCGGGCGATTCTGCCTCTTCCGATTTCTCTTCTGAGTTCTCGTCATCTTTCTTCTCCTTTTCGGAAGACCCCGTCTCCTTATCCTCGTCCTTAGACACATCCTCCACAGGTCTAGTCGGCTTATCTTCAGGGGCATCACCGTCCTTCTTCTCCTCGAGATACTCCTCCAAGGCCTTGAACCACTTCTCAGCCAGTTGCCGTCTGAGATGCTGCTTGATAACGTCCACAGCCACCGCGCTCCACAGATCCATCCCGGCATTGCTCATGGCCATCGACACATCCCGCAAGAACCGGAACACCCTAGGTGAAGGCTGCGTTGGCAGCTCAGGATAGCCCTCCCACAACAGGCGCCCGACGACGACCTTTTGCGAAAGCCCCTTGCTCACGAAGGTCTCCAGCGGCTGCGCAGAGACGGCTATGGCCAGCCGCTCGTGCAGCGACGGTACCACCTCCAACCCGAATCCCCTGACGCTGTCGAGCTTCGGCAGCCCCTGGCGCACGTCTCGTAGGATGCGCAGGAAGTACATGGCCACGTTGCCGCTATTCCGTCCGTCCGACTTGGAATTCCATAAGCTCGTAAGCTTCTCGTCCAGGTCCTTGAAAGCCTTGATCAGTGCCGAGTCAAGCTTTTCATGCAGTGTTCTGGGATCATCTTTGCTGAGCAGCTGCTGCCTCTCTTCGATTGTCTCCTCGTCCTCAATCTCCTCAATGTCGTTGTCCCAGCGCTGCTTCTTCAGCTGCTCTACCACGTCACCCACCTCATCGATGATGTGTCGCCATGACTGGAAGCCATTTACTGCCTTGGAGGCCGAATCGTTTCGGCCATGTAATCGACCTACAAGCTCCTGTAGGAAGTGGTCTGCCCCATTGATGAGGTCGATGTCAAAGCTGTGTACGTTCCAGAGATCAACAGGCTTATCCGTCACGCCGTCTTGCCACGATTCCAGCGTCGCCGATACCTCCGACCCGATGAGGTGCAACTTGTTGACCTTGGTCTCAACGACGTTGAGCATGTGCTCGTTTATGGCGCCGCGCAGCTCGTTGAGCATTTCGGAGGGGTCAAAACCGCGGGCCTTGCCGCCCTCGCGGATCCACAGTTGCAGGACCCTGGTGCGTAGCTCTGTAATGGCCTTGAACTCCGTCATGCGCTCCATCGTCTTCTTGAGGCCGTCGACGAGCACCTCGCCAGCCGCCTTCGCCCAGCTGAAGAGCATGTCCCTCGCCTGCGGGCCGTCGAGGTCATCGTGCCGAAGGAAGGGCGTGAAGAACTGGATCTCCTCTCCGCACCATCGCTCATAGACATCGAGGCGTAGGCCTTCGAGCTTCTTGAGTGTCATGTCCGCCAGCAAAGGGCTCTTCTTGAGGTTCGACAGCGCATCCGACAATTTGTAAGGCACGAGGGCTTGCACATCCAACAGGGTCTTCGTGTACAGCGCCAGGCTCTTTAGCACGTCTTCCGTGCTCCTCTGCCGCCCATTGTCTTCGTCGAAAGCGAATGCCATGGCGGCACCTCTGACGCGTAGGAAGTGCTCGACAACGTCGCGCGCGCCGGAGCTGGTGGCCAAGCTGTAGGCGCATAACGCCTTGAGCACGTCCTCCTGCTTGACAGCATCTCCTGTGCGTTCTAGCAGGCTCACAATGTACCGCAATAGCCTCTTTTTCAGCCCAGCCATGCTCTTCTTCGCAGCTTCAACCGCGAGTCCAACGTCCCCGTCCAAACCCTTCTCCTGTCCCAAGCTCTTCACCAGCAGTCGGCTCAACTCAAGAACCTTGCTAGCGAGAACGACCCTGTCCCCTCTGCTCAGTTCCTGGCACCCGGTCCCAGAGCCCTTGAGCACCCGCCCGACGACAAGCCCACAAACCTCAAGCAGCCTGGTCCTCGCGATGATGCCCACGTCTCCACGGATGTGCTCCCTGACGCTGGTCTCGAATCCGCTCAGTCCGGAAACCTTGGACCCAACGACGCTGCGTCCACAGCGGCCACCCATGCGCCCGAGGACACCCTGGACAGCGTCATTATCCTTGCGCATCTGGACAATGGTGTCGGCGGTGCCAAGGAGGTCACGGTATGAATTTCCGACCTGCGTGCGTAGGCGGCTCGCTTTCTCATCGATTTCTACCTGGAGGGATCTGTGGATCGTGCGGATTTGTGGGAGGGTATAGTTAGAGGAGAACACCTGGGCGGAGGAGGTAAGGGTCGAGAGGTCAGGCGTCGCCATTGTGAGAGGTACGGGTTCGGCGATTCGTCGGCTTGGGGGTTATCGGCGGTTTACTGGAATCATTGAGGTTCTTTCGAGATTTGATGTCACTTGAAGGGGCCTGATTGTTCCGTATGACGACTTGCGCTGGTGTCGCGCTTGCCCAGTCGGTGAGGTTCGCAAATGGAGGTTGTCAATAGTTGCTGGATTTGAAGCTGTTCTGGCCAGATGGGAGCTGGTGGGGCCAACTGTCTCGAGCTTCGGTAGCTTGTACCTCAACGTACCATGTGCCTTTTTTTCCTCACAAGACATATGCCACAACACACAGCTCACTAAGCCGAAAAAAACATGACTAGACTCACAAGGGGGTGCAAATGCATAGAAATGGATTGATTGAAAATACTTTTGTGTTCCAATTGTATTATTTGGGGAACCTCGCAGCGGTTCTTCTCTACAGTTTCCTCGCTCTAACAATGCCCGTCGTAATACCAGACAGCTCACCACCATATCCGCCCTTTGGCTCACCTCCTTTCCAGGTGGGCATCATGCTCCTCAACTTCTTCTGCTTCTCCTCGTACTTCATCCTCTTCTTGACACGCGGGTTGCGCACCTCCTTCTTACGCTTTGGCGTCAGGCCCTTGTTCTTCTCGATGGCGTACGTGATCTTGCGTTTGCCGTCCTCGCCGACAACCTCCTGCTCCACGACACGGTCGGCCTTGCTGGCCGCAGCAAGGGCGTCGTACAGCGCCGCCTTCTCTGCCTTCTTCTTCTTGGAGGATGCGGCGACCATGTCGTAGTATTCGTCGTCCCCATCTTCGCGCACGCCAGCCGCCGTCCGGGAGTCATCGCCGTCGCTGCCATCGTCGTCGCCGAGGTCGGCACCGAACTTCTGACCACGTCGCTCGGCCTCGCGGTTGAGGCGCGCCTGGCGGTCCCTGAGACGCTCACGGTATGGGATATCCAAGTCTCCGCCGGCGTCGCGGCCTGCATCGGCGCGCTTGTTGGCCTTCTGGACAATCTGCGAGGTATAGAAGCGCAGACTCTTCTTGCGGGCAGCCTTGTCAGCGGCTGTCCGGGCGTCGAGAACCTCCTCTTCGCCAAAATCGGAGTTGTCTCCGTCTTCGGCGGCCTTGACAGCAACTTTCTCCTTCTTGCTGCTCTTCTTAGACTGCTTGAGCAGATCGTCGAGATCTGCGAGCGATTCCTCGATGGCCTGGGCCTGCTTCTGGGCCTGCTTATTCTTCGCCTTGGCGGCCTTGTCCAGCTTTCTCTGCCTCTTGAGCTCCTCCTTTGCCGCAGCAAAAGCAGCCTCATCGACGTCGTCCACGGCAGAGGGCTCCTCCCCGGCAGAAGAGACGTCCATGGAATCGTCGGGTTGAACCGGTGTTGCGCTCTTGACTTGTTGCCATGCCTCACGGCACTCCAGAAGTGTCTCCATGACGTCGTGATCACGCAGCTCCGCGGGATCCAGAGTCTTGCGAGTTGTTGCGTCGTCCCGCGCCGGTGATGTGAGAATTGCAAAGTAGCTGGCGAGAGCAGCGACGTAGCAGCCGAGGATCCAGTACTTGACGGCCTCCAGCGATTGACTAGATTTGCCGTGGGCTTCCTTTTGTAGGACAGCCAGTTGCGGTTGCAGGGCCTGGAACTCGTTGACAAGATGCTCAAACTCGGGGTATCTGCTTTGAAGGATCTTGGTTCGTTCTTCGGGGCCCATGTCGTCTGTGACTTCGATATCCTTGAGGACCTCGGTGACAACTTCCTGGTCTTCCGCGTCGTCGGGCTTCGTGGCCAGCCATTCGCCTTCGTCGAACAGGAAATCCTCCTCGGACATCTTGGCCAGCTTCTTCTGCTGCAGGCGCTTGGCCTCGGCCTCTTCCTCGAGGGCATCGGCCTCGGTCTCGATCTGGTCGGCATCGTAATACTCCTTCTTAGAAGAACCCCACCAGCTTGGATCAGCCTCGTCTGCTTCTCCCTCTCCCTCTTCCTCGGAATCGGCTCCAGCCTTTGCCTTTTTGGATTTGCGGGGCGCTTTTCTGGTGTCTTCTTCGTCGGAATCGTCGCCGTTGTCGAGGTCTAGGATCTCCTCTTCTGAGTTATCCAGAAACTTTTCCTCCTCCTCGGCTCTCTTTCTCCTCTTGGACTTTGGGCCTTCGTCAAACATGATCTTATCCCGGTTCAGGAAGTACTCATCCTCGGAATCGGCGACATCTTCATAGGTGGTGATGGGACCAAGACGGGCATCAGCACGGTCGAGCTCCTTAGGACCGGTGTGCGCATTCTGCGCGGATGCTTTGCGCTTCTTGGCCATTTTGACAGTTATTGGTTTTTCGGTCGGGGAGGGAAGAGACGGCAAGTCGATTTCGCTGGTGGGAGGTGGGCGTGAGACTGGGGTGGATTCTCGCCGCGTGTGAGCGACAACGAAAAATGTTCTTGCGTTCAGTGAGCGCAGAACTTTTTAGTGGGTACTCAGTGATGGCATTGGTTTCATTGGTTACCTGGTAGGTAGGCTGCCCACCCCCCCCCAAGTGGTGGGGGTAGCCCTCCCGCATCCCAGACTTCAGTGTTCGGTCTATATAGAGCCGGACAGCCATTTTCATATCCAAGGGCTCGCAGTAGGCTGTAGGCATATGGCAGACACTGCGGTGTTTCCAAATAAATGAAACGACTGGATGGGGACTTATGGCTTTTCGTTCACCTGACCTACAGAGCTGCAATACATTCATTCCCTTTTGAATAAGCTTAGCCCTGTACGCCATCCATGTATCATCAGTACAGGGCGCTTGATGGGATACAAGAAACAGAGACGGCGTCTATTCGTACTTGACAAGAATTTGGATAAGCAATCATTTCACCTTTTTCACTAGCCAATCGGGAGACAGACCTATTTTACTGTTACCCCAGCCTGCCTGTGATTATCATGGCAACCGTGCGGATTTGCGCACCATAGGATAGGCTCATAGCAGCACCGAGGAGACTCCACTAAAAACGGCACAGCCCTACCTAATTGCACCGCTCTCCGGCCGTATTTTGGTCCTAGACCACACTCAGTCTTGAGCAGGTCAGATCGATTGATCAGTGTTCACCTTGTCTCAATTGCCCGCGTAGCCTTGGCCTTTGACGGTTGACAAGCCATGGACTACACTTCTCAAGCTCTGTGGATCGCCCTCCCCGCCCTCGCCGCTGCCCTCCTCGCTTCCGCCATGGGTCTCTTCAACAGACAGAATCACATGCCCGTAGATGGCAAGGTAAATGCGATGGCATCCCAACCCGTTCCTCTCAGCCAGCTATTGACCCAATCTCCTCTTCCAGACCATCCTTCTGACGGGCGCCTCGGAAGGCATGGGCCGCAGCGTTGCCCTCCAGCTCGCGGCAAAGGGCGCGAACCTCTTCCTCGTTGCCCGCAACGCCGCCCGCCTCGAGGAGCTTGTCACCGAGCTGAAGGCCGCCGCCAAGCACCCCGAGACCCAGCACTTCAAGTACGTCACAGCTGACGTGACGGCCGAGAACTACGCCGCCCCCATCGTCGCTGAGGCCACCGCCTGGAACGGCGGTCGCAGCCCCGACATTGTTTGGTGCATCGCCGGCATGGCCACCACCGGCTTTTTCACCGACGTTCCCTTCTCCGAGACCCGCAGGAACATGGACGTCAACTTCTACGGCACCGCCGAGATGGCCCACGCCATTCTGCGCGAGTGGCTCGCTCCCGACGCCCCCATCGAAGACGAGCCCAAGCACCTGATCATGACAACGAGCGTCGTTGCCTTCTTCACCATTGCGGGGTACGCGCCGTATGCCGGCTCCAAGTGGGCCATCCGCGGGCTGGCCGACACGCTCTCTCAGGAGGTTTTGTTGTATCCCCAGAACGTCAAGATTCACGTTGTGTTCCCCGGAACCATCACCAGCCCCGGTCTGGAGAGAGAGAACGAGACCAAGCCTCAGATCACCCACCAGCTCGAGGAGCTTGACCCCGTCCAGTCGCCTGATGAGGTTGCCAGGCTATCGATCAAGGGCTTGGAGAGGGGCGAATACTTCGTCACCGTTGCGTTCCTGGGCAGTCTGATGAAGTGGAGCGGCCTCGGTGGCTCTATACGTAACAACTGGGTAGTCGACACGTTCATGATTTGGGTCACATCTTGGGTATGGGTATTTATGCTACCTGACTTGCTGAGACAGTGCAAGAACTTCGGCAAGAAGCATGGTCACCCGGCTACTTATGGAAAGCCAAAGCCCAGCGCATGAAGAAGAAACGAACCCCGAGAAGGCAAGAGAGGAAGTAGGCGAAAGAAGATACCCATCGCATTATTATGAAGAAAATTATTAATGTTTCACAACGCTATTCCCAGTCCCAAGGTGGCATTAAAACCATCTCGTTATATAACTTGTACAACTGGGAGTTTGGCGGAGATAGAGAAACTCATTATACGAGTCGAGTAACTGGAGTAGGCGGATATGATGAAAACTGGGGGAGCCAGTGTTCATCGATATGCATCTTCGGGGTACGATGTTCCTACGCTTCCAGACAACCTCTCTTACTGGGCACCCTTGGCTCGTGACACTCCTTGCTGGCGCCGTTACGTTTGCGAGCTGACGGTAATCGCCTGAAATAACGGAAGCCCACCTGTTGGATGTTTTGAGACTATGAGGTGATGTCGAAGGAAAACGGGCAAGATCTTCTGTTTTCAAAATCATTTTTCATGTTGCGAATAAACTAAAAGTCTTTCTAAATCACTAAAGATGATTAATTTGAACCTATGCGATATCTATATGGGCAAAACCAAATATCGAACGAAATCCGGTTTGTCGGACAATACTAATGAACTTCCTACTGCAATCAACCGGCGTATTGAAACAGTTCCACGCAGTAGCGACAAGCTGCGTAGTCTTCCATTGAGATATATTCACAGGTCAATTGTCTCATATCCCTTCATATAGCAAGAACAGTGACGAAATGATGACAGCTTATACATACCAAGCATCCAGTTCCATGTACTATCATGTTGTCTTCTCGATTAAGCGGAACCAGCCCAGATTGACATCAGGACCTGTACGTATCGCCAATCTGCAAGAAGAAGAGAAGAACAGGGTTTCAAAGAAGCGCGCCATTAAGTTTTCTGGTATCAGCCAAGGACCCTTGAAAAAACTGGACATTGCCCAGATTGAGTAATGCGGGCGACTTGCCCCTCCCGTTCCGCTTTCTCCAGGCCATAGCGATTGGGCTCGATGGTGCATATTGCTGTATTCTATTTTAGGGTATCTTTCATACAGCCCCCATAAACCAATCTCTTATACACCGCTCCACTTGCCAAACTTGGTGTATCTCTTGTACATCTCCCTCAAAATCGCCCTTCCACTAACGTCCATACTGTCATTTAGAATCTTCCTCACCTCAAGCGGCGTGATGTCGAAGACAGAGTTCATGCCTGGCTCCAACGCTTCACGCACGTCACGCGGGATGTCAACGTCCAGCTGCATCTTGACATACGCCATGAGTACGAGATACATGTGCCGACCCGCGGAGCGCTTCGCCGCATCGGTCGCCGAGTCGAGAGCACTCAGATGTTGCACACGCGAGACGGCTGCCGCGGCAGGCTCGCAGATGAGCGTGACAAGGCGCGTGAAATGCGCGGCGTGCTTCGCGCGAGCGGGCGTGGGAGTACTGTGCTGCGGCGAGGGGCGAGCAAGGGCGCTGAGAAGGGCCTCGAGGGTGGTAACGAGGATGTGGTAGTGGCCTTCGAGGCGGAGGCGGTGCTTCTTGATGACCACCTCCACTAGCTTGCAGAGCCACTGGTACACACTTGGGGACGCCTCCAGGAGATGGCCAGGATCGTCAGCGACGATCACAGCAGCTGTGCTTAGGGTCGTCTCGATGTTCCACTGGGTCATGGCGTTGGCTTTGACATCAAGGAGCTCCTGGAGAACCTCGGCGGTCCTGATGAACTCGCGCACAGTCTTCGTTTGGGTCAGGTGTCTGACCAGCATGCCATGGGCCGTGGACAGATCAAAGGTTTTGGTCTTCTCGCGCCCTGCGGGAGCTTCTAAAATACTTGTCAGAGGCCGTGCATCTTGATAAGAAGGAAATGAGAGCTTACCTGCCAAGTGGCTGACTACGCGGCGGATAGCCAGAAGCTGACCCTCGGAAGAACAGCCGGCCTGAGGGGCTACCTCTGCTTGAACGCCTGCGAGGAGGTTCTGAACGTACTGAACCTTGCCATTGTAGTCGAGATCAGCGGTAGCCGCATCAACGGTATCCTCAAGTACAGTTTGCCGATTGAAATCAGAAAGCGGGTCAGGAACTGGACAGCTGGGCATCGGCGCAGGCAAGGTAGTGCTGAAAAGCTGTCCGAACGAAGTCTGACGGGTGTTGGCTACCTTGGATGGGAATCGCTTGATGAGAAACGACTGCAACTTCCAGCCACTGAAGGATCCGTTGGAGATGGCCTGTTGACTCGCCTCCTCGAGCTGGGTAACCTTGACTTTCAGCTGTTCAACGACGGCTTCTGGCAGAGCCTCAGCTGCGTCCAGTGCTATCAGCACTCGGTTGACCAAGGCATTGGTGATATTTTGTTTTCGCCACGCCTTGGCGAAGTTGCTCAAGGTATCTTGGACAATGCTTCCCAAGGCCGACGCCGTCGCGTCAATGTCGAACACGGCAGTCTTCTCCTTGGAGCTAACGTCAGGGAGCACAATGGCAAGTAGTGCCTTGAGCAGAGTCATCTGTACAGAAGAGGCATCGCCGGCAAGGTCTTTAAGAAGGGCTGAAACCTTTACGAAATACTCCGTGCGCCACTCCTGATGATCGTTCATTTGACGTACAGTCGTTATTGCCAGCTGGTATAAAAGCTGGGATAAACCGAGAGCCGTCCGAGAGTCGCTTTCGTCACAGAGCGGCGCTAGCGAGTGCGCAATGTTCTGTAGATCGGAGAATGACATGTTCTGGTAAAAGGTAGGTCTTCGCATGAGCTTTACCAGCAGTCCCAGAACCAGATGCCAGTCTTGAAGATCAACCCTGCCTGCCGCTTGTAGCTTGGGAATCATGGTTTCCATGATTCGCTCTCTCTGCTGCCTAGTAAATGATTCATCAGGTACTCTTGAAAGCTCAACCATCGCAACCCGGCTCCTCTTCTCGGCCCAAGGAAAAGACTCGCTCGGGACTTGCGAAATCATTTCAATGGTGTAATCAACGACACTACCGACGAGCTTTCTGTTGCTGAGATTGTTCTCATTTGACAAAACAGCATGAAGGACGTTTTCCAGTTGCGTATCGCTATCCTTCGTTGTACTGAAGATGCGCTGTAGATAGTCAGGCAGAGTGCCGGAAGACTTGGCGAGCAAAAGCACGAGCTTTGACGCGGCCAGGGGGAACTCTGAGCAGAATTTGGGGATATCGAATGTGCTTGCACTCGAAAAGTCTTGAGAAGCAAACAGCCCCTGAAGGTCTTCCAGCTTGACTTTCTTCAACAGTCTTTCAATAAAAGACGTTAGTAGTGAAGCAAGCTCGGCTTGATCGCGGCCATCCGGATACATCGACAACCAGAAGTGGTATGCGCAACCCAGAGCCTCACAAGTGTCTTCATCATCGAACTTGGCTTTTTGCAGTGCTTTAGTCAGGTCAGTTTGAACCTTGTCCCATAGAGCGGTGGCTCGTTCGTATTCTAGCCACGATGCCGTCTTGGAAATGATTCTCCATCGTAAAGAGCGAATGTCAGACGGAGTCTTGCTAGAAGACCAGACTTTCAGTGTCAGATCCGACAGTTGGTTACCGGCAGCGTCGGCGAAATCGTCTCTAGTGATCGCAGATGCGATGGTATCGAGGAAGATGAAGACTGCCGCCGGCCGAAGGATCTCCTGGCCATCGACCCACTGCAGCAAGCCAACGATTTGTTTGGTTGTCAAAGACTTCTCGATACCGCCTATAAGCGTCGGATGGCGATGCACCCGGGTGAACCAGACAGGCCGGTCCCCAGAGCGCAGCGCCTTGTCCTCGAATTTTGACAGCTGGGAGAACCATTTCTGCAAGAAGGTCGACAGGTCACGAGCGTTTTCAAAGCCAGCGATTAACGACTCGATAAGCTCATGCATAGTTGCCTCGTCGGCCTTCGCCCCAGCGTCAGTAATTCTGTCGCACACTTGGTCGAATAGCTGTGCACTCTCTTCGGACTGCAGGAAGACATCTGCGTCGCACTTGGCAATCAAAGAAAGGAGGCGCCAATCAGTTTCACTGGGGCTCTCAACAATCGCGTAGTTGGAGACCAAACGAAGATCGTCCAGGGCAATGCAAGACTTGTTCGTAATCGCCTCCTCGAGCATGGCGGCCATCGCCTGCGACTTTTCGTCTCTGGGCAATCGTTTAATTGTACGCTCAGACAATTTGAAGACTTCTTGCATCCAGGCCTCCTCGGCTTTGGTTGTAGTAAGTCCGCCGACAACTTTTGGTGCAGATGACACCAGACTGTAAAGGATCGGCACAGAAACGGAGGCATTGCTCTTGACCATTTCTAAAGCACGGAAGACAACCTCAAGATCGTTTCTGTTAAGGTACGCCGACCTAGCCGGCAGAACTAGGTTGCGCTGCAGAAACCTATCCAGGTCTCGGGTCCAGAGCCTGGCCACTTGGTCGTCAAAGTCCGGCCGCTGCCTTATCTTTCCGAGTATGGAAATGCACGTCCGCGAAAAATGTGTCGCAACTTCCAATGCGTCGACGCTCCCCTGAAGATGCAGTTCCCAAGAAGAAGAGAACACCCTCACCCAGGACTCCTGCGAATCGAACAGTTCGGTGTCTGCTGCGGCCAGGGAATAGTCGCAAAGCAAAAGCAGAGGCGAAAGATATTCTACCGCTTCAGTGGCTGGTTGTGCAAAGAGAGCCTTGATATGTTCCGCTCCCATTCTGTCGTGGGCAGACCACTGAGACTCAGAGTCGAGACGTGCCAGGAGGATTTTCAACACGCCGAATATAGCCTCGCCAGTTCCCAAGCAGCCTTCGAACGATTTGAGTGTCTGCAACTCAAACGTCGCGGTACTTGTCCTCTTCCTCTTCTTCGACTTGGAAGCTGGCGTTTCGGCTTCGGTGCTGGGTTTTGCAACACCCTTAAGGGTTTGCTGCAGAACGGCCATAAACTTTCGGTCGGCAAGCGATTTAGCAAGAGAGAATAGGGGTATTCTCTGGAAAGCGCAGCCGAGTATGCGCCATGTCAGGGGGAATCGTCGGATCGTCTCGGCCTCGTCATTGTTCGCTTTCATAACCTTGAGGAGCCATCTGAGAACGCTCTCTTCGGCCGCAGAGAACGGGCTCTGACTAGCAGAAGTGAGCTGCTTCCATAATCGTTCAAGATTTTCGCCATTGGCTCCTGGACCCGTTTGATCAAGAGATCGTACGATCTTGACCAAGTCTCTGTCCGAAATCTTCGATGATGTTAGCAGGAGACGAGGTGGTGGTCATGGGTGCCAATCTCACAATGGTCTCAGATGGCCGGCTGGGGTTTGCGTCTGTCATCTCCACATCCATGGTGGGCAACCGGCCTCAAATTGCTTGAACAGATGTACAGAATCTCGCATGCGCTCATGTATAGGCTGCAGAGACTCCCCGCGATTTTTGGCTTGAGCTTTCCCAAAATTTCGGGATTCTGCCGCCCCACCCATTCCAATGGAGTCACCGAAAGCCACACCGACACTGACCGCCCTCGGGTGCTCATCATCAATTTACCGGGACTCTCCGAAAACATCACTCGGTTCAATTCCGACAGCTGAAGCTCCGACCTCGACAACACCATTGCGCATCGAGTCAATTGTGTAAGTAGCACCTGTATGTGTTTTGCACCGTCCATTGATACTGATGAGCAGCCCCCCAGGGTATCGACGATCATGTCAGACACCTCTGTTCCCCCTCCCCCGAGCGCAGTTGCGCGCCCCGTCAGTGAGGCACTTCTCAACGAGAAGGTAGCTCTCCCCAGTCGCCCAAGTTCACCTGGTTCGAAATCTCTAACAATATGCTAGTGGGATCACTGCCTCTCCAACCTCCTCGTCAAGTCTACCCTCGGCCTCGGCTTCGGTGTCGTCTTCTCGGTCCTTCTTTTCAAGCGCAGGGCGTGGCCCGCCTTCGTTGGTGTCGGTTTCGGAGCTGGACGCGCATACGAGGAGTGCAACTCCAACCTTAAGCAGGCCGCCAGAGATATCAGGAAGCAGGCATGAAATGCTCAAACGTCGAACCGATAGATAACACGGCCCGGATCGGAACACCGCTGTACAAATATACTACATCACACACGTGAAGCTTGCTAGGGAGTCAAAGCCGGCGGTTCCCTCATGCGACCACCTTGAGGAGCCGGTAATCCGAGATTAGGACGGGAGACGAGCGAGGGAATAGAGTCTTTTTTATTTGTCTACATTCTTAACCTGTTGCGTTTTCGCGTGATGAAGCTATATCCGACTGTACGGGTTTTGTGAGGTTGCATCCGCATCATTATTGCAGAATGGTCGCGAAGCTCTGCGGCTAACTCGGACGGGATCCTTGCTGAATGTATAGGCCGAATCCTTTTGATTGCCAGTTGACGGGGCCCTCTCACTCGTGGCATGTTCGGTCCGAAGTCCTGTCGACGAACCATCACCCAACTCCCTATTTCCACCCTTGCGGTCGATAGCGGCTTCTCTCCACGGTCTGAAGATATGTTTCGGGGCCAAAGAAGTTTTGTCTCGTTCCAAGCCCTTCAGCCGGTTCATTTCCGTTTCCGACACGGGGTTCCTCAGCCGCTTGACACTGTCAATGAACGCTTTGGGTATGTCTTGGGAGGCGCCGTTCATCGTGTCGTCTGAATCTGAGAGGCTGTACGACTCATGTTGTTCCCGGGAGCGCTTCGTTTTGATAGCGACCATGGCCATGCAGCCGAGAACGCAGACAATAGCGAAGACTGCGAGGGCAAGAGCAAAGATTTCTAGGGGTGTCGTTTCGAATGGTACCGGCAACGGCTCAGATGTGAATCTGTAGTCATGATTATGGCCCTCGCTGGCGGCAAATCCTCTCGCCTGTTTGATAAAGCTCGAGATATCTGCTGTACTGGCGGGCTGGAAAACCTTGTGCCCACCGCGGCCGAAGTACGGCCTTGCTGCCCGGTGGCGTGTGGGTTGGAAATCGTTCGCAAGACGAAGTGTGCGGGTAGTAGACGCCATTAGACAGCAGAAAGAAGATAGATATGCGATAGTGTCTTGTAGGCGATCGGTGAGGAAAGCTTCTAGGTGTTGTTGTATTGTAAGGGTTGGCCGGCGAAGAGAATGGAGCTCGATGAAGGGTTATCCTGGAGCCTTTATACGGGCTGCACTTTCTCTCTAGATCCCAGCCCGCTCCCAGACCTGCTGCTCTTGCTAGTGTGTTCTCGGAAATTCGGGTGATGGAGAGGACGAAGGTCACCAGAAGCACCTTCTTCAACTAGAGTCAGGGGCCGACAGCAACGTACAGCTGTCAACTTTCATCCAAATCATAGGAGCCATTGACATGGTTCACAATTGCCCAAAAAGCAAGAACTTGGGATATTGTTCGACCCATTTAATACATGAAGCATCACCAGAACCTTCCATGTTCAAGGCATGGATTGGAGACACGCTGCATTGCTCAAGGATGTAATAATGCACTGTTTGATTGACAATTATGTACCAAGCACATATCTTGTGAACATGGACATATAATGGAAGCTGGTTTCGGAAGGCAATGTTCGGATCCGACATCTACCAATCTGTTGTCTTTAGTTTTTTATTACTCTAGTGTCGATGAAATAAGTAGGAAGGGTTTTTTCTTCGCAACATTGCGTATGTCGGAATAATAAAACTATAATTGTTTGGCAATTACAAAACGTTTTTGTTATTTAAAGCACTAGGGCAAAACTTGTACTGTCCAAATAGAAGCACCAGATTTAGATGTCTACACTGCTTTCCTGAGAGACAGGTAAGATTCGATCAACGACTTCCCGCTCTGAAACAGGAGCTTGTTATGGTCTCGGCGATGGCAGTGACAGGCGCCGACAGTCTCCACTGCTCCGACCCGGTGCCGATGACCCGGGCGGGCTACGGAGCCGATCATCGACGCAACTCATCCCGATCGACGGGCTTATAATTTCAAGTTCCGCATTGAAAACTTTGGCCGGCATCAATGGTGAATGTATTTATATGTACCTCGATCGACTAGCAGACGCAAGGTGGTTAAGTTGCACTTTAAAATCGTAATGAATGTCAATCCGTACACGACCATTGGACGTTCACCTTCAATATAATGGCTGACTAATAATCCACTAGAGCTAACTGCCGTCACCTACCGCCCACCACCTTTTACATCATCAGCAATTACCGATCAGTAGCATCTACAATTTTCCCTACAGCCGCCCCCAAAGCTTGGAACCTACTCAACATCACGCCGCCAGCATCCACCCAAAATGGCCACGACCCTCCGCTGTGCACACGCGCCTTCGAGCGCAAACATATTTGTCCTGCTCGCGCGTCGCACGAACCCGACGTCGAACCATCCGGCTCCGATTCTGTCAGTACTCGTTCCGAGGTGGAGGTCCATGACCACCGCCACTCGAGGCTTCAGCACTGGCCGCAAATGCTGTTCCGAAACTTTTACCCGGAGAAGTTTGCCGCAGAAATATCACCGGAGGACATTGCAACACCAGACTCGCGCTTTCACGGCTTCCGCGGCACGGGGGCAAACGAGATGCGCATGGAACCCGAAGAAGGATGAGGATGGACAGGAGATGAAGCTCGAGATCACAGATAGGGCAGGAAAGGTATTTGTTATCCATACAGACGCACATGCAACGGCCATTCATGGGACTAACCGCGTCAACACAGCGTCTGTCAGAAATCATGAAGAAGGACAAGAACCCCAACCTGGCGCTGAGGATACAAGTCGAGAGTGGCGGCTGTCACGGCTTCCAGTACCTTATGAGCTTGGTGACGCTGCCCGGAGGCGGCGAGGCCGGAGAGGAATGGTCCAAGGTAGTGGGGGAAGACGACACCGTCTTCCAGTATTTGCCCGACAACGCTGACGCCTCGTGCATCTCATTTGAAGGCCCAAAGGTGGTGATTGACGAGCCGTCGTTGGAGCTGTTGAAGGGCAGCAAAGTGGATTTTACGATGGAACTCATTGGGTCCCAGTTCAAGATCACGGACAACCCGTATGCTTCAAGCAGCTGTGGATGCGGGACCAGCTTCGATATCAAGATTTGAGAATGAATCAGCACTCAAGTGCTGATGTGCATTGAAATATTAGCTGCGCCGAGGAACGTCCCTCCATAACCAGGGTGTTCACGACAAGAGCAGAGTTAACTTGGGACTTTAGGGTGCTGGGTCTTCACGGATACATTTCATAATGTACACATACACATACAACTCTCAGAAGAGGCTTGCATTGCTACTCATAGAACATTGAGGATGAGAAACCCGGATGGTCGTCATAATGATCAATTCACAAATTCCGTTTTGCGGTTATCAACGCCGTGCAACCGTGCCAATCATGTAATAGTCCCTTGGTATTCTCAAACCTGCCGAAGCCCGAGTAACTAAACCTGCCAAACCCCCCATTTTTTTACTGATCAAAGAGCTACTTAGACGCCCGACAGAACTTAGTTCATCTGGCGGATAAGAGCGTTGATCTTCTCCTCGCGGTTGCCGAGGTCACCGCCCTCAATGAAGTGCTTGAACTTGCGGGGACGGAAGCCACCAGTGGGGTTGGAGAGCTTGAAGGGCCAGAGGAAGTTGGAGGCCTGCTTGAAGTTGGGGCCGACGGTGTAGATCTCGTGGATCAGGTCTTCCATGCAGACAATGCCGTACTTGCCGAGGCTCTCCTCGATGATGGCGTTGTCGGTGAGAGCGACACGCTGCTTGTTGACCTTTCCGTAACCGCGCTTGTAGATAAGCTCCTTGACGGACTTGAGGTTGGGGTAACCGTAGGCGACCCACGGCTCGATGATCTTGATCATCTCGGTGGTGGCCTTGGTGACCTTGATGAAGACTCCGTTGTTGATCTGGAGGAGACGGAGGAGCTGGAGGATCTTGCGGGGCTTGGGAGCGATCTTGTTGATACCCTTGATGCGGATAAGGAAGATCAGCTTGGCCTCGGCGGGAACGTAGGCGGAGTCGTTCTCCCTGGCGACACGGGAGAGACGAATCTTCTCGCGCTCGGCATCACGGTACTCCGCGATGTACTTCTCGGCGCGCTTGAAGATGACATTGCGCTTCTCCTTGTTGGCCTTAAACAATGTTAGCAACATGCCACATGTATACTGTTCCGTGAAATAAATGAATGATCCGGCAAGTGTCAGACCCGAAAGAAGGTTAATTTCCAACAGCATCGACCGTAGTCTAGTCGTGAAGGTATGTTATGCATCATGAAGGCGAGGGAAGGGGATTGAAGAACAAAATCGGAGACAACCTACAGCCTTGCGCTTCTCGGTAGCGGCGTTGCGCTCGGCGCGAGCCTTCTCCTGAGACTTGCGCTTCTTGAGAAGGGTCTCGGGAACCAGAACCTGGTTGGAGGTGGGGACGGAACTGTAAACGCGAATCAGATTAGTACGCAGTCCGACATACTGCAAGCAGCATGGGTAGAGCGCCGGTGCGAGAATTGTAGCTGAAGCGCGACATTCTCGCCATGGCTAACTCGAAGTTATGACTTTGATCGGTGAGCGACTGTGCAAGGATGTCTCAACTCCACAGAGGAGGACATAGCTCCGAGTCTTCTGCTCATCCGACAACACCTTGCACACGTTTCAACGTGTAACAAGAGATAGTGCACGCAGGTAGTAATGCTAGGACGGGAGGCTTTTCAGCGCAGCCGGCGTCGCCACCATGCGGCAATGATTTTCAGGGAGAACGGGTGGCCGTTCATCCCCAACACCCCAGACACCGTCTCTCAGTCCGCAAGCCATGGTTCCAGGTCATGCAAAGAAGGAGGGAGATGCCCAGGAGGGATTCGAGCTGAGAGCCAAGCATTCACGATGATGTGATGCTAGGTCTCCAGCGAGAGGACCACGACAATCTGCAAGACATCGCGAACATGCGGACAGGAATATGCTGTTGCATCAGGAGCATTGGTGATGAACATACGTGGCGGCCATTGTGAAAGGCGAGTTTGGTGGTCGTCGGCGGTTGTCGTCGAAAATTGGTCGCTGGAGAAGAAGAGAGATGGAAAAAAAGACCTCGAGGGCGGGATCGCAACTTTTAGGCAAAATAATTTTCATCTCCCACTCCTCACCGGGGGGCCAGGCACGGACCATGAAAGAACAAAAAAGCTCGCTTAGGTAGGGTTTCCTCTGGCGCTAAACCTTCCCAGGCGGTTCTGCCACCATTAACCGCCTTGCCCCCGTCAGGGCACTCACGCCCACTTTTCGCACCACGCCAGGAAGGGCCCTACTTTTTTTTTTTGAGAAATTTCGTTTCCGGATTGCGAGAGTCGCGAGAGAGAGACCTTCATTCGCAACCACCTCCGTCTAACCACCACCCGGAATCAATTCGCCAAACCCAGCAGTCACGATGGCCCCCAAGTCCAAGACCGTCCGTCCCGCCCAGGAGAACACCTCCTTGGGTCCCCAGGTTCGCGAGGGTGAGTTTTGCTGAAGTCCAAGTCTTTAACCCGTGTCGTCGCCGATCTAGCGAGCGTTGCGGGTGACGGAATTTTGAGGGCAAAGGTGAATAATTTTGCTAACTTGATCCCCGCGTCCGTCAGGCGAGCTCGTCTTCGGCGTTGCTCGTATCTTCGCTTCCTTCAACGACACCTTCGTCCACGTTACCGATCTCTCGTAGGTCTCGCCTTCCGCTCGTCTTCGCAGTCGAGTTCCCCTCCTGCGGTCAACGTACGCTATATGATGCTTGATGGACAAAGATGGCTAACTGGGTGATTCCAGCGGCCGTGAGACCATCTGCCGTGTCACTGGTGGTATGAAGGTCAAGGCCGACCGTGACGAGTCCTCCCCCTACGCCGCCATGTTGGCTGCTCAGGACGTCGCTACCCGCTGCAAGGAGCTCGGCATCACTGCTCTCCACATCAAGATCCGTGCCACTGGTGGTAAGTCGAGACATAATTGCCTCCTGTCTGGACAATCTTTCTGATCAAGCAACTTGCAGGTAACGGCACCAAGACCCCCGGCCCCGGTGCCCAGTCTGCTCTCCGTGCCCTAGCCCGTTCCGGCATGAAGATCGGCCGCATCGAGGACGTTACCCCTACCCCCTCCGACTCTACCCGCAGAAAGGGTGGTCGCCGTGGTCGCCGTCTCTGAGCGCCCGGTTTTATTCAGCATATCATCAAATGGTTGTTGGCCTGGGTGGTCTTGGGGCAGGAGTGCTCGTTGTTTGGTTTCTGGGTGGCATTGCGAAAAACGCGGGGAACGGCTACTGAGCCTGGTCCCCAATCTACGCACTGTGACATGCCTTCTCCTGCTGTGGGCGACAGTATCTATCGTAGATAGAATAGAAACTCGCCATATATGGCCTGAACTGAAGAGTAGCTCCTGAACCCCCTCCGACAAGTTGTGCACACCTTCGCGCTGCGTTCATGTGAGATATAAATGCAATGCATGCTACCGCCTTGATTTGTGTCTAGTATCCAAATCGATTCTACGCTATTCTAGCCTCCCCCTTCATCTACGTCTCATGATGCGACCTCCCCCTGTCCATGCCTGCTCTCCTGAACGCCAGTCGCTTAAGTTCTGAGGCTTGCACTATGCCTCAGAATGTAATGTTGTGTCATGCATTGTGATGCGCCTGCTACTTATATGCAGGCCTCAAAGTCCACATGCCCCTGCCTGTGCCGCCGGGCTTACTCAGTACGGCCACAGTAGCCAGGGCACTCTTAAACTCCAAGATTTGCTTCGGTTTCTGGCAGTAGGGGTTGAAGTGATCCACTACCATCTTGGAAGGCGCCTTGCCCCCATGTCGTCTGATAAAGGTCTGGATGAGAGGAACAAAATCCTTCTCCATGAGATTCTTCTCGGCACCTGGGGTGCCCGATCGTGAACTTGTGCTACTGGTCGGCGCACTAAGTCCCTGACGATTGGCCAATGCAGACATGACGCTCGAAGAATTCAGTCCACCACGTCGATGCTGTGCAACGGGACGACCGGCTTCGCCAACCTCGCCCGTCCAGGTGACAGTGCCGATGGGCGTGTGGCGTGCCACCTCGCCTGCCCGCCGTAGAGCAGCTTCTGCCTGTGCAGCAAACCTGCGCGCTTCTCTCTGGTTCATCGCCGGATCCGCTTGTACCCTTTGTTTACCATTCATGATTTGGTCATGCTCATACGCGCTCTCGACCGTCCGGGAAAAGAGACTCTCGGTGATGCGTTTCTCGTCTTCAAGCGTCTTATCCTCCGTGAACTCTTCCACCGCAGCGACACCAGCGAGCTTGCGAACTGTGTCAATTTCGTCTTCGGCCTTGATGGAGGATATGGGTACCACGTTCTTGGAGGGCTTCTCCGGCTGGCCATTAGCATCCGGCTTGTTGTATTTCACCTCAGCCCCCTCAAACACCTTGCTTCTGTTAGCGCTCGCCATGCTATGACTGTTATCGCCAAAGCTGAAGAGGTCGTATAAATCGGACAGGTCGAAGTTGGCCCGCTGCTTCGGGTCCTTTAGGACCTTGTTCGTCATGAATTGCTTAAAGATCTGACGGTGGTAGATTTTCTCCTCGATGGTGCCCGATGTCATCAGTCGATAAATTGCGACCGGTTTCGTCTGGCCCAGTCGCCAAGCTCTCTCTCGGGCTTGCAAGTCTGTAGATGGGTTCCAGTCGGGGTCGTATATGACAATTCTAGTTGCGCCAGTCAGGTTGACACCTAAACCACCCGTCTTCGTGGTGAGAAGAAAGACGTGGATCGATGGGTCGTGATTGAACCGATCAATCAAGGCCTGTCTCTTCTCCACAGCCACTTCGCCATCCATTCGAAGGTAGTTCATCCCCTCCATTTTACCAATAAACTCTTGCAGTATATCAAGCATGATCTTGGTCTGGGAGAACAGGAGCGTCTTGTGGCCAAATCGTTTCCACAACGGAAGGAGCTCGCCCACTGTCTGCAACTTGCTAGATCTTCTGGGGTTTCCCCAATCGTAACCCGGCTGGCCCTTCTTTCTAACATTGACAAGGTCCGGATGATTGCAAATCTTCCGTAGGATATCGATGCCGTACAATGCTTGTCGTTTCTTGGCCATAATCTGGGAGACAGCATCCGAATGAATGAACCTGACGTACTCTTCGTTTTGCTCTGGAGTCAGCTTGCAGAACAGCACCTGCTCCGTCTTCTCTGGAAGGTCTGATGCAACGTCGGTCTTGAGTCGTTGAAGAAGATACTTGCTGATGGCCTCCTTGAGGGTCGTTGCGCACTTCTCAGCCGTCAAAACAGCCAGATTGGTAGCGTTTGCATGGCCACCCATTCGGATGGGCATCTCGAACTGCTGTCTAAAACTGACGAGCGTGCCCAATCTCATGGGATAGATGAAATCGAACAGTGACCAAAGCTCGACCAAGTTGTTCTGGATTGGCGTGCCTGAGAGAATCAAGCGATGTGGTGTGTTGAGCTTCTTGCAAGCAATCGTAATATCTGCGTTCGGGTTCCGAATTTTGTGACCTTCATCAAGAACCGCATATCCCCATTCGTAGGACAAAAGCTCATCCTGGTAAGAGTGCAAGCCGGCATAGGTTGTGACCAGAACATGGCCATGCTTGACAACACGCTTGATGATCTGGCGCGCGGCGGGGCCGTTCTTGCCACTGCCGCTATAAGGTTCGTCATCATCATCCTCGTTCACGTTTATCATACCGCTACCTGACGAATGCAAAATCGACACCCTCAAGGCGGGCCACCACCGGTGGAATTCATTGACCCACTGTTGCATCACAGTGGCTGGGACGACAACAATGACGGGCTTGTCGAGTATTTTGCTGTAATGTAACGCCGCAACAAAGGCAATCGCTTGCACTATTGATCATGTTAGCATTTAGGCGTGTTACCAATGGCACGCACAAGAAGTACCTGTCTTTCCCAGACCCATTTCGTCCCCGATGATGCCGCCCACGCCCTGTTCATAGAGCTCTGCAAGCCAATTAACACCAGTTTTCTGATAAGCAAACAGAGATGGATGGATGTCTCCTGGAAGCTTCAGTTTGAGATTGTCGCCAAACTCATAATCTGGATGGTCGGGCGATGGCTTGAACCATTCTTCTTCGCCGTTATCCTCCACCGCAGGAGGCTCATCATGTCCTTTCTTCTGTTGGCGTGCTCTCCTGCGTCTTCGGACCCAGTCGGCAAGGCGTGCTTGGTAGACGGCCTCATTCCCATCGTCAACACTGCTTAGATCGATTTTTGCTCCATTGACAGTGACTGTGGCGTCTGCAGCCTTCTTCTTTGTCTTGCCCTTCTTTCGCTTGCGGCCAGTTGCTTCTTCCTCACTGGTGTCAGAGGCATACTGGCTTTCTGGCGAGCTGGCAGCCGTCGGATCGAAATCGTCCGAGGACGCGTCGTTCTCCGTCCTGCGCTTCTTTCTTGGTCGAAGAGAGAACTCACCCGCGACAGAGTTCGGCGCTGTTTGGGGTTGCTCTTCGAACCCAGGCATTCGCAGCACTTGGTGGGACTTGGGTTCCTCGTCGTCGCTGCGGAGCTCCTCGGCTGCTGCATCTTCCTCGGCTTCAATGAGAACTTCTGCGAGTTTGCCTTCAAAACCAGCGGGTCGCTCGCCTCCAATGTTGGAGAAAGGGGTGATCTTTCCGGTTCGGACGAGGAACTCTCGATTCGACTCGCCAGGTAGTCTCTGGGACTTGCTCTTGGCCGGGTTTTCATTGACTGAAACCTCCTCTTGCCTCTTATCGATGCGGGCCTGGCAGTCGGATATGTCGTTGATGATGCGATTGATCTCGAGATCGAGCTTATCAATTTCCTTTTGAAAATTTCGTGACTGATACGGGTTACGACGGGCTCCTTCCAGCTTCTTATGCTGCTCGATCCGCTTGGCTTCGAGTTTCTCTTTGCTGGCCTCTAGTTTTTCGATGCGCTGCTTGTCTTTCTTGTCTTCTGCTTCAATCAAAGCAGCGTTGGCTTGTGTGGTGATGTCACGCTCCAAGTCATCTTGATCCCTGATGTCGGCCGTGATATTCCGCAGCAATGCAGCTTCGTCAGAATGGTCCCTTGAGTGGGATTCGGGTACATCTGGGGGATTATAGGTGGTGGAGGCTGGGCTGCTTCTCTCCTTGACGGACTCATCACTGTCCTGGTTACCTTCATCGTTGGTTGCCATCGTGAATGCTATTTTCAATATCCTTTCACCTTCGACCCTGGCGTTCGAGATGATACCTTCAGGTATGCAATAGTACCGATAAGACTTTCCAAAAGAAAGGAACCGCCTGTCAACGTGCGTCTGGATAAACGAAGAAACCGGAGTTGTCCTGTGGTGTGGGTGAGTTTGAAGTACGAAAAAAAAGTGATCGCAGGTAAGCCAGATAAGACCTCCCGTAGCTGCCTTTAACATAGACGACGAGTCTGCAGAGGCCAGCTTTGAAGTCTCTTGCCTCTGGATCCTAATGTGACTCACCGAAAATGCTAAGTTAGAAGGCAGCAGGCGCGTCAAGCTCCCGAGATGATTAATGACCTGCTTCTCAAATGATGACGCCACCGGGGGAAGGCAGTTGCGAACGGGTCGCGCTATCAGGTGCTATACAGGGGTCTTAAGTGTTAAAAAGAACAAGTGGATCCGGGAGAAAGTGACAGACCCGATTGATTGGATATTGGGGAAGGAGGCGGGGCATTTCTGGTGGCTTTTTCTCCTCGCGCCACAGTTACGGACTTGATGGCGAGCAAGGTAGCCTGAGCAAGCCACATCTGACTAATCTCCCGGAAACGAGATACAGCAACAAGCTATGGCAATAAACGTTTATGTTGCAGCAGTCAACAAATCTTCAACGTCTCTCTGCCTCCTGACCCTATGCTATTTCTATAGGTCGCTTTAACCTTTACGCACCCAATTGCCCCGGGCCGGTTGATTGAGGTCGAACAGGTGGTGCTCCGACCAGGCAGGAACAACCTCGTTGATGACCAACATGATCAGCCGAAAACACACAGCCGAGATTCTTTCGAAAGTCTGTTGGATTGGGTCGAGAACACACTCTTCTGCTGCCCTCCAACAAACTTCCAGTATGCCTCCCGCATGGCTGCAATCTGTTCTCAATGCCACCGTCAAAAAAGAAGCACCCAGACTGTATGTTTGGAACCTATCCAACCTGGAAGGTCAAGCCCAGCCCTTCAGTTCGCCGGCCAGCAGTCGCCCCGATGAGCTTACTCCATACCGTCATGAAGACAACCTATATCGACGGGTTTACATTCTCGGTGTCGGTAACCTTGGTACTCTCTTCGCTAGCTCGCTTGCCTCACTGCCAGAGCCTCCGCCAATAACTCTTGTGGTACACCGGAAGGACCTCCTGCTATCATGGAGGGAACAGCCAGGCATCGAAATGACCCGGCAAGGCTCCATTTACAAACATTTAGATTTCGATGTTGAGCTGTGGTCTGAAGAGCCCCCATCCACTGGCTTGAAGAGGGAGGTTACAGAGGGTCAGCAAATACACAACCTGATCGTAGCGACGAAAGCATCCCAAGCCCTACCGGCAGTCGACCGAATCCGCCGTTACCTCAATGAAAACTCCACGATAGTCTTCGCCCAGAATGGTATGTGTAAGCTTTGGCCGCCGCATGGGAAGACATATTCGAAGTCCCGTTACCTCGGAGAATCACATCCAAATTTTCTAGCGTGTGTCACGACACACGGCGTGACCTCTCTCGGTCGATTCAAGAGTTTCCATGCGTCCGAGGCAAACCTCAAAATCGGCCCTATACTACTCAACGAGTTTCCTGAGAACGATTCTTATCTGTCAGATGTGCTTTGCCGGGCCCCAACTCTTCACGGAGAGAAGGTTACACAAGATGAACTTTGGATTCTTCAACTGGAGAAGCTCGTCGTCAACTCGATCATCAATCCACTGACCGCTATTCTTCGTTGCAAGAACGGCGATCTTTTCAACGAAAAGGAGGGCGTGCTTGCAGAACTCATCAATGCCCTGTTGCTAGAGGCTAGTAAGGTTCTTCAAGCTCTGATCAAGGACCGGAGCACCGACGCAATCATACGTCCGGCATCTCGTGAAGCCACGTCTACTACGAAAGTAGAATTGGACCACGAGGACATACGTCGACGGCGTGACCTCTTGAATCGCTTCTCTCAACCCCAACTAAGGGAGATGTTGTATAGTGTTGGGAACAAGGTTAAAGACAACACAAGTTCAATGCTTCAGGATGTCCGGGCCGGCAAGCAGACCGAGATCGAAGAATTTAACGGCTGGCTAGTTGAAACGGCGACTTGCCTTAACGACAACTTGGATGTTACCCATCACCGCATACTAATTGATCTTGTGCACGACGGCAACGTTCTACCAAAAGAATCACTCGTCAACTATTTTCCTTCTTGCAAAGGGTCTAAGTCTGCAGCTGTCTGAGGTTAGGAAGATATCACCCATCCGAAACCACAATCTAGAAACCACGAGATCACGCAATCTAACTCCTACACGCCCCCAAAATGCTGTCAATCCCAGCCCCAGCGCTCCACGAGATCTACCTCGATCATACTCGAGACGTTAATGGTACAGGGGATACCCCTATCAATGTCCGGTCCAAGCTACACGTTGTTTGCGAGCACACCGAAACCCTACGAAATGGGAAGCGACGTGGTACCGGTATACACTCATCCACACCATCAGCTGGCATTTTGCCAACCACCATCTTTCCGTCATTCCTTCTTCACTGGCAATTGCCTGCAATGGAGGCCGCCCAGCTGCACTGCACCGGCGCACGCCCTCCACCAACCTGCCAGTCACACTGTTAATCTAACCGCTTGTCGGGCTGTTGAAAAATCAACGTGGCAGGTATCGTCCAGAAACCTCCTGTTCCGCGGCCCATCGTTACCGTTACATCCAGGTCTGTTGCCCTCATTTGCCACATCCGCCTCCCTGTCAATCCTTAACAGACTGCAGTATAGGCGTAAGATTCCGCGTCCACGTACCGCTATGTATAGTACTATATCAGCATCAGATATATGTATCGCGCCAGGGGAAGCAAGCCCTTGTGGCTGTCATGGGAGGACCCAGTTCGGAATGCTTTTTCCAAGGAAGCATTCATACTCTTTGCCCCTCAGGATTTTCACCCGCCGCTTACTCGATGCCACCATTCCGAGCGCTTTCGCAAACAGGTCTTAACGATACCTATACGGATCATACTGATGATATCCATAGATACCTGGACAGTTGTGCTTCGCATAGCACTTATAGACTGTTTAAAAACCTGGTCATGACGACCAACCACAAAAGAAAAAAATTAGCAGGAATCTCGGCGGCTTAATTCCACTTTTTCAAACAGGCCTGTATGGCATTGCGCTTCGTGCACAAAGTTCTTGATCCCAGGCTGACCTGTGGCAGGAAATGAGTTGCCGGCTGCACGCCAATTATTCAATGGCACTGAAGGCCCTGACCCGAAGGCAGCATGTGCCTAGAGATTTCTGGGCATGAAGCTACGCGGCCTTATAGCAGCACGACGTTGTTCCCTGCATGCATTTTAGGGCTTGCTTTGCCGTTGGTCGCTTGCTACACCCCAGTTGCTCCATGGCAGCCACCGTTCCCGCCAAGCAGCCAAATTGGAAGCGGAGCCAATGACTGGCGGAAACACACCGAAGCCAAGCTAATGAGGATTTGATTGCATCGCCGTTTTTGCCGCGGCAGGCTATGTGTCTTTCGATTCACGAAACGAGATCAGCTAGCTTCGAAGACAAAAGCCACGCGGTGGAGAGTCTTGCGGAGCCGATATTTGTTTGCCGATTGCGCTCCATCTTCAAACTAGATGGATCCAACTCAACGTGATGCCCCAATTCTCCGATTGGCTAGCAGGGATTGGTTAAAAGCTCCGGTGCATATTTGACGGAGATTTTCTTTACGAGGAGGCCTGTCTGATGGACTTTCATTAGCACATTGTGGAGACCCTGGGTGACTTCAATCTCGACAAGGCTCTCAGGGACGAGTAGCACTCGCGGGGAAGCAGCAAAAACAACAACCTGCTTCGGTGAGAAATCTGGACTTTGCCAGCCCACACCATTCAAGTACCAGGGGCTTGTCACTTGTCTACAGGCTCAACCCTCATTCAGCGCTGGGGCAGGCAGAAAACTCTTTTGGTGTGGTTGCACTGCAGCAGCGACCCGCATAACCCCCCCCGCCGTGCTGGTGGTCGACCTGGCCGCATATGCATGTTACTCGTCGTTGCCCAGATAACCAAAAAAACAGCCCTTCGGATAGCGATGGAGAGGCAGAGGCAGAGACAGAGAGGGAAACCTGGCGAAATCGATCCCTTGCACAGCGACGCGAAACACATATACTCGGATGTTGTCGGCCCTCGGCTGCGGAACGGTCAGTTAGCCAGACGCCTGATCCAAGCTTTCCGGGCTTGTGCGCAAAGGAACTGGCCCCGAGAACGCAACAGCCATGTGTTCTTTGTCCAATGCTATGGTTGAGAGGCATTGTAGGGTTTGTCGGGTTCAGGCATATTGTCCTTGGTGTGGTCGTTCTTTGAAGCCGTCGCTGACCTGGCATCTCGGCCTGGACGGCTTTCCCGCCGTTGCCCGCCCCGCCGCCGCCTGACCGCCTGACCCGCTTGATAACCGCATCAGCACCGAACCCTGAGGCGCAATATGACGATAGAGACGTATCGAGGATCGCGCAGATATCACAACCCTGGTATACGCCTTTGGGATTCGGCCTAGCATCCCCTGGCTATAGTATTGAGAGTCTTCAGGGCTCAACCCAGCAGTTGGCATCCGATAGCCTATCATTAACCGTACATCAGGAGTTTCACGTTAGGCGAGTTATTTGCTGGGTATGTAAGCCCAGTACGAAGCGCGCGAGCCATTGACACCCGCTTGAAGCGATCTCGGATAGTTGACAGGACAAGAGCGGACCGCTCGGAGCCGGACAAAGGTCGAGGCGTGGTGAGGCAATGACTCGAAGATTTCGTGCCTCGTCCCGTCTGCATGACACCTCGGAGGTTGCATTTACGTCCTTTATTTCATCATACGACAGCCCCTCCCAGTTTCGGCTTGCTTCTTCATTCAGCTGTCTCTGAGGAAATCCAACTCTACAATTACCGCCGCTGTCAGACATCCACGGCTCGGTTCTATGCGCTAGAGGCAAAACGGCTTGTCTCTCGCCCCATCCCACGTCCAGATTTGGAAAGTGATTTCCCCCGCTCACAACCGTTTAAGCACAATCTCTTGCTTAGGCTGTTGACAAAGGACCAACACAATCTGCAAAAGAGGAACAGGGCGGTCATTGCTTCTTGCAAACGTCCAACCAGAGACTGACAGCCGTTGACCGAATCCATGTCTCAGATGGTTAGCCCCGCCTCGTTCCCGAATTCTCGATGGTCTGGACCATGATAGCTTCCTCCAGGTGCCGTACCGATGCAGTCGATCCAGTATCACTTTGTATCAAAGGTAATATGCGGAGACAACTCGACCAAGGCTAGCCCGTCACGTCACTGTCACTGCATGTGCGGGACGTACGACAGCTCGCCTCGCGTGGATGCGCCGCATTTCACACCGATCGGCCCACAGAGAGAGGAACCCGAAAACAGCAACCACCCTGTACGAACTGTGCGTGTGACTTTCCGGGCAATTGACCGCTTTTTTCCCTCTCCTCCTCTGGAGTCGGCATCTCTGGCTGGGGGGGTGGATGGGGTTGAAAGACGACGTGAGTGGGGGTACATATATCAGAATTCCTGGCGTCTTATAACGAATCCTGGGACCGAGTGTTTCAATGGCCACAAGCCGCTGCCGGACCGGCTGCCCTGGGTGGACGCAGAGTCAAACGAAAGCCTGCATGGTGATCAAAGGGCTACCTGTCAGTGCCAACGACTGGAGCCAGCGATATAGCCGGATCATACTAAGGCCATTGTCAAGGGGAATAGGGGAAAAGCTACCCTAATGAGACCCTTTGGGCATCCCGACGCGATCACGCCCAACGCGGCACACTTGGAGCAGGAGCCCACCCGACGGACCTTTCTCACATGCCTGACCTGGTCAAGTTGCCGATTTCCAGGGCTAGCCTATGTTTCATGCCGATATGGCAGTGGCCCCCTCCGCCCCGTTTGGGTGGTGGAAAGCCTGCGCCGGAGCGAAATAGGTATGACAATCTTGCTTAACCCTACCTTTCGTCCCCGCACTTCGGAGCGTTCGATCTGTACCCCCTAATGCCCTCATCACTCGCCAAGGTTAACTCGCGTAGACCTGGGCACAGGCGTTGGAGGGAGAAACGAAAATAACGCCAACCCATCCAAGATAGACGAGGATGGCCTTCTCTCGCCTAAACTTGGCATGAAACATTACGGCGCCAAAAAACACGCCTTCGCCCCGCCCGAGCTCCGTCACCGGGAATCCGAGCTCAACTCGACAACGACGATGGCCTATTACCTTTGGCTTTTTAGCCCTCTCTGTCCTTCGGGGAAGAGGGTGGGAGGGAACCTGGAAACATGCCGGCGCGGTGCCAAAACATCTGCCACGAGAGGAAAACAGGAATGGGCGATGACACGTCAACGCAGGTACGTCCACGTTTCGGCCGGGCCTTTGTAGGGAGGGGAGCGGGAGGACTTTTGACGGGTTCAGAACTATACGTTGCATGAACAAGACAACGAGCGCACCTGTGCCGGCCCGAAGTGACAAGTGCTGGGCCGCGCTCAGCGCATGTTCTGCCGCAGGATCTATGTCTGGCCGTAGACGCCTCTAGGTCCACCTCCATCGCGTTGCTGGCCCTGCTCGTAGCATTTCGGTGGATTCAGGGCGAGGTTGCAATATCAGCTATGTCGTACGACATTGACCCGAGCGACTCGGGGGAGAAATATCGCTTATACATAGGTAGTATGGCATGGTATATACGAGAAAAGAAAAGAAGGGGGAAAAAAACAAGCCAGCCAGACTGACTCATCACCAGCGCGGCCCATTCGTCTACTCCCCAAGCTCGACTTCTGCCACACACGCGTACACACACCCCTGCCCACGCCCCCCCCCTCACCCTCCTACCAAAAGCCCAGTAGAACGCGTCTGTCAGGATAGGTACCAAGCCTCACGGATGCCTCCACGTTTTGCCCAAGAGCATACGAGATTGAGAAGCGAATCAGATCTAAGTTGGAGGCTATAAAAAGTAAAATACAAAGTGGTGAAGCTGCAGAATCGAACAAGACTCGGATAACGGTGGGGGGAATAACGAGCGTCTGGGGGACGACATAGACCAAAAAAAATCAAGATACAAAACAACAAAAGGACATCATCGTCGATGCTAATCCATGCACGCATCACCATGTATGCAGAATGCTTCCCTTCGCCATCTCCCCAAATCCTCTCTTTTTCTTTATACCCGCAAGACGCCGTATTCAGCCTTCACAACCAGCGACTCCTGCCCACGGTGCAGTGAGAGCAACGCTCGAAACCCCGAGGACGAGCGCGGAAGACTCTGCATGGCTGCAGAACGATGACTGTTGTCCAGAAAGAACGTTGAGAACGTTGAGAAAGCAAAACAAATATGAAGGCCGTATATTGCATAATTCGGCATGTCTGTGTGTGTGGGTGTGTGTATGTGCTTGTGCCCCCCAAGTCTAATGTTGTGTCATAAGTCGAGATATAAGCGAGCAGGTCGAGAAGAAAAAAACTGAAGTAAAAAAAGGTAACCCGAGGTATTCGGGGGTATCTCTAGAATTAGGCGGATGGGTAATCCGGCAAAACAAAAGGACAATGCCACTAAAAAGTCGCGGGTATGGCGTAGAAGTTGAAGTACATATGATTCAATAGTAGATGGCTTTAGTTGTCCAACGCAAAGCTGGCGCAAGCCTTCGGGCCTTGCGTGCTCTATTGACGATTGACACAAGCTGTTACCGGGAACGGCGCAGAGACAGATTGTATCTTAGATTTCCCTCGTCTACCAACTCGCTGAGCCGAGGCTGGAGAATGACGTTCGTAGAGGTTAATCTGAAGGCTCCGGATGGGTCGTGTCGTTCCACGTCGCATGATGAAGATCATCGCGTATGGCAAGCTCCTCTTCATCACTGGAGCTGCTGCGTGTAGATGTTGTCTCCAGCCGGGGGCTCAGAAGTTCCCGGTGGAGACATTGATTGCTATAAGGGGCCACCCGTCAACTCCGCCACGCGTTCGCGGCAGGCCGCGGGAGTGAAACCGGTGCCGACTTTGTTGGCAACGATGCGCCACTTCTCATTCTCGTAGTCTTGCAGTGCAGTGCGGAGCTTTTGGTCCTAGAAAGAGGAAAATGTCAGCTCGTGCTCGCCATATCACCCCAAGGTGTTTAGCAGTAGTGCTCTCTGCTCATGGAGAGGGGTACCGACCGTTTCGTCCGTCCATTGTGTTGTCTTAGCCTTGAGCTTGGTGCAATAGCGCACTTGCAATGTACCTGATGATCTACCAGGGAAGAAGTCCGCAATTTGCTTCCAAGTCAGGGACTTGTTCTCCTTCAGATCAATCAAGAGTTGGTCGTCTTCAGGAGTGAACTTGAGCTTCGGTCCTCTTGGTCTCGGAGCCGGAGACGGCATGCCTGCCTGTCCGACCACGCTTGGGGCTCCGCCTCTATCTCCGCCATCGCCATCACGCCGCATCATTTTGGAAGGGGGGCCTGTATCGGGCAGACGATGATGGTGGTGCGTGGGGGGCTGCACCGTCTGCGCATAAGCGGTTCCCAGAGGGGTTTGCTGCATGCTCTCAAGGTCAGTGTGATCCAAGTCGATCCCGGGGACGGCTAGGTCAAGCTCGTCTGGCCTCGATCGTTTGGTCCCATGCGGCGTATGTGTCTGTGTAGGCGTTGACATGGAAGGATACAAGGGTGCGACAACTGGGCCCGGAGCGCCGTAATGAGGCGGGCCCAGGTGCCGGGCGTGACCCATATGATGCCCCGAATCCATTAGGACCTGGTGAGGATGATGGGGATGATGGGGGTGTTGCTGCTGCTGCTGTTGTTGTTGCTGCTGCTGCTGCTGCTGCTGCTGTTGCTGCATGGCTTGGTGATGAGAATGGTGGCTGGTGGGCGGTTCATGGAGAGTGGGAGCGTGAGCTGCTCCATGATGGAGCGAACTCCTGTGATGATGATGTGAGGACGTCGTGTCATAACTATGCTGCTGTTGACTCTGGTCGCTCGAATGCGATTCTGGTGCAGAATAATCGACATTGTAGTCCCCTACTCGGTAGTTGCCCGCCAGCGTGCCTCCGACGCATGGGTTCCGCCAGAGCGAACCGCTCTGGACGGTCGCCGGGCTCTGAAGAGAAAGAATTGGTTGAGCGAATGCCCTCTCGGGCGGTGTCGGAAGAGGTGAGGGCGGTTGGTGCGACGTTGCGGTGTCGCGGTGATGGTAATAGTCCCTCGAACTACGATCCTGTAACAGCGCTATCGTGTCGCCGTGATGAGAAACCCCTTCCAGAGTCAACGGACATTCGTTCCCGGGAGGTGTGGAGAGAATCGTCGCGGTGTTTGGGGGAGCCTGGGGTGTTGGTGTTTTGGGACGATGGTCGAAGCCTCGTCCGAGATGATTGTAGTGATTGCTGATGGAGGTAATGGCGGAAATGGTGGCGGTGGTGGTGGTGGACAAAAGAGAGAGTCGGAGTTGGTGTTGTGGTCTCGTAGGATTCGTCTCCTTGTCGGTGGAGAGCTGCTTGTCTGCACAGCACGACGGATGGTTCTCTTTGGCTGACGGAGGGTGGGAGCAAAGATTAATAAGACAGAATAAAAGTCGAGGTAACCATGCTAGTCTTTTTTTCTCGCCTTCTAACTCGTTGTTGCCACACGCTTTTTAAGCTCACGGGATGTTCCTTTGACTTATTATAAAACCCGTTTGGCTCTGGACAAGTGATATAGTAAGGAATGGTTAGAAGAGAGAGAGCGCGAACGTGGGCAAGGGCTGCATTATATCGTCCCATGTGCCTTCTCGAAAAGAGGAATAGAGGGCTATGTGTGGACTCTCTGTATGGGGGTATGGGAAGGGGACGGAGAGGGAAAGGGACGTGTATGGGGTGTGAGGCCAGAGAAAGAGGGTACATCGACCATCGCCGCTTTTGTCACCGGATTAAAGCACACCAGCGATTTGCCGTACGCGAGACGTTTTCCGTACCCGAGCAGGTTGCGGAGACTCGCGTTAACCTTGCCCAGTGATGACGGTAGCATAATTTGGTGATCTTATTATGCCATGGGTTTTGATGCCGGATATAGAAGCAGGAGTATCCGCCGCCGGGCGTGATGATGCAACGGGCGAGGGGTGAGCGTGACACTGGCCAGCTCAGAATGATTGACTGACGAGGCCCCTGGGGGGCCAGCCCAGGACAATTTCATAACTCTAAGAAGCTTCCCGGCTCAACCCTGGAAAGGCAGGCAGGGCGGCCCAGAGGGGGGAGAGAGGTCTGGAAAACTCATGGAAGGAATCCAAACACCTTGAATCGAATGAGGGACGGATGCTGAAACGAGCCCTACCATGCGCTGGCTGGTTGGGAAGGGCATGATAATGGGGTTGTTCACAGAACTGCTGCCCATGCTACTCGGCCCCCTGCTTTGCCGGGGAGAGAGAAGAGGGACAAGGGGGCCAGCTCTTGGCCAAAGGCAGTTGATTCTTGAGTGTGTATGTGAGTGTGTGAGAATGTGTGCGTGGGTATGTGCGCACGGCAGCTCCAGTCCTTGGCCTGACAGCCTCTCCACCAACCCCCCGGGCCGTCCTTGACGGGGGGGTGTATGCTCTGGGTAGGAAAACACCAGGGAGCCGCAGGTTGAACAGTTCTGCCCTTTTTGGAGGATACAGTGGGGTCGGTTGGGGGCAAACAGCAGGTTTTGGAAGACGAGAATGGCTAGTTGAGCGCTGGGAAGTCATGCCTCGGTTCTGGAGGGGGTATATCTGACACAGGGAGGGTATAGGAGAGCGACGAAAGAGAAATCGCCGCTCCGGTACATGATAGGACCAGTGAGGCGGTAAGGTTGTAACAGCCACTCGTCTTAGTGGGCAGATTGCCGAAGGGGTGTGCGAGCAAGGCACACGTACTGCTGGTGGAAAAGAAGCGCACCCAACAACCAAGACCGGCTGGCGTAACGTGAGTAGGACCCTTTCTCCCCTCCTTCGCCCTGATCTCCTTTGCCGCCGGTGGCAGTGATGACCTGCCCCCGTTCGAAATCCTGGTCGAAAAGCCTCGGGAGCGGCGCGGAAGGGTCAAGCAGTGGCCCCAGGAGGCAAAATACCCTGGCCAGCCCATCGATACGCCGTCCTCAGCACGGGGATTTGCGTCCCGAATGGCAGAATGGTCGCGTCAGTCGGCCTTCGCCTCCTCGACGGGACGTTCACATGTAGCAGGACGGTGGGCAGACGAGACTGCGAGACTGTACAGGACCCAGCGCCCACGCATCCGTCAATGGAACTGACCGAAATGAAGACGAGGTCGGTGCCACGGTTGAGGTTCGAACCCGGCAAATGCGGCGGCTGGTGATCCAGGCGGTCGGCACGCGCGTTGACAAGATGGGATGGATGAAGCATTGATGAGCTGACGGACGGGGACTAGTGAGCTTGTGGGGTAGCCGTCATGTTGCGTTGCGTGTGAGAATTACTAGGGCTTGGGGCGTGTGCGACTCAACGGCCAGGCCGCACGATGGTGCTGTCATCGAAACCATGGGATGATAGACGTCCACTCGAATCGACTAGCCATCTGTTCTGTTTGCAGAGAAGAATCGGGCGGGAGCCCACCCATGTGCACGTAACCATCTGGAGCCCAAGTTCCTTTCGTCTCGTCTCGAAGACTTGAAGGCATACCCAGATGGATGGATGCCCACACGAGCGCGCTGGCGTGCCGGCTCCCTCCCATACACCGCCCTACACCGGCAGCATGGGTCAATTGCTGACGGTGAGAGCCAGGTAGGTGTCGGGCGTACCTGTAGGTAAGCAGAAGCAAAAGACCCCAGCAGCCGGCCGAGTAGTTTACCTACCTCGTAGAGACAGGAGTGATCAAGGAAGAGAGGGGGAGGGGGCAACTGACGCTGAAGCAGGGGTCGGTCGGGTATCGCATGAAAGAAACGCGTTTCACGCGTACCTGGCAATTAAAAGATCAGTTATGCGATCCAGGAATCCCAGACAATCTTTCTAGAAGGAGTGGGACGGCTTTCTAGCGTCTGATCACCTTATTTCTTCGACGTTGTTGGGGGCCCCTCACGGAATTTGGAATCGAGGGAGGGGGATCCTTTGGAGTGGTATCCGAATGATTCGTAAAACACGAACCGAATGGTTGGGCGTTGTACAAGCAAATCCATCGACCTTTGTGGGCACGGGGACGTCGATCATACGCGAAAGAGGGTTCGGGGGGACGAAATGGGCGAGGGTGGTAACGATGCGGTGATTTGAAGACTGCAGGGCAGAAGCGCGACAGCCTGGGCGGAGAGGGCGGTGCAAAGGCAGAGAGAGGATGGCCAAGAATGCCGGGATCGACCCACGAAGGGGATATCATGTCACCGTCAGGGCGATATGGAGAGGATGATTGAGCGAGGGCAGAAATTGCGAATTTAGAGATGATTTGATGCCGAAGATGCAGGTACAAATTGGACCTGCAACCGGGACCGGACCATCTTTTGGCTAGGTACGCTAAGGTAAGGTACCGTAGTTCTTAGTCTTACTATACCTAGGTAGTGGATGATGTTGGTGGCAGCTTGTTGCAAGTCACTTTGCGCACGAACGTGGTTGAAAAGATACTTTTTGGAGTCTGGACCGATCATCTTTCACTCCGCCCCCATGCCCTGGGTACCTAAGATAGGTACATAGATGGTTAGGTTGATGGGCAGGCAAGTGAACCATGCATGTATGTCTTGGCCGCGCCTATCTTTCTTGTAGCCTCGGGAAAGGGAAGGTGTAACTCTAGTCCTGCGTAATACGGATACATTGTCGCGTACCTGCCTATGCGACCTTACGAGCGACCGCCTCGGCGGCCCACCTAGGTAGGTACTCGTATCTACCTATCCGTACGTATCTCAGGAGCTGGGTGTAGCGTCAAGCTGGGCTCAGGCAAGGCAGACTAGGTAGAGAAGCACACAGTTCGCATTGAGGGCCAAGCCTCAAGACTTGAAGCAAGGGCCGTCAAACATCATGAGAGGCAGAGGAGAGGGGGAGGGGCAGGCGCATACGATAGATACTTCGTACCTCATACCTTCCTAACCTATTCCAAAGAGAAGGAAGGGGCAGGCGCACAATGGTTTGACAGATGGAGCCTTGTCGCCGTTAAGGGAAAGCGTGGAAACACCGCTCAGGTCATGGCCCACTCCAGTTCCCACTCACGTGCTGGGCTACTTCCTTCCTTCCTCCTTCCCCCCCATCTCTCTCCTCTTCTTTGCCCGGCTGTGTATGTTCTTCGCGACAGCGTTGCATGTTGTCAGCCTGGTCCCCCCTTTTTTATTTGATATTATACCTGGCTTGACGTCCCAGTCTGACAGTCTGACGTGCGGTGCGTGCGGTGCACTGCAGTTTGGCTCTCCCCGAGGATCCGATGGCAGGGGTAGGGCGGGGCTGGAAAGAAGAGACGGAGAGTAGGTAGCCGACTATCCGTATGTCCGTCCGTTCTTGCCTTGGATCTATTCAATCATTTTCTCATGTAATGGAAATTTTCAAAGAAGTCACAAGCAAGCTCCTTCCCATCCATCCTTCACTGCGCCAAGAAAGGGCAGTCGGCCAAGGGAAGCATGGCACGTTGGATCCAGCTGAGTCGCCGTCTTGGGTTCGTCATCGTCCTAACCTTGGACACGGGCGGTTGCAGAGACATGATATGGGATGGAAACCTTTATCTTCCATTCCATCATCACCAAGGCCCGTCTCTTTAACTTTCACGTGCGCTCGTCGCTAGGACATGGATGTCATTGAATCTTGAATTAACAGCCGGGGCTTGCGTACTGCATTATTCGTTGCCTTCGTCGTGGTCGTCGTCGTCATTGGCAGCATCAGCATCAGCACTGGCACCTCTGCACCCGTTGTGGTGCTCCCGCATCAACTTT